TACAGACAACCGATTTTAAAGCGGCATATTTCTAAATGATTGTGGTTAAATTCTCTAAAAATCTGTATACCTATCTTGATTTGTATTTTTGGGTCGATTTGTAGTCATTTTTATGAGCTCTGCTGAAAAATGACCCAAAACCTGCTCTTCTAAGCCCATAACTTTTATTACAGACATCGGATTTCAAAGTGGTATACCTCTAAATGATTGTGCTTTAATTCTCTAAAAATCTGTATAATCATCTTGGTTTGTATTTTTGGGTCCAAAGTTTCGAAAAATGGCTTTGCTGAAAAGTGACCTCAAATCTGCACTTCTAAGCCCATAACTTTTCTTACAGACATCCGATTTCAAAGGGGCATACCTCTAAATGATTGTGGTTTAATTCTCTAAAAAACTGTATACTCATCTTGGTTGGTATTTTTGGGTCGATTTTTCGTCATTTTTATGAGCTAATTTCAAAATTTTTGAAAAATGGCTTTGCTAAAAAGTGACCAAAACCTGCGCTTTTACGCCCATAACTTTTCTTAAAGAAATCCGATTTCAAAGCGGCATATTTCTTAATGATTGTAGTTTAATTCTATAAAAAATGTGTGTTTAAATTTTGGTTTGCATTTTTGTGTCGATTTTTTCGACAATTTCATGATTACCTATTTCACCTTTCCACATGTTATTAAAGAAAAAGTCAAATAAATACGTTATGGTCTGTCAATGTTATACATTTTTCAGTGTAGGTTATCATTTACTTAGAAGGGGCATAATGATATTTTTTGTGTAGCCTGCGTAACGACAATTTGAATATGTTGATCATTTCGCTCAACGAAACGTAACCGACGTGGGAAGAAGAGAAGACACGGCTTTTCTTCTATTTTCCTGTCCAGCTTTTCAGTCGATCCCCTTTTTCTCACTTTTCTCCTCCCACGAATTTTAGTGCAAGGTGGACATGTGATAAAAATAGTATTTTGTGGCGGTTTCATTTGTATGAATGAGTTTACGGGTGTCAGTTTCGAGTTTTTCGGCTATATTTTATACCCCACCCCATATCACTTTTATATTTATGTCCGATAAAGTGTTTTGGTTATTTGTCTAGCTTCCGTTATAATTTCGTTATGAATGAAAAACCCCATTTCACCCGGCTTGAATTTCCCTAATTTATAACATTTATGTTGTATTAACTTGTTTTTAACATCAATTTGGCTCACAATGTTCGTCGTGGGCATCTTTTTCTTATCCACCGCATGTTAATGGGAAGTTTACACATAAATACTAATAAAAACTCTTAACGTGGGTTCTTTTAACCGCATTTTGAATACATTTACCCGCTAAGAGGAAAGAGCTGTTAAATAGATTTATAGATGCCTTTCAAGTTTTAACTTTATATTGAATTTATGGACTTTTAAATGTATACTAATGATGGGACATTATTGAAAGATAGGACACATTTTTGATTAGTAAGTTATTGTTTACTAATCTTCTAGCCCTTTCCACTTGGTTGATATTTTCTCTTTAAAGCTTCTAATGATTCTATTCCAAAAAATCTTAAAACTAAAAATATTCCGATTCTATAACTCACCATCCGTAATCCGAATCACTAGCATCCACCACAAACCAGAATTACTCACAAGTCCTCTCAGTTATATAGTACAGATTTCGGCTTGATCTGCGGATTAAGTCAAATGGCCGTTTGGTTTTTCGTTTATTGTTCAGAGAGTGTTTACACGCATATGTTTTTTTGTTGTAGTATACAATAGATACTTAACGATTTCCATGCAATGTAGTCATTTAGTTAAATGTAATGTAGCAGTTTGTTAGGTGTCCTATTGAGTTGCGATTGCATCATTATTACATAACTTGAATTTTTTTTGGCGCGCTAAACGTAAAGCTTAAAATTTAATCATGTTTGTTGATTGTTTGCGTAAACAATGAACCTTAAATGAAATACTTAATAAAAGATCGCATGAAACAATGTGTGTGTTTTCTTTTGTTTGTGTTTTTGTGTGGGTGTGTGTGCTTGTGTGTGTGAGAGCGTTGGTCGAATTTGGCAGCTTGATGGGATCAGGATCGGAATCAGGACTTCCTTCCTCTCCAGCTGCTTGTGACGATGCCAACTCCAGCTCAACGGCAGCCAAATTAGGAAACGATAAACAAACTGCAACGAAACGAAAGTAAGATCAGTTTCAGTATTATGGAAAGGATATAATTATCCTGCCGAAGAGAGAACCTACCTACCCAATCAAATTTTTAATTTTAAAAGAAAAATTTAAATCTCAATTTTATTTAGTTTCACTTTTTTTTATTTGTCAGAAATCGCTTCACACCCATTTCTACTCTACTAACATAGTAAGTTCTGAAAAGTCTACTAATGTCATCCCAAACATACAAAATTCTTGGCCAACTCCATATTTGTTGGTTGGATTTTAAGGTAACCGTCCTAAAAACAATCACTGATTTTTGGAAAATCCAATGACTGAAAAATGATTATTAAAATGGGTCAGTAAATATTTAATAGCGTTACAAACTATCACCCAAAAAGTAATACTGTTTTCAAGGGTATAGAACGGCATATGCATAAATATTGTGAGTCATAAAAACAACAAATGGTTTACAAAAAGTCTGATGACGAATAAGACGTCACATGCTTTCGAGATTAAATTATTGGTCCCACAAAACGGTCTTCCGTTTTCTGTTATCTCAATCATATTTAAATTGTATACCATATGCAAATTACATATATATTTTTATCAAATCCTTTATAAAGCGAAAAGGAATTAAAATGAAATGAATATGATTCTTCACAGAAATAGAGTATAAGCAAAACTAAGCAATGTCTGTTATGAATATTCTGTCATCCTCTGATACATAATATACTTTACTTACTTTTTTCTCGACTCATCGAACGCAATTTGGGACCGCCTGCGGATGGGTTCCCCTAGCGTCCAGCGTCCGTTCCGTCTACTTGTTGTTGATGGATAATCGCTCAACGCTGGCGAGCAGCTCATCGGCGGTCTGGGATACAACCTGCTCCTGGTCGTCGCTGGTGCTCAGGTTCTGGAGGCGCTTCTCCAGCGCCGAGAGGTCCTCCAGCTCACGCTGCTGTTTCACCATGTAGCGCAAGATAAGCGTGGTCAGCATACACATGTCCTCGAGGATCTTGGCCGTCTCCGGCGTGGGATGATCATAGCGGTTGCGCAGCAATCTAAGCTTGGCCTCGGCCAGCTCCAGCGGTGACTTGTTGCTGCGGTCGTACATGTGGACACTGGCGCCGCCCTGCAGCAGTACGCCCACCACAATGTTGAAGTTATTGGAACTGGCCGAGATCACAGCCAGATGAAGTGGCGTATTCCCCAGCGAGTCGACCACGTTCGGATTGGCACCGTACTTCAGTAACTGCTGGACAATGGGTATGTAGCCACGGCAGGCGGCCAGATGCAGGGGGCTGCGATTGTACTCGTCGGCGGCATTCGGATTGGCCCCGCTCTCCAGGATGCGGTTGAGCAGCTCGATGTTGCAGGTGGAGGCGGCGGTACGCAGTTTGCGGCCATTGGACTGGACGAGTATGTTGCTGTAGCTGTAGGAATGCTTCAGCCTCTGCATCCGCGGACGCATCTTGAAGCTCTTGCTGCCCGAGGGCAAAGTGCTCGGATGAATCAGGCTGGGCAGATACTCGGCATTGGGGGCATTGGGATTCAGCGGCAGGGGCGGCAGGTGCGGCAGTGCAAAGTGCTCGCCCCGATCTCTGCTCAGCTGGAATGGTGTACTCGTGCTGCTGGGATTCGAACACATGTTCAGGTTAAGGTTCAGGTTGAGGTTGATGTTCATGTGCGGCCACTCGCCGTGCGTGTTTGGCGACGAGGTGGGCGTGGGCGGCATCGCCGGCGGCGGCGGCGTTATCATGATTCCCTTGGAGGCGCTGGTGGGCATGGGCATCGGCGTGGATCTGGCCAGGACCATGGCCATCGACATGGGCGACGGCGGCATCGACATCTCCACCTCCTCCTTGGCCGCCTCCACGCCGGAGGTGGAGGAATCGTTGTTGGTGGCCGCGGCCATCTATCGCTCTTACTTGGATTGCGTCCTCCGCTTTCCGCGATGCAGTGCGTCTGTGTTCCTGGTTCCGGTGTCTCTTCCTGCGACGAAAAATCTCTTCCCAGGCACGCGCTGCTTATTTTCCTGTCTGTATTGTTTGTTTATTTTTGCTTGTTTTCCTGCCTACTTTGGTCACTCTGACCACTAGTTATTGGTGTGACCCTGCCGTCTCCAAGTCTATTTATCTTTATCTAAAAAGGTTTAATGACTTAATATGTCTACCAATTCACAATTTTAACCGAGTTAAGCTCACCTGGATCTGGGATCCCTAAAGTGGGGTCAGGAGAAAAATATTTTGGCAGCCGCAGTCTGTATTGTTTGTATTTGTTTTGGACCTATCGATATGACATATTTAATAGGTATCGATTGGGTGGAACATATCGGATTTTGTATAACCCCAGGGCTGGCAGTAATAATAAATAATAAGAACAAGTACCTAAAAAATATATAAAATTAATAACTCTTTAAAATGGTTAAAAAAAAAACATTTTTTTGCTCAAATGAAAAAAAAAAATAAAAATAACCATTTAACAAAATGTAATATAAGTATAATTTTTTTAATTCGAAAAAATTGTATTTCGAGAGAATTCTATGAGTAGGTGACCCATTTTGTTCTTTTAGTTTCTCCCATATTCTAACTTTTTATAGTTAATTTGTGTTTTTAATTAAGTTACCAACAATTTTTAAGAATCCTTGTTTTCAAAACTTAAATTTAATTTTCTTCTCCTTTTTTGGAATGTAAATATATGAAGATATATATAACAAAATTTTTAATTACTTTTTTTCTTCCTTCTAGTGAATCCATTAAATTGTAAACTATCTTGTCCACTGTGTACCATTAATTAAACCAATTAAACGGATAGCCCTCAATCGGTGGGGTAATGTCTAAGCCAAGCCAGTAACTTAATAAGACTGAATTAAAACTGTTTTAAACACCTATAAATCTTTTTATTGAAAATTCTTGATCAACTACACATATTAATTTTCTAACAAAGCTGAACGGAATGTTTTTTCCAGCATACGATTCAACTCGCAATTCAATTAGAGGGTTACATACAATAACTGGGAATTAATAATACAAACATCGAAATAAAAGTGAGTGATAATGTTCTTTCTTAAATCCAATAACACAACATACAAAGCGTAATTCGTTTGGTAATCCTGGAGATAAAGCCTCGGAAGTGGGAAAATCAAAGAACGCAGAGGGAAACGCCATTTTTCAATTTTGGGTTAAAACCACAGATTCATTTTTCATGCTAGGTGGTGGGAGGGGTTCGGTGTTATTGGGAGAAGGTCCCAACGAGTGTGCTGATTTAGACCGCAGAAAAGGTGCTTAACGAAAATGAAAAGGAGTGAAACGAATACAGAGTACACAGAGAATTATCGAAAGGATCCCTCTGAGAAGAGATCTCTACAGCAAATGCGGTCTAAATCCGTCTTGCATGCTATTTTAGGAAGTTGATCGTCTCGATGATCTTGTTGCGATTTGCATGCATGTATGCCTTGGTGTGCCACAGCATGTTAATTAGCTTCTGGTCGTCCTTTTCATCCATGGCGATGTCCTCGCTCAGCTGAGGATTGAACCGGAAGTAGGGTACTCCAATGGTGCTGCACCAGGCGCGAGCTCTGTCCACCACTCTTCCATCGGAGCAGGTCGCCTGGTCCACCAGCAGGTTGCCTGGGGATGATAAATCTTGTATTGAAGAAAATATTTCTTGAAAATCAATTAGTCTCACCAATGGTGGAGATGCCGTAGGCTAGTTTAGCTGTATCCCAGATGCTTTCCGGTCGGAACACATCAATGTCCTTCAGCTCAGTAACAGGAATGTGGCCCGTTCCCAACGACATGACCACGGACACAGGTATGGCCTCTGCCTCGCGACCAGCACTGCGTAGAGCCATATTATATTCGTGGATCTCGGTCATGGCGTCCAGCGTCGGGTTGTTTGCAATCAAACCACCGTCCAGGAAGCGACCAAAAGCGCGGAAATATGAAGGAGCCGCTCCTGTGGCACGGGCAGCACGCCACACCAATTGCTCTTGCGGGGGCGGTGGAGGAATTCGACGGTTGTCTAGATATCGAAGAAAATATTGAGACTCTTTCGATATTTATGGTTTTCTCACTCACTTATGGAAGTCACAATGCCCAGAATATCACTGGCACTCGTATAGTTGCGGAATAGATGCAGATCGACGGGTTTGCGGTCCGCCATAACGCCGGTGACCATGATCTTTGGGTGCTTAATATCCGTCATCACGTTGAACTCGCCCAGGTTGTCCTTCAAAATGGACTCGAAAAAATCACTGTTGTACGGCCGCGAGCCCACGAAACACTGCTCCTTCATGCGCAGATACAGTCCCATGCACTGGCGCATTGTTTTGCCGCAACCCAAAGCCAATGCAAGGATTCCTCCCGTGCTGGTGCCGGCAATCCAGTCAAACATGTGGATAATGGGTGTGCGCGATAGCTTTTCGATCTCGAGAAGCATTTGTACCAACACCAGGCCACGAATACCACCACCATCCAGGCAAAGTAGACGTCCACGGCCATAGGGCTTATCGCCAATCTCAGCGGCAAAGGGCGATGAGGGAGATGCCAACTGCTCCGGACTGTCCGCGGCTGAAGCCGGCGTTCCCGAGCCGCTGGCCAAACTGCCGGAAGAATTATCCTTCTTCATCTCGTCTGCATTTACTTTGGTAGTGAACATGCCCAGCAGGGCATCCATTATGCTCTGACCCTTTAATTCCTTTTCAGTATCGACCACAACTGGTTTTCTGGAATTAAAAGTGATATGGCCTTTAATTTGTATGCAATTTAAGCTCTAAATGTTGTCTTACTGTGCCGGTGGTGGCTTCTCCAGTATTCCATTGGCCGCCGCGCCCAGGAAACCGCCCATCACTTGTCGACTGGTGGTGGCCAGCATGTTTTCTATATGCTCTCGTTGTTCCACGGATTCCGGTGCCTCTGGCGGTATGCCATTATAGTTGCCCCTGGCGTTGCATCCTGGCGGACACTTTGAGCCAGTCTCCCTACAGCGTTTGGCTCCCACAGAGTGTAGTATGTAGAGGATTTCGTCTTCCTTGTTGCCACTGGCATCATTGCCCACCATGTGGCGGGGAGTTTTGCCATCCTTGCTTTTCAAGTTGATGTCACACCCAAAAACCACCAAACACTGGACAATCGGCACCAACTTCTTTTCGATGGCGATGTGAAGAGCTGCATTTCCCTCATTGTCTAGCACATCGATATCCGCATCGTGGGCCAGCAGAGTCACTACGCACTCAAAACGATTCCTGGCCACCATCACATGCAAAGCGGTGCGTCCCTCAAAGTTCGTGGAGTTGACATCACAGCCCTCCATTATGAGGGCATGTAGGGTTTCACGGGAGGAACACCAATGCAGAGGAGTGCCGCCATATTTCATGTCTTGTGTGTAAAGCTTGCTTACATTCGTACGCAGAAACGAGGACACCGAAGTGGGTGCGGACGTCTTGTGCAGCTTTGTGATGTTCTTAGCATTGAGATTAACATCGGCGCCAGACAGGAGAAGCGCCTTCACATTTTCCGGCTTGTCGGCGAGGCAGGCTATATGAAGGGGTGTATATCCATCCGAATTAAGGTGATTCAAGTTCACTGTGCTTTTGTCAGTGATAAGCTAAGAACAGAAAGTTTAAAATGTGTTTGAAATTGATAAAGCATGACTGCTCACATTGATTATCTCTTTGGTGGTGCTGGCGGCGTAGTGAAACACCGAATTGCTGTTGATATCTAAGTGTTCCAGCTTGCTCAAGGGCAGCAAAGCCTTCACCATCTCTATGTGGCCCTGTTTGATGGCCAGTTGAAATGGCGACATCATGCAGGTGGGATCCGCCTGGTCCACGCACTGCAACATCTTGGGATTGCTGATATAGTCGATCAGGTTGAAGTAGGCAATCAAATGGGAAAGCGTCCAGGAAGGATTCTCGGCCAGGGCATCGCAGGCTTTTTGCAGGCCATTAACATTGTAGTACTAAAATATACAGGGGTTCAAAAAACAATACAAATTTGCATGTGATCTTCTCAAGAACCTCTTTGACAATGCTGACGAATACGGGCAGCCTTTGCATAAAGGCATTGTAGCGCTCTTCGGCATCCTGCAGCACTGGTGAGCGGTATAGGCTAAAGGATGTGGTATTGGAATCCGAGGTGGGTCGCTGCAGGATGATCTCATAGACAGCACGCTTATCATTGCTGTTGTAGGGTGGTGCAAACAATACCATCGCGTCATCGCGAGCGATAACCTGCAGGGTTCCTAGTGATTCACTCTTTATCTCCAATACCTTATTGGCCGGCTGGTCGCCTCCCAGCAGGCGCTGAAGAACTGCAATCGTAAAAAGCACATAGTCATTATATAAGAGTTTACAGAGGGTTATTCACGGGACAAATACATTCTCAGCCTAGTCTACTAAACACTCAAGACGGCAACACGACATGGAAATGTAACTATTTAGAGGGGGCAATACCAAACCCGGAGGCCAGGGCTCCAAAGGCCATCCACGACATGACTCAAGAGTGAGGTATGGAGTGCTGCGGATGCTGCTTGAACTTTGTACTTGGCGGATGAGCTGGCTAACGTGGATGCGGTGAACCTGACAGAAAAATAATGGCCAGTTTGTTAGTTACATGGGTGTGGGTGAGTAAGTGGTTGCTTTGGATGGGTTGCCAAGAAATCAATAGTATACATCTGCGGCCAATCGGGAGCGAACAGATCACCCGATTGTGCGCCTTTATAATAGTATGAACCTATTTTTCGTGCTTTCCCGCTTTCTCACATCTAGATCTTATCAATAAAATGGCTGCCAGAAAGATGTGATTGTTCTGTGGGTCAGTTACTAATATTTGGAGTAGAAAATATGATGCGTAATTAGGTGAATAACTAATGCCAACACATATTTTGCGGTTATTGTAATAAACACTTTTACTAGCTAACCATTAAACATTTTTCCGCTCTGCTTTTAGGTTTCCTTATCGCACAATTCCAGTTTCAAAACTAGCAACACAAAATAACAAACTGAGCTGTATTTGCAACTTTTTTTTAGCGATGTCAGCTTATATCAGAGATGGGACTTCAGAAACGCGATAGTCCGTGACTAGTTCGTCTTGCAAAGCTTACAACCATAACAGTTTTGATAAATTCAAAAAATGCTCCTGTAATGGGTTCGAGTCTGGTCCAAAATCATATCGAAGCTCTCCACCATCTAGGGTATTAATATTTGTGGTATTTTTGTGGTACATAGCCACGGCCATACTGGCGAATTAGTAGGATTGTTAGAATATTTACCGGATGCCATTTGTTTGCAATAAAAAATCAAAAATAATTAAACAGCACTGGCTATCACTCCGTCAAGAGCTAAATTCCACGTTACCAAATTGAGATCAACCCCGCCCGGCTGGCGCCTTCGAACAGATTGCAGCCCTTGCCCAAAATATAACTGGCTGCCAAATTGAGGATTGAGGCGTAAATTGCACTACAATTTGCAGTTGCACTAGCAGTTAACAGGCAAATCAAACAAGTAAGTGGAACTGGCATGGAGGTGGAGGCCACCGGCGCCTCGGATGGCCAACTGGGTGTAGCTGGGGGACTGGCGGCCGTGCTGGCCACCACCCACTGGGTGGCTCTGGCGACCCCCCCAAGGGCACGAGGTAACAGCAGCGCAAGTTTCACCGCGACCTGTGCCATTATAATCTGGCGAACGGCGCGGTTTCAGTGCCTGTTCGGCTACTGCCTCCGTGATTCACGACTGTCCAGTAGCAGCAGCAACAGCAGTGACTCCCGAGCGCCTGACGTAATTATGCGCGTGCACTGACCACAACTAAATCAAATTCTGGTCTTGCTGTACTCCTACAGATAAAGCAGATCCCGACGATGCAGAACAATCCCAGTCCACAGCTGCCCTGCAAGGGCATCCTCAAGACTTCGCGCAGTTTCGACAAGTCGGGAGCCAGGTGAGGTCATTGGCTAACCCCAATTCATAACACTTCTCAACTGTCATTCCCCTTCAAAGTTTTCGCAAAAGTGCCAAGTTCGATGAGCTCAACGTGATGCAGACCTTCCATCCGGCCGACAAGGACTACGGACATATGAAAATCGATGAGCCGAAAACGCCGTACAACTATACGGAGGCCTACGAGGACAATAGGGATGAGCTGGACACGGAGCTGCTGGTAGAGAAGTATGAAGCTGTTCTCATTTGCTTAGGTTCAAGAAATTAAGGGACTTTCGTAGCACAAACAAGGGGACAAGGAATACCTATTTATTTACCAGAAAATGCGTCTTAGATTCTTGGTAAACATACATCTTATTTGAAAACGTAAGTGTCTATTGCCTTATCGTTTAGAGATTATAAAAGCGTAGGCAATGACATCTTTACAGATTCGAGAGATAATGTTTTTGCAGTATTGAGTAATTTTCGCCATTTACTTTCTTCAAGATAAGTTAGGAATTTAATATAAAGTCAAGCAGCAATTGAGAACGACATTTTATAATTCAATTGTAAATAAATAAATTACCCATTCCCATTTTCTTTGCATTCATAGCCACGAAAGTCTTTTAGTAGGAACCTTTTAATTTCTCAACAAATCGTTAAACTATACAATCCTTTGCAGACTCCGCATAGCGGCCAACACACAACCGTCGACGGAGAGCATCGAGGATGAGGGTTCTTCCGGCGACGACCAGCCTTTGAGCGAGGAGGAGCGACGTAAGTGCCAAGAACCACTCAGATTCCAAACATTTCTCATGTACTTGGGTTGCAGAACGACGGCGGGAATTTGAGCGACGTCGCAAGGCCCACTACCGCGAGTTCGAGGCCGTCAAGCTGGCACGCAAACTGATCCAGGAGGAGGACGACGACGACGAGGACGATGACAAGGGCGCGGATAGCCGGCCCTCGGGCTCGGCACAGGGCGCTTCTACATCCGGTCGCTTTGCGAGCAGTTCGGCGAAAAAGTCGAGCCCCAAAGTCGACGCAGCCACATCCCCGTCTACCAGCGCCGGCCATAACATGGACCTGGAGCCATCAAACAACTAGAAGCAATATCAACCCATCAATCAATCACTAATGTTTACCTAGCGGACAATGGACGATTCTGAGGGCAGCTCATCCAAACAATGTACTAACGAAATTATATCAAGTGCTGTGCGAGCGCGGAGTGAGAAGTGGATGCTGATTAGCAGAGTGGTTAGAAGTACTCGTGATTAATGAAATTTACCCAACTAAACACGAATAACAAACCGTCGCCAAGGAGGTTCGTCATCGAGTAGTGAACACAGCCGATAAGCCAAGCCATTACTTGTTGCAAATTTGTTTTACAACACAAACTGTGCATCTGGTCGGAGAATCTGATTGTACGACAGTAAATATAATTATCGTATGCGTCTCAGCCGTAGCGTACTGTTGCAAATGTAGTTAAAAAGTCTTTTAAATTTATATCGATACGAATACCCGTTGAATTTTAGTCCAAGTCTCCCGTTCGCAGCTCCGTTTGCATTTAATTTGATTGGATGCCCAGTGCCACAGAGGGGATAACTTGTTGTAACCAGCGTTGAAGTTGATTTGGCCTTACTTTTAGTTATTTATTAATACGATACTATTATGATTACTATTAAGTTTTAGCCATCGAATGCGAACGTTTCAATAAAGAGAGCCCAAAACCCAATTGAAAAATCTCTGGAATAGTTCTTCTCGTCGCGAGTATTCAAAACTTGCCGTTTATTTAGTTTCTCATTTCATTTTAGTTATACATCGTAGTGTAGTTGGGTATAGACATTGCTGGTCATAGTAATTGGTAAAGTCTGAGAGTTTTAGGCCGTCCTCGACCTCTTCCCGGCCACATCCCCGCCCCATCCACCAAGACCTGGGCACTGAGTCCGCGGCTGCTCGTCCAGCAGGCAAAGGCATCCTCATATTATTGCCCGGGGTCAGCTGGCCGACTAGAGTGCCGATCTTGGGGGAATGGGAGGGGTTAATCGGGGGGGTCAGAACGAGCTCGTTGATTTTTATATCCTTGAATGGCATTTTCGGAACTCACAGATATCTTTCGGCCTGATCATCTGATCGCCTGATCTCTTGTATAACTTACTTAGCGGGGGTCATTGACGTTTTTTTTATAATTTGCAGTTTAACAATGTCAAAGTAAATATATATATGTGCATATAGTATAGATATAAGCAAAAAGCATGCAAACTCAAACAATAAACATCGAGAATCCTGCGACGGCTGCTGCAAAGAACATGTCTATCTCTTCAGGAAGCCATCACCTCTTAATTTACAATTAGTGGATGGTTCCGAATGGGTTCCTTGAGCCGATCGCGTCACAGGATCTGCGTTAAATAGAATATGCTCACAATAAATAGATTAGTAGTGCTCTTACATCTAAGACAAGGTTCAATCTCATTATCAGTTTCCGTCTTGGGTCGCATCGTGTCCATTTCATTTGCTAGTTAACAATGTTTAACATTCATCTTAGAATCTAATGCTATATGGTTTATTATATAGTCCTGCTCTGCTATCTTAGCCATACTATATGCACATGCTCCAAATATGTGTATATAGTATGGGTACATAGAGAATATCGTTTTCCATCGCCCAGTTCGGGCATCCGGATCAGGGCTCCACATCCACGAGTCATCATCTGCATCATCCGCAATGGGTGCGTTCTGTTCTAGAGAAAGATCAGCCTGCATCCATTGTGTGGAGAACACCGAAGATGACTCATGGAATGGAGTCACTCCTGCTGTAGTATTGCATTCACCTATCATGGGTTCGTTTCGTAACATATGTGTATATGGCGTCGTTAGTGGTCATTTAAGATTAGTATAACAATTGTATATATCCTATATATAGTTTGGTTCGTTAGTGATTCGTTTTAGTAACATATACATGATCGTTTTCAGTATTATTATGAAGTGGGTTCCATTGTATTTTCTGCTGTTGTTATTTGCAATTTATATTGTTCTTTCCAGGCTTAGCCGAACATGTGCTGGGTGCCGGGTGGCACCTTGTAGCTGGGATAGCCATTGTTCAACTGGTGCTTGGCAAAGAAGGGTGTGTAGTCCTGCTAATAAATACGTGCATTAATATCAGATTAATCTAGATCTTGAAGGTAATTTCCTACCCTGTTGATTCTCCTGGGACGGCAGACGGGGCCCAACGCCAACTGGCGACGTTCCTCGTTCTCGCGAGCCGCGGCCTCCTTGTATTCCGGTGGTGGCCATTTCAAATCTCCGCGCAATTTGCTGCCTCCTGGAATTTTTAAAAATACTGGTTTTTGAATACTGCCAATGTACTTGGTGTCAAAAAATAAATAAATAATAAATTCGTATCTTGGATTATGATCAAGAAGTTAAAATATTATGTTTAAAAGTCGCGATCAAATTAGCAAATACCTCATCAAACTCTTTTAGTGACAGACTATAAACAGAATTCTTTATAAAACTTTTAAAAATTATATTTAATGGGGCTAGAGAAATCGGTTCCAATTGGCTTTCATCCAAAAGTTCCAACATATTCGTTTGCATTTTGTTTAAAAGAGCTCTATCATCTTTGAAATTTATTCCTTTTGGGTTATTAAGAATAAAACCTTGCAGTTTTTTTGAGTAGGAAAGGAATATGTTTATATATTATATATTATAATGAGACTTCCTATAATATCTTCATATAATATATTAAAAAATATTACATCTTTAAAGTGACTGTTACAGATAAAGACAGCATCATAAAATAAATTACAATTTAAGATCCTACGACTTATAAGCTTTATCTTTATAAGGAATCCCCAACTCACCCTGATAGCTGACGGCGGCAGGCTGCGAAGTGTAGACTGGCGCAGGCTGCTGGCTGACTGGTGCCTCCTTTCGCAGGGTAATGATCCCAGGACTGGCGCCCCGGTAGCTGTTATCCTGACCGGCGAAGGCGCCAGGTTGCTGCTGCTGCTGCAGATCGGTCTGATCCTGCGAGTAGGGCAGCTGGGGCTGCGAATAAGAATTGTATTGGGGTTGAGCAAGGGTCGAGCCACCGTTTTGCTGTGGGTAATAGGATGGCTGCTGCTGTTGCTGCTGGTACGGTGAAGTCTGGTACGATGGCTGCTGCTGCTGTTGCTGGTTCCACTGTGGTGGCTGATAGGGAGCCTGAGCCTGCGATTGAGGCTGATATTGCTGCTGTTGCTGGTGCCACGGTGCTGCAGGTTGCTGCGGTTGTTGTTGCTGCTGCTGCTGCCATGGTGCTGCAGGTTGCTGTTGCTGCTGCTGGCCATCGTAAGACGGAGCACCGTACTGCTGCTGCTGCTGCTATTCAATCGGTGGTGCAGTGGTACATTGGTGCATTGGTGGTGTTCGGTGGTGCCAACATGCATGTTCGACATGGGTTTCGATCACAGGTTATGGTTTGATTTCATAGATGGGTGGTGTTTTATTGGTTGGGAGGTGCATTCGACACATTCACAGTGGATGTACACAGACAGATAGAATATGTTGGAGATAGAGATAGACAGAAGACCTTAGTTAGAGGTGGGAGGCTTAGTTTCGAGTTAAGTATTGGGTAAGTTTTATGCGCAGTTTACAGCTGAAAGTCGCGGAGAAAGAAGCAAAAGCTAATTAAGCCAGAGGTTAAGTGACATTTTTGCATATAAACAGCGATTAGTAAAGATTTTGGCATGCAAAAGCGATTGAGTACAGAGTTACTAAGAGTTTTTGGGGTGTTAAGAGTGGGCTATAAGTAAATTGTAGTTTTTAAAAGATTTATGACTAGTAAAGTGACCTATTATCACTTGTAGAATTAATTTAATTCAATCAAATCAAAGTTTAATCTATAAAAAAAATATAAAAGAACTCATTTCTAAAGAGATCTCAGAAATAATTTTTTTATCCTTCTATTATGATTTGAAAATTCAAATATTTTATATAACTTTAAAATATCTGATATTATTTAAATAAACTTAATAGTTTTTTCTTTTAAATTTCGATATAATAAAAGCAAACAAAAATATTTAAAGTATTTAAAGAGTTTAAGGCTTAAATTGGTAAAAAATAATAGCTTGTATCTAAGATACGATTTCGGGAAATTTCCAAGATATAAGTTAAAATGGGGATATAATATAGTTTTTTAGTAATAATAACAAATGAAGGTTATGTAAGTGTCTAAGAAGTTTGATTGTTTGACACTCACTAATGGAACACCTAGTTTACATAAATATAGGTGTTTTTGTGCAATGAGAGAGATAGGAGTGAGTTTCTAAGTAGAAAGTTTAGTAAGTCTAAGATAAAAGGCAGGAAAGCATCTAAGATAGAAGGAGATCAACGATGGCAGGAGACAGAGACGATCACAGCCGCCGTGCAAGATGTAGCATCGCTTCGCTTAGAATAAAAGCGGTATCCATTCCGACCAAGACGGTACCTGCGGCTGCTGATATAACGGCTGCTGCTGCTGCGCGGATCCCTGGAACGGAGGATAGGATCCTCCTCCGGCGGTGTAGTCACTACGCGACTTGGGCAGCGGGGCACCAATGTGCTTCCAGCCACCGCCCACATTGTTCACGGCCTGCAGCGGTTCCTGCGGATAGTTGGACTGATAGTTGGACTGGTAGTTGGGATAGGCATCGGACGCGGGGGCTGGAGATGGAGCTGGGACCTGGACGGGTTCCCTCGAGCGCTGCCGATTGAACTGGGCCTGTGTGTATTGCACAGGTTGCTGCTGCTCCGGATAACTATCTGGGAACTGGGTGGTATTGGCGGTGGCAATGGGCTGTTGTGCCGGTGGGTTGTAGACATTTTGTGGTGGTTGGGCGGTGCGTGGCTGGACGTTGTTATAAATGGGACCCTGCAAGTTGTCAGTGTGGTTAGGTGGGAGATTGGGTGTTTGGGCTGGGGTATGTGGGTGTCCGAATGCTATGTACATGGCTTTATGCCTCACCGGATGAGATACAAATTGTGGCAGTGGCGGATACAATTATATTTACACTCGACGTACACGAAACTTGACTATATAGTATGTACAATTCATCGGTTACAAAGGGCAGGCGAGGGGGGGTGCATTACCTGGGGTGGGGCAGCAGCTGCGGGGGCGTGGCCCTGGCCCTGCGGATAGTAGCCCCCGGAACCCGGGGCCGGACTTTGGGTCTGCGGCTGGGGGGTGAACTCCCGGATGATCCGCTCCTCCGAGGCCGGTGGCCAGGCCACACGTTTGTAGCCTGAATCAAAGGGAAAAAAAAAGAGAGAGAGAAAAGGTAACGATAAATACTCGGAATTCTTTTTAAACGACCAAACGCTGAATGCAGCTGCCGTGCAAAAACATTCAACAAAATGCGGCCAAAACGTGGGCGTCACTATAACCTTGGATGCACTGCACTGCACTGCATTGCATTGCCCAGTGCTAGCGAAACAATTTGAAAATGATTTAAGCCAATTAAAATTATAGCCATCGCAATAGCAATGTGCGAACAGTGAACAAAGGGGGCGTGGCGGGGCGGGGGGCTAACGCAAATCATACACGGCTGTCATTGCGTCTAAATTTAGCCGATGAGAACGAGTCGAAAGCTAAGAATTTGACATTACTCATGGGGTGATGAGGATGTCGTCGTCGTTCTAAGTGCACCGCAGCAACATGTTGCCGCTGCACCAGCAACATTACACTTTATATTGGATATGGATATGGATATAGTGTGAAAATTTGTGTTTACCCTCCAGATTTTTGTAGTTTGCGTTGATGATCTTCCACTGAGCGACCATGGTTATATATTGCTCTCTCTTTTTGGTATCTCTATCTGGCTATCTATCTATCTATCTGGCCGATCGGGCCTTTGCGTAAGAATAAAAATATTCTCGTATAGATATCAAAAATAACAAATACACGTATATACCAAGATGTATATGTTTGTTTTTTGCGGCTATTTTTTGACTTGTCCGCTCGCAAAAGTCGAAAGTCGAGAAGAGCGTTATATAACCCCGAGGTGCAATCAATCGATTTCGATATTTGGAGAGTCTTCTGATGGGGAACACCACGGTAATTCGAATTTCGATTTCTCTGATTTATGGCTCTTATTTTGTGTTAGGCTCTATGGCAAATTTCGGCGGGCGTTTCGTTTATCCTTCGGATCGATATCGTTGAAAAATCAGAAAAAAAAATGATTCGGAAAGCACGTCGATTGGGTTTTTTCTTGTTTTTTAAATTTGATTTTTAAGTTCAATTTAAATCGATTCGATTCGCGTGCGTTTGCCCAATTTAATTTCTATTTTCTATTATAGCTATTGGCTATTTCTATTTGCTAATTCGTTGATCGTTCGCGCTGCGATATGTTTGCCTTCGATGTATGCTACTAAGTGAGGAGCCAGAGAAATGCAGAGGAAATTATTGTTAGCCAGCGATGCCAAGATGTAGAAACATTGGCACTCGTGTGGGTTCCAACCCACACACACACTCACACACACTCGTCGCTCGACTTTCGTATCTGCGAGATACGCGAAAGTAAAGACTTCTCCGAGAGAAAGAGTGGGTGAGTGGGTGAGAGATTGGCGGCGAGGGTCTGCTAAGTGTGCTGATCTTGGTCTGGGGTCCTCCAACACCCCCCTCCCCCTGGGAAATAGCCAACTCCCGGCATTGTTTACACCTTCGATTTTTGTGATTTGTGGGCCCCACCTTGAAATACTGATCATCGTGCCCACTCCCTCACTCGCGGCAGCCGATCTCAAGGTGTCTGCCGCAGCTATATATCTATATATATGTATGCATATATATCGTAAAGATACAGTCACAGATATTCGCATTCTGGCGGTTCCTTGCCCAGATTCTAGATGGGATGATCAAGTAGGTTGACTGTTTATTGTTATGGCGATTTGTTATGCCCGAGAGGCACTTCAAGTGGGCGCACCCCCATCTATCTTGCGGATACAATGGCGGATCATCCCAGCCAACTAACTAACTATCTATCATCTATCATCTAGCTTGTGGCCAGTGCAGATATAGTTCGTGACTCAAAGGCAGCGACGGCGGTGGCTAAATTTAAACGGCTGTCATTTTGGGCGAACTAAAACAAATCTGTTTTTAAACGTATTCACACAGGTGTACGAGAAAAGTTGGCTCATTAAAATTATTAGCAAGCTTGTAACTCATATGTCTTCTATATCGCCACCGAATATCCCCTGTAAACGCCTCTGTATATAAGCAATTATTTGAAATAATAAGAATGGCTTGCTCGTTAGCCACGCAACAAATTCGTTTTGATGGCCGCCAAACGTCACAGATAAATACAAAATAAAATTTGGGTTTACATTATCTAGTTGGCCCACAAATGTGTGCATGCTTAAGACAATTAATGTTGTATTTTTGGGTTCAAATCATTTGTATAGAAATACACACGTTATTTGGGACTGAACAATGCGACAAACAAAACAAATTGGAATGAGAATAAATGACCATTCGAATTTGGGAGATAAGCCCCCAAATGTCTTTCTCGAAATCTCTATAATTTTATTATCCACTGGCCGTGTCTGTGACATAAGTCTGCAAAAAATAGTGAGCAATATAATTCTAAAATAGATCTATCTATAAGGCAAATAAGATGAATGGCTGTGAAGTGGAATGTTAAGGTATTATGCATACGCAAATACTTTCTATAGACTACCTAAAAAATAGTTTTGAGTTATATTAGGAACACAAAGTATACTTATGACCTTTTAATTTTAAAAGAATACTAAGACTAATTAATAAATTAGGTTTTGATTGATTTTACTGGGATTAGGAAAACAATCTTCCCAATTATTATTTCATGGAACATTCATATAAAATATGAAATAAAGAATATAGAATAGAAATATAGATATGCTTTCAATAAGCAAATTTATATATCTTTTAACCTAGAAGCAAAAGACCCAAAAACCTGAATAATTTGTCGTGCAAATTCTAGTACTTTTGTTTTAAGAACATATATCTATGGTATATGAATAATCCCTAGGTTCTTACGATTCAAAATCTATTGAGTCACACAACGAATATTCGGATTAAGACATATCGGGACATGACGAAGAACACCTTGAACATTTTGGGGATACAGATACGGAAATCGGTGGGTTTCCCACGCACCTTCAATGCCCAAATATGGACGTGGCGATACGTTATCGAAGGATCGATTGACGCTGAAATCTCGCTGTACCTCGTCGAAGGAAGCCAGGGATCTGAACTTGTGTTGCTCTGCGGAATCGAGAGTTGGGAATTCGAAGGGCGAGGGCTGTGCCGCGGAACGGGGCGTGGCCGGGGGCGGGGGCGTGGCAGCCAGCATTGAGGAGGATGCCGACATGCTCTGCTGCAGTGGCTCGGTGGCCGTTTTCACCAGGAGTCCAATGTTGTGGCCTTCCAGTTGTGGCACATGCGAGAATTTTGCAGGAAGATTGACCGGCGATGGTGAGCCCTTGGTCTGGACAGGATTGAGACCGTAGGGTGAGCTGGAACGCTGAGGAGCCTCTATAAGTGGAGCGGGATAGCGGCGCGAGGGCAGCGGACTGGGCGAGCGACTCCTCTCCCAGGTGACCTCCGTTTCCGGTTCCTTGAGGCTGAACAGCGCCGGTGGAGGAGGCGGTGGCGGAGAGTCCGTAGCCGGCGTGGTCACAATCTCCACAAAACTCCGCTGACGCTGCAGTTTCTCGGGAGCAGTCTTCTCCTTGGCCGACTGCGTGTCCTCCCAGGAGATCTGCCGCGATATATAGGGACTCCTAATCTCGTAGGTGGCCTTGTAGTTCCTCAGCGGTTCGTTGTGCAGATTGGCAATGCGCCACTGGTCGGCCTTATTGAGTTTGGCCCAGTTATTGGGCGAGCAGCGCATCTCATCGCAGCATGGACAATAGTTGGAGGAGAAGGCTTCGTGGTCGCAGGATGCCTCCTTTTCTTGGAGGTTCACCTGGTCAGCACTTCTTGGGAGATCTGTTTTGGTTGTATTTGCATCTGGCTCCTTTTTACTCTGCTGTAAATCTGGCTTAATTACTGGTTCCTCTATCCTTAACTCTTTGTTGACCAGTGGTTCCTCATTTGAACCTTGTTGCCCATCTTTTGTTACCAATTTAGGTAGCATTACCTTTTTCTCTTCCAATGAGACTGCCTTTTTCTGCTCCTTAATCACTACCTTTTTCTCCTCCTCAATCACTACCTTTTTCCCCTCCTCTGTCACTACATTTTTACCTTCCCGTAAAGCTTTTTTGGCCAGCTGCTCCTCTATCGCTTTCCTTAACTCTGTTTTTGGCAGCACCTCTTTAACTTCCGGCTCTTTCTTGGCCACCTGTTCCTCCTTCCACTCCTCGAACTCCTTTTTGGCCAACTGCTCGTAGTTGGCAATTACATCCGATACGTGTCTGTATTCCATGTCCTCATCCACATCCACATCCTTGATGACTACGTGCTCCGCTTCAATGACAGCTGGCGTTGTCCGGAGTTCTACGTGCATGAGTTCCGCGGTCTCTGGTTTTTGCTCCAGTGCCACTGCAATCTTGTGCAGATCCTCCAGTGCCCGCTCCACAATGGGCACGTTTTCGGTGAGGGCCTCCTCCGCCTCCTCTTCGGCGGGTGTCGCCTCCTTAATCTCTTTCGAGAGCCGCGTGGGTAAGCCAGCTGCCCGGGTGTAAATCTGCCGGAGGATGGCCTGCAGTGGACTCTCCACGGCCAAAATGGGTGACTGGCGATGGGCGAAGATGTCCCAGGAATCGTTGCTGCCCGAACTGATGGGTCTCACGGGTGGTGCTGGAGGCGGAGGCGGAGGAGGTGGTGGCGTGGGAATGGGTGTGGGAGTAGCTACTGGTGTGGTTTGGGCACTCCTCTGCAGCGCCTGCTTGGCATTCTCCATGTAGGCATCGATCTGGAGGAGATGCTCGGCTATGGATTGCTGGATGTGGGCATATTTGGCCTCCAACTGGGCAATCTCCACATGGGCCTCGTGCTGCTTCTCCGCATCACTCCCCAGGCTGTAGATCCCACCCTGTCGCCTCGCCTGCTTGTCCTTGGCCTGCGCATCCTGGCCAGCCTTGGAACGCATCACCGGGGGCGGAGGAGGTGGCGGTGGAATCGGAGTACTCGGTGTGCTGCTCGCCTGCCGCTGAAGCAACTTGATCCCGCCGGTGGCACTCACATAGGTGGGACTCTCCATCTCCTGGTGGTCGTGATCGTGATCGCGATCGTGATCCTGCAGATACGAGCAGGCGTCGTCGTAGATCTGCTGGGCACTCAGCTTGGGCGGATCCCTCGAGGCCTCCACGCGAACGGGCACAATGCGAGTGTTGGCCGAGGGACTCTTGGCCTGGCTAATGCTCCCATTTGTGGCCAAAGCCAGAGCCATCTGCTGCTGCTGCTTAACTGCCAGGTTGTCAATTACCATTCGGCCCGCTGTCGTCGCTTGATTGAGATTCGGGGCAGCTGGTGTTGGATTCTGGGTAGGTGTTGGTGTCGGTGTCGGTGGCAGCGGCAAGGCCTCCAAGTCAAACTCTTGGCCAGAAACCGGGTCCTCCTCGCTGTCGCCGTCGTGGCCATAGGAGATCTTCACCTCGGTGGCCAGTTTGATGCATCTGCGTTGGACTTTTGGCTTCGCAGTTCGTGGCTTGGGTGGCGGCAGTTCCGGAGCACCCACTGTCCGCTTGCGGCTGCGTCCGCGTTCCAGGGAGTAGGCCTGCCTCTTGTATCTTGGCCGATAGGGCGTCACCGGAGTGGGCAACGTGGTGGGGGTAGTGGGCCGCTTGTGGGCCAACTGCTCGTAGTATTCACACCGTGGAGCCACCAGACCCAAGTCCACGTCGGCTGCCTTGGTTTCTGGAGCGGAGAAGCCTTTCGAGAGGGGGGTTTGGTGAAAGACCTCGGCCAGGTCGGATACCCTTTGGGGTGTTCGGGATCTCTCCTTGGAACCACCATCCCTCTGTCGCTGCTCTCTCACTTGCCGGGCCGTGGGTTCTATAATCCTGGTGGGACTCTGGAACTTCTCCCTCAGAGCCTCAATACTGTGCGAGGGATTGCAGGAGATCGGGGGATTCTGGTCGGGATTGGCCACCACATCCAGCTCCGCTGGTGGCCAGCTGTGATCCCGCTTGAGCAGATGCCGCTTGGTGGCCAGGCGGTTGATCTTCAGCACCGTGTCCCGATCGATGGTGATGTCCTGCTGGTGGCTGAGATAGTCCGTCTTGATCTGGTCCAGCAGCTGCTGGTGCAGCGTGTGATGCAGTGCATCGCCCTCGGCACGCTGACGCCGACGGCTCTGTCTTTCAATGGGGTAAAAATCTTTCGCGAGAGAAGCGCCATAGTTTACTTAAAATTATCTGCAAAATAACACAAAAATCGGACACTGGGCACTGGGACGGAAAGTGGCTCTTTTGTTGAATGTTTTCACACTGTTTCTTATTGTTTCGGCAACATATAATAAACACGCACGGGGAAAAATCTAACATATAACTATATCTTACCAGATTTGGCTTGTTGTTCTTCCTCTTCGACGGCGCGCAGAACGGCCGAGTTGGCCAAGTTCAGGGGCTTTGTGATTTGATCGTCGACTTCAATCCTAAAAGAGTCCAAAGTGAAGAGGTACTTAATAAACATCTGTATAAAAAGCCAAAAGCTTAAAGATAATTTTGAATTTCGCGGCATAAACTGCTTGCTTTACTGCCTTAATTGTGCACTGCTTTGCGGCGCCAACTTTGAATTTACCTTTGAATTTAAATGAAATATTGCGCAAATTAAATACGTGTCCTTTTTGCAATATTTCACATTTTCAATTTAATTTTTTATCACAACTTGTGTTTAATATATTTTGTTATTTTTCTATTTGATACAAATACTGATAAAACTTTGCAAGAAGTATTCTTATAAAGCTTATGTTCTTTATATCAAAGAATTTGCCCTTTTAAAATGTAAGTTTGCGTTCTTATTAATATTACAACCACCCTTGAATGTGTCCTAATAAGCGAAGGGGTATGCTAAGCACCCTTCGATGTCCTGACATTGAAAATTACTCCCACAAGACTAATCGAATGCGACAGGTGGATGCTGCTCTGGCGGATATAAAAGTGGCTGGTCGCGGCGGAAAGTGCACCACATCCTCTGCGGCACCACATCCAGCAACACCATGAACTTCCTGATCCGCTTGATTCCATTGCTTGTGATCCTGATCCCGCTCCTGAAACCGGCGGAGGGAGAACTGGCGTGCGGCCACTATTTGACAGAATTAGTGATGACTATTTGCCAAGGAAAATTAAATGTAATGGTTTCAAAACGAGCTTATCGTGAGTATTCGTGCCTTCTGGGTTTTTAAAACGACACTAGTAAACTTTTTTGCAGCGGATCTGAAGCTATTTGGCTTTGAGAACAACATGCTGGAAAACTCCGATTCGGAAGAAGATTTCAAGCCCCATCACCCCCGCCTTAATTCCATGATGGCCATGCCACGTAATCTCCGGGGCATTGTGGACGAATGTTGCCGTAAGCCGTGCTCCGTTGCAAAGATTCAAAAGTACTGTCAAGATTGAAAGAACACCAACCTGTTTCGAGACCTGTGCCATCATATACCCACGATTGTTCAAATGAATAGAATTACACGCCTCTTTATCAAATAAAATATAAAGCCCGTTATTAATAAAAAGAATAATTTAAAAATTATTAAATGAACTGGTTTTTAAAGCGAATTTAATAAATAATTATAATATAATATAATATATTTAATTATATTATATTTATATACAAAAAAAATTAAAGGAAAACATTTTGAATCAATTATTTAGTATGATATTAAGCTAAATTAACTGGAATTAACTAACGAATGTTAGGGGAGATAAATTAATACCTTTAATACCTTTGCGATCATATACCTCCGAGATATAATGTATGTTAAAATTAATAGTATATGGACGCCTTTTATACAAAAAAACGGCAAAGGCGTATTTTGAAACCAGTTTTCAACACTTTGATAACTCAAATAAAAAAATGTATTAAGCCTTATTAACTGATTTAATAATTACAAAATTATACGAATTACCTAACCAATATTAGAGAAAATAAATTTAAGAACATTATTTTGATAGTTGTGCCATTAATAGCCACCAGATATTAAGTTTGTTGACATAAATAGTACGACTTTTGTGAAAATAAAACAAAAGCGCATTTAAATCCCCGCCCTTAATGCTTTCAAAAAACAAATAAAAAATCAATTTAAAAATATTAAATAAAATTAACTGTTTTTAATTCTTCTAAAGAATTCAATAAAATTAAGTTATCTTAATTCTTTTAAACTAATAAATAAATGGGTTTTCATGAGAAAAAATTAAAATAATCATTTTAATTAATAAGACTTGCTTAGGAATCGGCCAGTGTTCCAAATTTACTGAACGATTTTTGGGGAGATGAACTACAGAATTAACCATTTATTTTTTACAAATTTTTGAAAACTTTATGTTAAATTAAAAAAACTGTTTAGGAAAATAGCAATTAATTCCAGTTAACCCAATGCCTTTAGCGGATGAAAAATCTGTATAAATTGCTTATATTAAGCCTCAAACGCAAATTCTTACACTAAATATGATGGCCTTCAAGAATTTGAGTTTGGGTTAGTATTTATACATGCCATCACCCTTGAATGCGTCCCATTAACGAAGGGATATGCTAAGCCATGGGCATAAATTAATCGTAACATCTTTCTAAGTCCTGACATTGAAAATTAGCTAGCACTTTTATGCCCACGCTGACCCCAAAAAACTAATCGAATGCGACAGGTGGAAGCTGCTCTGGCGGATATAAAAGTGGCTGGTCGCGGCGGAAAGTGCAACACATCCTCTGCGGCACCACATCCAGCAAGACCATGAAGTTCCAGATCCGCTCCTTGATTCCGCTGCTCGTGATCCTGATCCCGCTCCTGAAACCCGCGGAGGGGCAAATTTCGTGCGGCCACTATTTGACAGAATTAGTGATGACTGTGTGCGACGGCAAATTAAATGCGATGATTTCAAAACGAGCTTATCGTGAGTATTTGTGCCTTCTGGGTTTTTGAAACGACACGAGTAAACTTTTTTGCAGCGGATCTGAATCTATTCGGTTTTGAGAACAACATGCTGGAAAACGCAGATTCGGAAGAAGATTTCAAGCCCCACCACCCCCGCCTTAATTCCATGATGGCCATGCCACGTAATCTCAGGGGCATTGTGGACGAATGTTGCCATAGGCCGTGCTCAATTGAAAAGATTCAATCGTACTGTCAAAATTGAAAGGACCCCAACCTATTTCGAGACCTGTGCCATCATATACCTACGAGATTTACGATTGAAAAATGAACACGCCTCTTTTGCAAATAAAATATAAGGCCCGTTATTAATACTTTAATATAGAAAAAATATGAAAAAATATTTTTAAAAAATATTAAATTAACTGGTTTTTAAAGCGCAGATTCGCTTATATTTAATATTATATTGGGCGAGAAAAAATGGATGAAAAACATTTTGTTTCAATATTATATTTGTATTATTATTTATTATTAAGCTTAATTAACTGGAATTAACTAACGAATATTAGGAACGATAAATGAAAGAACATTATTGCGATACCTTTGCCATTATATACTTCTGAGATATATCGTTTGTTAAAAATAATAGTATATGCACGCCTGTTATGCAAATAATCAATTTTGAAATCAGTTTTCAATACTTTTAAATTTTAAATTAACCGGTTTTAATTTTTTAAGAATATTAAATTTAATTAATTTCTTATGAATTAGCTAATATTAAACATTTACTTAATACGTTATCAAAAAAAAATTATTATAATGATTTTTATTAAATAAACTTGCTTGGAAATCGCCCAGTTTTCTAAATTTACTTTGTTGTTTTTGGCGAGAAAAACTGCACAAAACAGATCTTTATTTATTTAAAATTATTAAAAATGTGTTTGTTAAATTAAGAAAAATGTATAAAAATATTAAATTGACAGGTTTTTGAATAAAACAAATCTAATGAATAATTGCAGAGGGAGAAAAATTCATAAAAACTTTTTTTTGCAATTTATTATTATTATACTAAGCTTTATAAACTGGTTTAATAATTATAAATTGATACAAATTAACTAACCAATATTAGGGGAGATAAATTCAAAAACATTATTACTATACTTGTGCAATTAAAACACACGAGATATTGCAATTGTTGAAATGAGTAGTATATGCACGCCTTTTATGAAAATAAATGACAAGACAAACGCGCATTTTAATCCCTGTCCTTAATACTTTCATAAAACCAATAAAAAATCGATTTAAATATATTAAATATAATAACCTGTTTTTAAGTTTTTTAATATATTTTGTAAAATTAACTGTTTTTAATTCTTTTAAAATATTAAATAAAACAAGAAAAAAAAGCTAACTTCGGGCGGAGCCGAAGTTGAAATACCCTTGCAGAATATTCTGCAATTATATTCTCCAAAATTATTCATATGATGCATTCATAACACTCATAAAAAATCCCAACTTCCTAACTTTAAAAACACCAAAGTTTTGGCATTTTCGATCAATCAGTTATATGGTAGCTATAGGATATAGTCGGCCGATCCCGGCCGTTCCGACTTATAACTACGTGCAAAGGAAATAAGAGTGTGTCCAAAGTTTCAATTCGATATCTTTCAAACTGAGAGACTAGTTTGCGTAGAAACAGCCAGACGGACATGCTTATATCAACTCAGGAGGTGATCCTGATCAAGAATATTTATACTTTATAGGGTCGGAGATGTCTCCTTCACTGCGTTTCACACTTTTGACCAAAATTATAATACCCTCTGCAGGGGTATAATAACTGTTTTTAAATCCATTACAATTTTTTTAAAATTAATTTAAAATTGTATGCTAAAATAAATAAACTGTTTATGGAAGTAAAAATTATTTCCAGTTTACCCAATGCCTCTAGCGGATGAAAAATCTGTATAGGTTGCTTATATTAAGTCTCTAACTCTCTATACTAAATATGATGGCCTTCAAATCATCATCCTTGAGTGCGTCCTACTAACGAAGGGATATGCTAAGCCATGGGCATAAATTAATCGTAACATCTTTCTAAGTCCTGACATTGAAAATTAGCTAGCACTTTTATGCCCACGCTGACCTTAAAAAACTAATCGAATGCGACAGGTTGAAGCTGCTCTGGCGGATATAAAAGTGGCTGGTCGCGGCGGAAAGTGCACCACATCCTTTGCGGCACCACATCCAGCAAGACCATGAAGTTCCAGATCCGCTCCTTGATTCCATTGCTCGTGATCCTGATCCCGCTCCTGAAACCCGCAGAGGGAGAACTGGCGTGCGGCCACTATTTGACAGAATTAGTAATGACTGTGTGCGAAGGAAAATTAAATGTTATGATTTCAAAACGAGCTTATCGTGAGTATTTGTGCCTTCTGGGTTTTTGAAACGACACTAGTAAACTTTTTTGCAGCGGATCTGAATCTATTTGGCTTTGAGAACAACATGCTGGAAAACTCCGATTCGGAAGAAGATTTCAAACCCCACCACCCCCGCCTTAATTCCATGATGGCCATGCCGCGTAATCTCAGGGGCATTGTGGACGAATGTTGCCATAGGCCGTGCTCCGTTAAAAAGATTCAATCGTACTGTCAAGATTGAAAGAACACCAACCTGTTTCGAGACCTGTGCCATCATATACCCACGAGATTTACGATTGTTCAAATGAATAGTATTACACGCCTCTTTTGCAAATAAAGTATATAAGCGCAATTTAAACCGTTTTTAATCATTTTATAATGAAACAAGAAAGTAATTAAACTTCGGCAAACCGAAGTTTATATAACAGTGCAGTAGCTAAAAATCTACTACATTTTGATTTCTATGCCTATATTACTAATCGTTACATCGTTTCTATGGCAGCTATATTATATTGTTGTCCGATTTAATTTAATTAAAACCGTAATTCCATAAAAAGACAACTTTTGGGAAAGTAATATTACAAGTTTAATTAAAATCAAAAAATACTCTAATATTAGCGGAGAACAATTAAAGAAAATCCTTTTTTGATTTTCAATTTAGTATATTGAATTAATTTAACTGTTTTAGGAATCAGCAAATAATACAATTTTACCAACCCTTTTTACATAGTATTTTTCTTTGAGTTCAAGTTAAAGAAAATGTTGATTTAATTCGCAGCAAGTAGGGTGGAAATTTCACACAAACAAAAATATGTTTAACGCTGGCCTGGCGATTTTCTTTAAGCTGGCAAAAGAGTTTCCAACTTTAATTATAATTTCTATGAAATGTTTTGCCTTCCAATGCATAATCTTAATCTGCCTAAAATATTTTGCTTTCCTCAAAGATAGCAAACAGAAATATTTAAGCTAAGAAAATGTGCCAACTGAGATAAGGCCTCAACGAATTTATAGACAACAAAGTCCAGAGATAATCGCAAAGCTTAAAGCTGCTAGGCTGTTTTAAAACAAATTAAAGCCTTTCGCATTTCGTTTGAAACTGACACCTTTGAATAGTCCCTTCAAAATAAAATCACTTGCATCTGTCGACCAGAACTTTAATAAGTATATTAATTTTGAGCCATAGCAAACAGAGTGACAACCTCATTTGCCGCAAGCAAATATTTGCTCATAACAAATAGAAATTTAATTCATTGCATTTTGATTGAGGTTTGCTTCAATATTTGCCTAAATATTCATTTGGCGGCGTTTGATGATTAGTGGGACATTTTTCAATTATTTTCCCTTTTTGTAGTTCATTGGTTAACTGTGCGATTTCCCTGTGATTCACCGATGGCCAGAAAGTCAAGAGATGCCTCACAACTTTTGGCTAGACGCCTGCCTTTTGTTTGTTGACATTGTTTTAGTTGTTCTTTTTCGATTCTGTTGCATTAAATCAGCGCATTATCGCTGGCAAGTGACTCATCTACCTGCTGACGTCTTGGTTTATTTTAGACTTTTTTACACACACAAAAACTAATGGTGTATGCAATTTGTAATATATTTTGTATTATATATATGTAAAATAATTGATAAACACAAAAACACCCTTCATTTATCTATCAATGCAAAGTTTAAAAAAAACAAATTATGTTTATAAATTATCATTAAGCACTTCATCAGAAAAAGTTTATATTTTGAATAACTTGTTCTATAATTGTAGAAATTTTATATTTATTATTTGATTTATTTATCGAACTACATTTGTTATTTTAGCGAAATTCCTACAGTTATCGTTATCAACCCTTATTTAAATTTTTGGCTTTATATACTATTTGCTAGTATGCATTACTATATCAAAGTTAAATAATATTATTACTCTCAAGAATTTTATGTTTAAGATCCCTCAAGATCAAGTTTTGTTTCCTTTTTGGTCGTTTTCTCTATTTTACACTTGACTGGCGTTATATAAAAAGTATCTTTTGGGATGCTTCTCGCTCCTCGCTTCACGTACATTTTATTTTCGAAGTTTAAAGTTGGTCGAAGCCTTGGCTCAGCTGTTTTCGGAAAAGTTGCTCCCTAATACGGTAAAACACGTTACGCACACTCACGCGCGAATATGCGATTGAAAGTTTTTAGTTTTAAGTTTTCAGTTTTCGGTCTTTGGTAATTAAATTTAAAGACTCCGCCGCTATAGTTGCACACGTTTTGTCGCACGCATAGTCACCGAATAACTGAAAGCCACTTAAAGTTTTTGCTCACCAGAGCAGATCACCATATCTATCTGGCGGATCGGTGAGTTAAGGTGAGGTGAGGTGAGGCTATGGCCGGTTTATTCAAACAACAATTGCAAACAACAATGGCAGAGATAGAGATATGGTTGTTGTGGCGACAGCAGCAAAACAGCACCAGCTACAAATACAAATACAAATTAATTCAAGTCTAAAGAGCATCGCTGAGATACGCGTTGCTTATAAAGCTTTTTGGTAATTACAATTAAACGTCAAAGCATTTAATTGTAGATGTTGTTGTTGTCCTCAGCGTGTTTTTGACTATCTGTGTGTGTTTGTGTGTGTCCCAACAAATTGGCAGCAGTCTCAGTAGCACTTGCAGTAGCACTTGCAGTCGCTGCCTCAGTCGACGCTGCTGTCGCGCTGCAATGCACAAATGGAGGGGCTTCCCCCTTTAATCCCCCTTCTCCCCTCCCCTTGCCGCCCACTAATTAATGTGTTTTGTGCACCTGTTTTGTGGCAGCGGATTTTGTATCTGTCAAAATAGAACAAGCAGAGTTGGAGGCTTTTGGCGGGGCTTGTGTTACCAAAACACTTCCAGTATTATTTCGAAATAAATTGGGATTTTAGTTCCTAAAATAATTTACCGTAAAATGTGGATTTGAATATTAACATTACGATAAGCAAAAATGTTGTTTGAATTTATTCATTTTTGTGGCCCTGTCCTTGTAGTTTCTCTGCTACTAATAACATAATAATGTCTTTTTTGCAAAAGACTTCTGGTATTCTCGCGGAACCAATTTTGATTTTTTTTCTTAAATAATTTACACCAAGATTATACTTTGAGTAGTTACATTGCAATAGTAAGCATTATTAAAATAAAAAAACAAACATTTACGACTTGTAATTTTTTGTTGATGGTAATAATTTATTAATTTTTCGTATTACCCAAATAGTTCCAGTTTTTTCCAAAAAAAAAAATTTGTGATTTAGTTTCTTAAATAATTTACCCTTAGGTTATACAACCTATTTGAAATACTAAAATTATCTGTTTTAACCCAGTCGTTTTAATTTGTCTCTGATACTCAAAAATTTGGAATTCTGAATGGTTATAAGCTGGAGATCTTAAGAATTGGTTACTTTTAATGGGGTAAAGTTCAATAATTTAAAAGCAAAAAATAATCAACGACCCATATCAAATTCTGATTAGATTTAATGATTGTCAAATATGGACAATTTTATTCTTTATCCATTCAAATTGGTATTTTAAAATATATGCGCTTTGGATTCATTAGCCGGAAATCGGCTTTAAATTCCAAGCCTTTGAAAATAAAAGGGGAACAATTAATGTGCTTTATAAATCTTGATTGGCAACTTGACAACAAAATGAATGTTTTTTAAAACGTTAACAATTTCTAAAGATTTATTATGATATGATCTTTGTATTAATTAGCTAGAAAATTGTCTTATGATTTATTTTTATATTCGAAGCCTTTTAAATATAAGTGTATAACAATCAAAGGGCTTGTTAAGCTTTGTAAATTTGTTTAATTATAAACATATTTAAGTCCCTCAACGCTCTATTCCTAGTCACTTGGAATTCAACTAGCAATTACATAGACTAAGCGACTGAGGAAACGCACCGACCCCGCCAGAACCATTTACGAGCTCTCTTCTCCAGCTGGCTGCTTTCATCTATTTTATGAAATATGCATTTAAATGTATGATAATCATTTCGCTTGGGCACACAAGGGGCCGTTCCTTTTCCTTTTTTCTTATTTTTTAATTTTGTTCCCCGCCCGTTACTCACCCCTCGCCGCCGAAGGCTTTCAGCTCGCGGTTCAAGGTGGCCTTCACGTTCTCCTGGGAATAGAGGCCCATGGGCGAGTTGAACTGCTTGTGCACCAGTTTCCGTTGTAGGGCGGCCATTTTGTATATTTGTATATATGGGTGCGTATCCTTTCTGGACTGCTTCTTCCTGCGGACTCAAGTTGCTCCTTTTAAATGTTTAACTTCGGTTCCTCCTTGGCTGACTTCTGTTTGCCTCGGAGCTCTTTATTCTGTGTGTGTGTGTGCTTACTTCTTCGGATGTCTTCGAAAGTTTTTCAAAAAAATATTGTTGATAAAAAATATTTTTTAAAATTTTCTACTCGACTTAATTCCGCTTATCGGTCTTCTTTTGTTTGTTCTTGTTTTTGCTGGCGGTAAGTGGGCGATTTGAAAAAGAATCCTAAGCACTTTCCCCTACTTCAGTTGGACTTAATGTTAATCGTTAATTGTCGGTCGTTGTTCGTTCTGTAATTGAAATGCAAAATAAAACTGAATGAGATAATAAGGTAAGTGGAAACTTAATTCGAACAGGAGTTAATTGGAAGAAGGAAATAAAGCTACAAAGTTTCAATGACAAGCTTAAATGATTTTCACAGCTCACAAATTAAACTCTTAACTTTATCATTTGCTAGTTGTAGTGTAAAATTACCAATTAACTCAAATAACCTTTTCCATGTTAATATTCACAGTAAGACATTTCCTTAAACTTAAAAATTAATTTTTAATTTTACACATACATATTATATATACATATTCTATATATTATATAATTAATGCAGTTTTTATTAACAAATAAAAATATCTTTGTTTTTATGGATATATAAAAATATGATAAAGTACTTAAGGCAAAGACTTTATGACCGTGTTTAATAACAAATGTGTTAATTAATTTTTGAGCACCTAATTAAATTCCTAAACATGTAATTTCCTCTTACAAATCATGTATTAAATGAGTTGATTGTATTTAATGACAACCAAAAAGCTTTTCTTTAATATTTCTGTTAGCCTTGTATAACATATCTCTTTGCTAATTTATGAATATATATAAATCTAATTATAAACACAAAACAAAAACTGGGAGACTTTAAAAACTTTTCAAACAAGAGCGAAATAATTTCAGAACTATTTCCAGTAGGCAGCACAAACACTTCAATGTCAACGCTGTATATATATAACACTTTAATGCCATCAATAGCTACACATTCACATAAAATTTAAAATTTATAATTCTCTCAATAGCGAACTGGAATCATTTTATAGAAATTCGTTTCGATTTTACAGCTGTTGCCAACAAATTACAGACGTGGAATTTCGTGCGATATTTGAAAAATATGCAAAGGCACGTATAGTATTTATTTTTCCAATTTCCTGAGATACTCACTCACTACTGTCACATTTAGAAATGTATCTTAAACTAATTTGAGCACTGCCTGGCTGGGCAAAACAAAAATATAATATTTTTGTGTGTGCAGACGATTTTGTTGTCTTGCTATTTGTGCGTTCGCCTAAAAATAGCACCAAAGACAACGGCAAAAATATTGAAATGTGCTCAATTTTTTCGCTACACTCATATTTTCCACACACTCGGGCTCTCTCAAAGTCTCTATTTTGAAATTCCCGCCTTGTGTGTCACCTCAAATAAAATTAGCAGCTGTGAGGAAAAGATACCATTATTTTGATTTGCGTCATTTCGAGAAAACGAATGAAAATCACAAGGAGATGGTATAGGTATGCGTAGGTATGGGTAAATGGAAAATGCAATAAAAGATACTTGAGAAATAATCGTAATGAAGTATTTTTGTGTTTGCTCGTATTTTATGCCTTTTAATTGCAGCTTGTTGCTGCTGTGCATCTGATGTTGCTGCCGTGCTGTTGCTGTTGCTGTTGCAGCTGCCACAGCTGTTGCGCCCGTAAGCACGCAATATTCTGACTGGGCCAACGGAAGCGGACCAAGAATCGTACAAATTAATCAACATTTAATAAAATATTATGCAAATTACACACAAAAGGCAGGAAAGCAGCGGCATAAAGAGAGCCAGCAGCAACAAGAGCTTGCCACTTGATGTCCCAATTAAAGTTTAACACAAAACTCACACAGGCACAAACACCAACACCCAGCCACCCACACATTTGCAACTCAACCTCACTAGTTCACACACACCCACACACCCTCACACACACACAAAAAACAGGTGCGTGCTGCACTCTGTGTACTTAGCACAGGAATTGTAAGGGAATTTGCATAAAAAATGCTCGCAAAAATAATGTTTCAAAAAAAGCAAAGTGAGCGTGTGCGAATGAGTGGTGTGGGTGTGGCAGACAAAGCATAACCCCCTGCCACATGGCAACCAGCCCACACATTTGCAGCAATACCCTTCTTCTCATCAAATTACCAGCCCCAGGACATGCAAAACGGAGTTGCAAAGCCAAGACTTTTCCACTTCATTTGTATTAACAAATTGTTTCGGGCCTTAAAATGGCAGATGAAAAATAAGTGTAAAATATACAATGTTCATTTTAAAACTAATATTTTGTCATAGCAACAGTCAATCACGCAATTTGTCAAATAGTTTTGCCTTGAGCCAAATTTTAAAATAATATTTCTCCTCAAAATTACTCAATATGTTGAAGGCTCAACAAAAATATTTAAATCATATTTCAGCATTGATGAATTTCCAGGCGCAACATTATTTAAATTCGTTTTATGGGTAAACTGTTTCATACATATTATACAATTTGCATTAAATAAATATTAGATAGCAACAACAAAATATTCATTCTATTGAACAATTAAGTTTCTGAATATATAATTGTGCGATTACCACTTTCTACATAATTAAACAAAACATAAAACAACAAATGTAAGTAGTAATTTTAACATAGTAACTTTTCGGAACATTATATACTTTCCACCTTTTTAAGCCATTTTAGAAAATGTTTATTTATTTATCCCTGCCTGTTGCAATAAGAAGAAATAGATTTTATTTATTATCACATTTTGGTAGTCAATATTATAAATCCCTACTCAGCTTAAATTTGTTAAATAATCTGCTCCAATTAAATAATATTTCTTTAATTTTGCTGTCTCGAAATATTTTCAGGAGCACCTATAAATACTATATTTAACAGCGAAGACTTAAGGTAAGAGTATGACGTCTTTCCCATAACCTAATTAACATTTCTCGCCCGTTCATTTTTCAGTGTCTTTATTTTGGCATCGACATCATTATCATCGCTGCCATAGCCATAGTCATCGGTTCGACTCCATGGCATGTGTGAGTGTGAGTGTGGTGTGGCTGTGAGTGTGGGTGTGGGTGTAGGTGTGGGTGTGTCTTTGTGAGAGCGCTATATAAACTATAATCGTGGCTAAATGTGTGCGAGTGTGAGCCAGTGTGTGTTCCGGCACACATATGCATTGGAATCAGGTGCAAATATTGTTAGATTTGCGTCGAGGCGAGGCATTTCGCAAATCTGGGTGTCGACGCATCTGTGGATCTCATGGATTGCACATCCGAAATCCCAAAACTGGATGAAAGCTGTTGATTTTGCCTGCCATGTTTTTGCTGATTTAATTATTAAAATTCAGCATTGTGCTACGGCATCTCTCGTTTTTGTTGAATTGCTTGAATATTTCATTCTACTTCTACACAAAAACAAATATATTAGTTTAAACGTATGCAATATGATCATCGCATATTGAACATATGGTAAATTTGCTAAGCCGGCTTAAGCTATTTGTGAGAGAACGACAAATAAAGTTTTGTATAGTCGTGTGTCTGTTGGAGGAGATTTTCATAGAAATTAAATTATTTTTAATTAAAATAATACGGTAAATCCCCACAACTTTGTATAAGTTATGAGTAATTATATGTTAGCTTGTAAATAACTGAATATGCTCAGAAATTATGTGATACATGAGTTGGTTTCTCAATTAAGCTGTCACTAAACTTTATCGTCTTTTACTTTACAATTCAAATACAAAATCAGAATATATATATTAACATGTGCACGACCTTTTTTATCAACACCTTTGATTAAAACTCATCTCAAAAACCAGATTGCTTTGCGTATTAGTTATTAAATATTATACTAGTCTTAAAATGTTGAACCGATATCATAATGGTTTATTTTTGTGAGAGTCTTGGGACTTATCTTTAACAACCAATTAACACATTATTTAAATAAATGTCTATAATATCAAAAGTTTTTCAAATTGTAGGGGAATGGCAAATGTTTCTGCTTCATTGACTTAAAATAGTTGAGTATAATTTAAGCTAATTTGTTTCCTGTGCAACCCAATTGTTTTCGACTTAGAAGTGGGGTGTGAGCTATGCACTTAAGCACACTAATATTCACCAAATAAACACCACTGGCTGGCTTAAGTGTAAACACACACACACACACATGCGTACACTGAGGGAAAAGCATGCGAATTTATTTGGTTTAATGTGGGTGCTTACCGTCTGTTACAATTTGGCGCTGCTTAATCCAAAAATAACGCCAGCCAATTGCCAAAAGTTGGCTCCAGAGTGCTACTTGCTGACCCCGCCACGCCCCCCGCTGCACTTTCTTTATTGTTGCACTTTCACCGCCAAACCCCCCGCGCCCCTCCCAAATTAAGATTCTGTGTGTGTGGGGGGGGGGGGTTTCGAGGAGCGCGAAAGCGAACGCGTCCGCCGAGAACCGGCGTTTTGTAAGCGCACCATCGGCCAACTGAAACTGAAACTGAAAATGAAACAGCAACAGAAGCAACAGAAGCGAAGCAGCGGCAAAACGCTAAACTTTACGCAATGATCGGTGGCGGCGCCTTTTGTTTTTGTTGCTTTTTCATCAGTCTACATTTTCATTTTCACATCTTTGGCACCGCAGCAGCAGCAGCAGCAGTAGCAGCAGCGGACCGCCGGAATGTATCTGTATCCGCGGGCGAACGAGTGCGTGGCTTCAGATACAATCCGCCACACTGGTGGCCGCAAAAACGTGCATTGCGATGCGATTTTAACAACAGAAATGAAAAGCGGTTTGTTTTGAAAAGATTCAAGAGCTTTATTTCGAAATCGAGACTAACAATATTGCATATTTTTATTAACAATGTAGTGCCAATCAAAACAAATAGTACAAAAACATTGCAAAATTTCCCAATTCTATAAAATCATTAACAATAATAAAAGCCTTTTTTTAAATATTGGCAAATAAATTGGGCACAATAACTCTGCAAATAAAGACTGAACACACATAAACTTTGTAAAACCAATAAATTGTTTATCTATATTATTATGAAATCATTTTTGAAGGCATAAAAAACTTGTAACTCAAAATTTAAATCAGCTTCAAAAAATATGAACCTCAGGAAGCAAATTTTAGCATTTTTCAAAAATGCAGTTAAATCAACTTAATTGGAAACCAAAATGTTGAATAAATCCCACGAAAATATAAAATAAGACATAGGCAAGTTTTTGGCAGATACAAAAATTAATAAAAATATAAATATATTTTCAATTGACAAATAAATAATGTTAATAAATTGCAGAAGAATGTATTGCAACTACTGTTAAGTAAAAACATTGATACATTCGCAGACAGAAAACGAGAGTTCAATTAATTAAAATGATTTATATGCAAAAGCCGAACCGCTTACGCACTTGCACATATGGATGAGTGACTTTTATTACCTAATTAACAAGAATGATGGCATTAAATTGAAATACATTGAAGCGCATTTGGCAGATTTTCAAAAAGAAAACCGAATCACCACCTTGATGAGCAAAAGCATTGACTTGAATTCAAATTAAAGACAAAGAGGATTAAACGAGCTAAAAAGTTCAAAAGCGAGGCCATCATGATGAGAGTCTGTCCAAAACACCCACAAATTCAAGCTGATTCATTACGGCTGCAGGGGGACACCTTTTACCAACCGCCACTGTAGGTTGGCCACATATTTAGACCGATTTTCCCCACCCGCCAGCAAGAACAACAAAAACACCGAGTAGTTTCAGAAAGAGAGCAGCGGAAAAAAAATGAATTATATATAAAAAATATTCGGTCGCCGTCGATGAGCGACAAGATGGAGACAGCGGCAGCGAAAGATGGATAGATACATTTGTATCTATAGCTATATAGATTGTATATGCAGCTCTTATGGCCCGTCTATTACAGCACTTTTACTGCCGCGCCCCAGCACGTCTCTAATATTCTATTTCTGAGTGTAGTTCTTGTTTTTTTAATTTTATCTATTTGATTTTCGTTTTGGCTTTCCACGTCCTCGCCAGCGATGTCAGCTCAACACACAACATTTTTCCCCCGTTTTTGAGGAGCGATTTTCCCCCACGAAAATAGCAGAAAGAGTCCATATAGAAATCGACGGGCAAATGGGAAGAAATTCGCTTAAAATGTCATTTAATTGTTTCACTTGCAGCAAACGTTTTTTTCAGTTTTCAGTATTTTGGTTTTTTCGGTTTTTGGTTTTCCTTTTTTTTTTTTTTTTTGCCTTTTTGGCTTTTTGGCTCTTCGGTTTTCTCGCGGTTGAAGTTGATTTCATTTGCCAGCCTTTACGGCTTCACTTTTTAATTGTGCTTTAAACGCTAATTAGCTTTTGTGTGTGCTGGATGCAAATGCACACACATATATATCGGTTGGTTTTCCTTTAATGCATTTTATTTAATTAATTTTTGATGGCCCGTTCGCGGTGTGGAGTTTTTCATATATGTATGTTTATTTTTTTGAGCAGTGGTCGCTATTTTTTGCTGGTGACACATTTTGTGGCATTTATTTTTGGTTTTTGGTGGCGCCTCGCGTGCAGTCCCACAAATTACACTATTGCCCACACAAAGCTGCACCTGTCGCCGATGCACTGGCATACCGTACCGGACTCGAAATTGGGACTCGGACCTCGGATCTCGGATCTCGTTCTCGGATCTCGGAACTCTGGGAATTCAGAACTCGGAGCTCTCGGCTGGCTGACTGATGTGGTGACCACGTTCGCGACCACGGTGCGAATTATTATTGTTACTCGCCGCTCAACGCAAGTCGCTGCTGGTGCTGCTGCTGCCCCGTCGACGGAAAAGTTCGCGAAAGCAGCAAAAGTTGCTCTTGCTCTAGTTGATTTTTTATATGTTTTCATGGAAAATGGGAGATGATGATGATGATGACACCCCACAGTGTGTGTTTCTGTGTGTGTTTGCTGCGTTGCGTGGTACCTATGGGCCGCACCGCCCCAATCCCTCCCCCTATCCAAAAACACCCACTCATACCCGATTATAAATTTGCCTTGGCCACTGGGCTAATCACGTATTCCTCTGCTCGACTCTCTAATACCGAGAAAACACTTCAAGCCAAGAAGCGCTAGTCGAAAAAGCGATAAATATTCAGCAACACACAAACACACAAACACTGGCGTGTGTGCTAAACCACCTAATTAACAAGAAAACAACGATTCGATATATGTACTATATTTCTCCACCTATTCCCATACAAACACACGAACACACGTCTACTTTTATATGCATGTTTTTCTAAATATTGAACATTTATTTTTGGATTTTTGGAAAGCCATTTGAAAGCAGTTTCTATGCCCTGCAAAAGCACTGGGTTATAGTGACTGGTCTAAATATCTAGTTGTTTAAGTTTCATATTTTTTCATAGCATACTTTTCGCAGAGCAAGCTGGGCTTAGATTGGATTTCTGTTTGCAGTTGATTGAAGTGAAACCACAAACAAAACTATTGAAAAATGCTGCACAGAACCAAAAATCTTTAAACAACGTTTATTTCACAATTATAAAAATTAGGTTAAGCTTTGTAATTGGTACAAAAAACCATAAAATATTTATAATCAGCCTTATTTTGACTTAAGACCATGTGAAAACGAAAAGAAATTTCAAAATAATAATAATGACTAACAATAGTCAGAACTAGGAGGAATATATATTTACGTATATACAATTTATGTCAAGTTTATTTATGCTAAAAAGAAAAATTAAAAGTTTTACAGATAAAATAGATTGCATTTTAAGCCAAGATATTTTTCTTAATTTAAGCCCAGTATTTAATATAAATAAAGATCAAAATTCATTACTTATAAAATTAAAGAATTAATAACTAAGTCCAAAAGTACTAGATAACTTCAACGTATCTTAGCTGGAAGTATCCAATCAATATTTTTTTGAGTGTGATATTCGGTATGGCATTAGACAGGCGTCTATTGTCACACGATTCGATATTTGTTCGGTATTGCGTTCATTGTTTGTGGTTGGAGTATTTTTAGTGTTCATCTGCTTATATTTTTGGAAATTTTATTTTGCTATCAAGTGCAGAAGCAGAATCGGCAAAATCAACAACTTAGCGATGTTATTCTGTTGTGCACTCTGCAATTTCACAAGTTCATGTGCTTTCGGTGCGCTCAAGCACAACAATTAGTGCATTCAATGTGTTTTTGCCATCGCTCACCTGCGCTTTTAACCCCCTCGTGCCCCCCAAATGTCAGCGAAATTTAACCCATGCACAAAAAGCTCCGCTGCAGAGCAAGAGAGCACCTGACAGGCAACTAAGCTGCCTGTATTTCACGCTAGAAAGCCAGCAAAAAATAATATGTTTAATGTTTGTGAATGATTAATGGCACATTAGAATTGAAATTGTTTTTGGCCGCCACATCAGCCGCGGCAGTAGAACCCGAATCCGAATACGAATCCGAATCCAAAGCGCAGCGGAGCAGTGTGTACATTGCTATAATGTGCAAATATTTATATCCCCCATATAGTATGTGCTCTTGGCTGCTGCTACCTGAGTGGAACAGGTGAGTGTTTATAATGTATCGCATATGCATGGCCAAGTGCGGAAAAGAGGCAAAAACCAGGCAGAAGATACACAGCGAGTTGAGTGAGTGTGTGCCCATACAATATAGTGCCCCATAAGCCAAACAAAATTATATTAATTTAAACTGCACAGCGGATAATACCTTTTAAAAATTGTATATATACAAAAAAATCATTAGGTAGAGATAAATGATACTATGAACTGTGTATTAATCATAGCTGTTTGTAATATAGATTCGATATTACTTTAACCTTTATATTAACCAGCTTATTATATTATTCTTAGCCTTTAAAATATTATATTTTACTTATACTATACATATTTGTTTAAATGTCATTCTTTTAAAAAAATGTTTTCATACATGTGTATATTATATGTTGCTTAACATTATTTGACCTATTCAAATGCTAATATATGTTTATATATTTTATCTACGCAGACTATTTTTTTATACACGATATCATCACGCTGTTCATGATAATGACCGAAAAATTGTGTTATAATTATCAAATCAAATATTATATTCGATATACTATATATTCCAGAAAATTAAAAATGGCTTCCATTGGATATATATCTTTTAGAGGCGTTTAATGTTTGGTAAATTTTTGTAAAATCACAGATTTCAACCATTTAATAATTCCAACTATATGACCTATAATGTCGTTAAACATCGGGGTTTCATATTCATAGCTATACCGCTCAGAAGCATTAAAATATCTTGGTAAAGTACAAATAGCTTGTGGAATTTTTTCCTGTGTTCCAGTGTTATTTGTCCGGTGGGAGCTTAGATTTCGTTCCGTGTACAATGCCATACCAGCCGATAGCATCTCCCCAAGTATTTGCTTAGTCGTGTGTATTATTTCGGCTGCCAAGTTTTGTGCGGCTGTGTGCGTCCTTGGGGCCCCCAGTGCGTTATGATGGAAGATGGAAGATGGAAGAGCGTGGCCCCCAGCCGATGCCGGCAAACCCCAATTCAAGTTAAAATCCAACCGAACTTTGCCAAATTGCAAAAGCCACAAAACCAAAACATTTCGTCGCCTGCTGTTGAAGTTCCATCGAGTTGCCCCAAGAGTGGCAAGAAGAGTCCCGCAAGAAAGGCACATGCATAGTTACTTCCTTCGACCTATTCTTCTCCCCCCCAAAAAAAGAGTTGGCAGAATTTCTTAATAAACTTTAATGACTGCGGGTGTCCTGGCATGTGTTTGTCACTTTGGCCCTGGGTGCAAGTGCAACTTTGATGGACTCAGGTTACGTTACCTGTGGACTTCCCTCCCACTTCCCTCGTCACCTGTTCGTTGTTGCCAACTCGGGTGTTTTGCAGCCACAACTGGCTGCTCTCCAGGGTCGAAACAACAAACTGTTTACTTTGGCAGCTGCCAGATGTACCCATTCCATTATTCAACAGTATTTATCTTTCAAGAAAAATTAAAATAATGACCATAAAATAATTTCACATTAAACGTCGGCTTTCAGCGTACTCGATAAATATCACATTAACTGAAATTAAAATATGGCTAATGTCTCGTTTTATTTTATTTAAATTTTCAAGGGTGAATGTGCCAAATTATTTTTTTTTGCCAATTAATTAACATAAAAATAAAGACGACCCAACTTGTGCAAATGAAAACAAATTAATATTTGTCAACATTCACAATAATTTACTGACAAATATTTACTTTATTACCAAAAATAAACATTTAATTCGAAAGGCAATAATTCAGAAAAAACAAATTTAGCAATAGAAGCATTAACTTAATGATTTGATTTCTTGTTGAGCCTTTGAAAAGAGATTTTGATATGAAAAGTAGGATTTGTAAAATATAAAATTGATTTTATACATTTTTATTACAATATAGAAAATAAATTCTGCGAAATTAGCTATTTAATGGTTTTCATGTGTTTTATATGGGGCATCTAAAATATAAAAAGTTTAATAAATAAAATAAATATTTTCCAGCCATCTTTATTTATTCTAAATTATGTTTAAATCTTTGAACAAGGTTATGCAACTGTTTAAACCATTCAAGCTAGTGTGGGTTATTTTAAAATGACTTAAGACCATTATTCAACTTTATATAAGTTTAAACACCTTTGGCTTTCACCTGCTGGCGCCTCGAATTATGCAACGACTTGTCGGGCGGCTACTTTAGACTTCCTGCGGATGCAAGGCGAACTTGAGAATGTGCTGGCCAACCGCCTCATCCTCAGAGATGGCCGTTTCAATTTCGCCTATAATTTAGTTGACCATCACGTACCAGAGTCACGCATGCCATTGGGAGGATGAAGGATGGAGGTGGGTGGTGGGTGGATGTGGACTCCTAGTGGCAAGACCGTGCAACAAAATCCGGGGTCGATGGGTGGCCACTCATGCATTACTTATGAAATGACTCGGGTCAGATACAAGGTATCTTAGTTGCCATTGGCGGCATGTTCTCAGATACTAAATTGGAAACATCCCAATCAAATTCAAATCAGAAAGGCATTCATTTGCATGCGGATTGACTTCCGAGATAGATACGCCTATATATTATGCACATAATTGCACTGGGGATCTATCTTTCGCCGCCTAATGGGAAAACTAAGTTGGTTTTGGCGAGTGAAAATCGCCGAGGGAGAGCTCTTCTTAAATTTTCCTTTAACGACTAAGATATGCACCTTTATGGAACTTTTGGAAACTATGTGACCTACCTAAACTTGGCAAAGGGAAAACTGTTTGTCGGTAAGCTGGCTTGAATTTTACATTTGTTTTCAGCGAAGAGTTGTGAAATATTTAAATATTCTGCGCTAGAAAGGACAACTTAATAGTACAAAATACGAAAATAAACTTTTCAGTATGAAGGACATTTCTGTTGCTTATGAAAATTTAAATAGAGCTCCCTACTTAAATGCATTAAATACTACAAATTAAAAAAATAATCTGAAAAAAGATTTTACCAGAAAAATGTTTCCAAAAAATTGTCTGCCTATCGATATTAATTAAGAATACTAAGATTTATTTCTTTTGAACTTAATTAAGGTGCTATATATTAAAAAAAGGAAGTATTCTGCTAACAAAAGACAGCTGAAATTCTTTATGTGAAACAACATAAATTGGGGTCACCAATACCTTGTCAATCTGAAAAACAAATTCCATTTGAATTTAACACAATTGAAATTGTTGGTTCACTGAAAACTACAGAAATAAATTGCACATAAATACTTAATGATTTCCAGTAAATAAACGGCGAAATGGAAATCCGGAATACCCCTTGAATACCTCCGCTCATCCATTTGGATGTCTCGCTATAGTGAGACAAACGTCCATGACTCCTTCGACTTGGGCAGGCCATTGGGAATGACTTTTTTATACGACTGCGATGCGGTTTTCGCCGTTTAATGGTCTGGGCCATAAAAAAAACAGGAACCCTCGTAACAATCCACCAAAACCCCCCCACCATGACTCGGCCGGCATCTGCAATCGTTTTATTTAACTGCTGACTTGTTTGCGCAAATTAACACATTTATTTACACCGCAATTTGTTGCTTAAATATTTATCGAAAGCGGAGACGAAGCGCCACCGAAAAACAAATTGAGCAAGGGCAGTAACATTAAAAATTTTTCGTTTATTTCATATACAATAAGTACATCCAGATAAACATATACATATCCAAGTCCATACAATACACATATACATAGAGGCATATATATCCGCGAATACACATGCAGAGACGATTCTTTGTAATCATATCACACACACAAACGATATGGCACGCATACTGGCTCGCATGCAGCATAATTGAGAGTAAATTAGCGCTATACTTGTATATAGGAATTGCTCAGCCCGTTCCGCAAGTCATCCTCCTTCTCGTCCTTTTCTGCTCTCGCATTCCTATTTTCATTACTATCTATTTCCCCATCGCCACACTCAGAAAAAATTGCGCCTAAATAGTTCTTAAAAATAAGTATTATAGTACAGAAATTTCCTAATAAATGGATTATATAAATAAAAAAAAATAAAACGCAATAAACAAACAAATATTAATAAATAAATAAATAAATAAGTAAGTAATACACATTTTTAGGAAATAAAAAAACTAACTAAGCTGTTTTTCGAATCAAATTTCTTAATTCAAAATACAAATCTCACTTATTAAGTTCCTTAAGTTTCAGAAATAACTCACATTATTTTATGATAAGGCTTAACATTTTTTTGAGCTTAGTTGGGTCAGTAAACTTATATTATTCTACATTTTCTTTTAGTTCTATAAAATATTTGAAAAAAACTTTGAAAATAAAATATATTTAAAAAGTTAAAGGACAGCCTTTTTAAAACGCCGCTTTTGGGGCATGAACGATTTTTATTTTCTGTAATTAAGGACGATTTCTTTTTTTCTGAGTGCCTGCGCATCCTGGGGCTCATCCCCACTTTGATATGGTTCCGCTTAAGCGAGAACGCTTAAATTCGCTGGATGTGGCAATTGTTGCATCGCCCGGCCCACCACCACCCCGTGTGGAGGCCATAAAAAGTGCCGAGCACGGCGAGCAGCCAGCTCCAGGATGTGGGCGCTCGGGATGTGGGGGCGTGCCCCTGCAGCGCCAGCTGCTCCTTCTCCAGACAGGCCCGGAACTCATCGTAGTCCAGGCGCGTGATGGCGCAGTAATGATTGAGCATGCAGCGGCCCGAGCAGACCGGCCCGGACTGATATCGCACTGAGTTGGCTCGGAGGTATCTGTGGTGGAAAAATGGGGGAAAAATGGAAAAAAATAACACTGAGTTGGGAGTATGGGTGTCATTTGGAATCCCTGTTTGCTTTCGCCTGTATCGGCCGGCCAGTCGGGCAACCGGGCTTTCATAAATGCTCTTAGCCAACCCTCCATCTCCCATTTTGATTTACATATTGCAGCACCTCTTGGGCGGGTGAAAGTGCTTAACGATGGCCTGATTGAACGAGTCTACCTGTGTGGCCCTTAAATTCTATACTCAAGCTCTGCATTTTCCTGAATTGTTTATAAACTCGATAATCGAGAGTGCTTATATATTTCAAGCGAAACGTGTAGGTTATGAAAACGGTTCCTTTTCATGATTTTAAGTCAAAAGAAATAAAGCAATATACACCATATATCAAACTTTAGAACCTTTTCTAAAAAAAAATAGTTTTTGCTGAATTTTTCACATTAAATACAATTTGTTTAATGTAATTAATTTAAAGCCCATTCATAAAAACCTTCATACAACAAAGATAAGAAATTTAATATCCAAAAAACAATTAAAGCCATTAACTCTTTTATAAAATCAAATTGTATGCCTACGTAAGTTTTTCTGTGGTCCTTATTTTAACCAAAAAATACCCAAGATATTTTCAGTAAAATGCTCAATTAATTGTGATAAAAATTATATCTGCATCACATACGCAACTTTTTTTTTAGCGGCTTTTCATTTTAAACGGTTTTATTCGATCACATATTTACAAAAAAAGGAACATGACTATTTCCCCAGCAGGCTTTTGTAAAGTGAGAACTGGGCACAAAACGGCTAACGGATTACGATGAAATGAAAAAGATAACCATTTTTTTTTAGGTTCGTTAAATCGGAAAAATGCTTTACGGGAACAAAATGATTTAAATGATTTTAAGTTACTTTTTTTCGACGTTAATTGGATAATTTTGGCAGCCAAATTTTTAGCGGTAATTGTTGGCAATAAGACGCATTTTTCGGTTAATAAATGATTTTAGTATTTGCAAAATTTGATTAAACATAGGAATATAATAAAGATAAATTTAAGAAGAAAATAATGAAATTCTTAAGTATTTTTCTTGCTGATAAAATTAATTTTTTTAGACCTACAGCTTATAAAATAAAATAGTACATTTTCTTAAAAATCCTTTGCTATTATCCGCTACTCGCTTTGTTTAATCACTTTATTTTCCATTGTAAATATCGCCTCTGCAAGTAAAACTATTTGTGAGCTCCACGGATTACCGGCCGGATCAATCAAGACAGGGATAATTCAACCCAATCCAATTACCTGGCGAACGAGGAAAGGTCTGTGCCCGTGAAGCGTTCCGCGAAATTGTGCAGGGCTCCGGCGGAGATCTCCGACAGGCCGTAGTGGTTGGTCAGGTTGTACTCCAGATGCCAGGTGGGCTCGTTGGCCCGGTTGGCCAGCGACAGGTTCAGCCAGAACTGGGTGTAGTCCAGCACCTGGCCGCTTCCAGTGTCGAACTTGTAGAGCCGCAGGGCGGGATTATTCGATGAGCCGATTCCCGCCTTGCGGGGCACAATCGATGGGGCAATCATCAGCCACGAAATGGGATTGCCTGCCGGCGAAAACAAATTTTAGTTCCCTATAAAATTAAACGAGTTTTTCGTCCGTCATATACTACTGTGATTTTTAAACAAGAACTAAAGCGAAATTTCTTGTACTACAAGTTTTTAAAGGATTTCTGAACATTCAATAGGTTTTTACAGTATGTGCCATTTTAAACTATGTTCTAAAATATTGTGCCTTAATTCTCTAAAAATCTGTATACTCAACTTGGTTTGTATTTTTAGGTCGATTTTTAGTCATTTTTATGAGCAAACCCTTTTCCAAATTTTCGAAAAATGGGTTTGTTGAAAAGTGACCAAAAACCTGCACTTCTATGCCCATAACTCATCTTGATTTTTTATTTTTGGGTCGATTTTTCGTCATTTTTATGAGCCCAAAAAACTTTTAAGCCTATAACTTTTTTTTACAGACATCCGATTTCAATGTGGCATACCTCTAAATGATTGTGGTTTATCAATGTATTGCAAGGATATGTAAACTAGCTTTCCTTCGTGTCTATTTACACAAATCAGTGTAGTATATGGCTAGAATGTATATAAGAAAGATGTTTAACCTTTGGCATCGTAGATCAGGCGGAAGGTGTCCGAGTGGAGGTGGCCAAAGAACTGGCCCTGGATGACCGGGGCAAACTTTCGGACCATCTCCAGGTAGCGCCGGTTGTTGCGTTCCGTGAAGGTTACCTGGTTGTGCCGAGGCCCCAGATGACGTTCATCAACGCCAGGCGGCATGTGACCCACTATGTAGACCTGGGGACAAGAGTCAACAGTTTCAGTTCATTTAATCCAACTGGCGAATAAAATGAAATCAGATGCTTCAGCTGCAAATTAAATATTATAATTAATCAAAAGGGCAGCGCGCTATCCGATTGGATTTTCTGTCACGTGATGACCGAGGGGCAGAAAAATAAAAATATTAAATATTTACATATGAAAAATTATTTTAAATATCTCATTAATTTCAAAAAGATTTCAACTTTGAGTTTAAGAGCTGCCAACATTAAATTATTGTACGTTATTATTCAGTGACATTAAGCCTTTCTTTGGCATTTTAAGTATCAAAAATTGTGTCATTTTGATGACTGATTTATAAATGTGTCAAATTGAAATATGCAAAGGATTTAATTTAATGAACGTGATTTATATATCGAATTTAACTTATTACAGTTGGTAAAGCTTATTTGACCAATAATAGATTTCACGTGATTGTATTTTATATGTGGAAATTAGGATAGAAATCAATTTTCTTTAATTTATTTATGTCCTATACATTTAAAAAAATCTAAATTTGCTAATACAATACAATATAACATTTATATTAATTGTTGTTTATTTTTGAAGACAATTGTATTTTTATACCCTTGCAGAGGGTATTATAATTTTGGTCAAAAGTGTGCAACGCAGTGAAGGAGACATCTCCGACCCTATAAAGTATATATATTCTTGATCAGGATCACCTCCTGAGTTGATATAGCCATGTCCGTCTGTCCGTCTGTCCGTCTGTCTGTCCGTCTGTCTGTCCGTCTGTCTGTTTCTACGCGAACTAGTCTCTCAGTTTTAAAGATATCGAATTGAAACTTTGCACACACCCTTCTTTCCTTTGCACGCAGTATATAAGTCGGAACGGCCGGGATCGGCCGACTATATCCTATAGCTGCCATATAACTGATTGATCGGAAATGCCATAACTCTGCTGGTTGTTAAGTTAGGAAGTTGGGACTTTCTATGGGTTTTATATTTGGCCAATCAATCCGACGTACCAAATTTCATAAGGATCGGCCGACTATATCTTATAGCTGCCATATAACTGATTGAACGGAAATGCCATAACTTTGGTGTTTGTAAAGTTAGGAAGTTGGGATTTTCTATGGGTTTTATATTTGGCCAATTAATCCGACCTACCAAATTTCATAAGGATCGGCCGACTATATCTTATAGCTGCCATATAACTGATTGATCGGAAATGCCATAACTTTGGTGTTTGTTAAGTTAGGAAGTTGGGATTTTCTATGGGTTTCATTTTTGCCTAATCAATCCGACATATCAAATTTCATAAGGATCGGCCGACTATATTCTATAGCTGCCATATAACTGAACGATTGGAAATGCCATAACTTTGGTGTTTTTAAAGTTAGGAAGTTGGGATTTTTTATGAGTATTAAGAATGCATTATATGAATGATTTTGGAGAATATAATTTGCAGAATATTCTGCAAGGGTATTTCAACTTCGGCTCCGCCCGAAGTTAGCTTTCCTTTCTTGTTTTTTCCTACCGTTTCCTGTTTTTCCTTGGACTTGGTGAGCACCTCCTCCAGCCAGAGCCACTGTTGCTCCGCCAGCAGTTCATCCTCGGCAGAAACGGAGCTAACGGATGCCTTGGGTTCCGCATAGTATTCAGATGACCACCGCAAACTGTGCGATATCCTGGAATCCGGATCGGATTCGAGTCGCATAAAATTCGTATTAAGTGCCACTATTCGGAGGCGACTCTTGGTCTGTTCGATGGAGTAGTACCCGCCCTGGTCGAAGGTCACCAGGGCCTCCGAGGGCAGCCAGTGGCGCCACAGTTCGCCCAATCTTCGATAGCTGCCACTGCCGTCCTCGTGACCCAAAACCGGGAAGATAAACTGCGAGGAGAAGCTGCGTCCCAGCAGATCTGTGATATTCCGCAGGATCTCGTGCTGCTTCTGCTCGGAAAGCGGTTGGGCGGAATGGGAGAGGGCATCTCCGGTCCACAGGACGAACTCCACATTGTCGCCCTGCTTGGCCTTCATGGTCTTCACTGCCGATTCGATCAGGCTCCACGGACTGTCGCAGTTGTAGTGGCCAAAGGGACCAGGTGCCTCTGTCGCCGCATTGTTGGCCCCGGATCCAGAAACCGATCGAGCCAACTGCCAGCAGCTCCTGTAAATGTCTCCTTGGGTGGAGTACAATGTGTCCAGGTGCAGGTCGCTAATGTGCCAGAAGTATCCTGTCAATAAATATGTAAAAAGGATAGTGAACATGAATGTATTTATCAATACTGTTAAATAGTCATGTGAATGAATTACAATTTCAAGGATGTAAATTCTTGAATATATTTATAAAATAAATGTTTTATTATATCTTTAAGTTTGTTCCAGGTTTCTGTTATACAGCTTCCTTTAGCTTAGACTTTTACAACCAACATGTTTATGTTTTTCCTTTTATAGCATTAAAATACCTTCTTTATAATACAGTTTTATTCCTTTATAGGGAGTATCCCTTCAGGGCATTAAAATACCTTCTTTATATAGGTCAATAAAACTAAAAAAAAAATATACATATATATATGTAAATATAATAGGAATGAAGAAACCTCTTCTTAATTTTTAGTAACTGTGATGTGTTAAAGAGACTTATATTGCTCTTTAAAATAAACCTCAGATTTTAATAATTTTTTTTTGACAAAATACCAAATGTCTGGGCAATTTTGTATGTAATTCTCTTCTGTGAAGTAAGGATCGAGATTAGAGTTTGACTTTGGCTAAGTCGGGCAATTCCTGGCCGGGAAAGGCCATTTGCTGGGCATTTGCACGCCGGCTGGCCTCGCGTCGAATTAAGAAAAACCTGGGAGTCCGACAGATTTCCCTGCAGCTGACTAGTTGACTGACCTGAGATCAGCTGGCTTCTAGTTCCAGTTCTACCTGGCCCAAACGCGAAGTCGCAAAGTCAGTCAATTGGCGAGGCAACGTGCTGACCGCTGGCCACTCTGCAGATCAGTTTCATTTGGCATGCCCATCGAACGGTTGGCCAAGAGCGAGGTGATAAGTTGAGAAAGGTTTCAGAGGCGTTCGAGAGATACAGGAGGCAATCCTTTCATGATCCGCGAGTGCACGGACGTACGAGTTCAAGATCGAGCAGGATGAGCCTGATCAGGTTGGGGCTGGCACTGCTGCTCCTGCTGGCCACCGTGTCGCAGTTGCTGCAGCCGGTCCAGGGTCGCCGGAAGATGTGCGGCGAGGCCTTGATCGAGGCCCTGGAATTGATTTGTGTTAATGGCTTTACACGCAGGGTCCGTCGGAGTGATGGTAAGTGGAGAGACCTGCGTTTTCCCCTGTCCACTTCTAATCCCCGATTACGGGTTAAAGACAGAGCGCGGTCCCTGATCCGGAAGCTCCAGCAGCCGGAAGAGGAGTCGGAAAGGGAAACGGAAACGGACACAGAGCCACCGGCCAGCGGAAGTGGACGCAAGTTGCGGCGCCACCGGCGACGCATCGCCCACGAGTGTTGCAAGCAGGGCTGCACCTACGACGACATTCTGGACTACTGCTCCTGATGACCAGCAGTTACCGAATCCCAAACAACCCGATACCAGATACCGAATCCCAGAAAACACACACCAGATCCCGAAAATCAGACTGAGATTCTGTGGCGGCAGGGGGCAGAAAGTGGGCTGGATGACAAGGACAATTTCCAGAAGCACCCGACCGGCAGGCGTTTTGCAATTCATTTTCCTACACTTAACCCTAACTATAACCGTAATCGTATTTCCAAATATTTCATTGTAAAATTCCTAGTGGAAGCAAATAAAGTTACTCTCCAAGCAGCAGCAGCAACAAAAGAAGAGTCCTCTGCTTTTTGTGCCCATCGGCATTTCTCCAGCTGTGCGGCATGGGTAATCCCCGAGCCATCAACACCCCAGCCACCACCCAATTACGCCCCAAAACCAACCCAAAATCCAACCCAAACTCACACAACCAACAACCACCCACAGGCAGCTGCCATTCAGCACCTCCAGTGCGGTGGTGCCCTTGTTTTCCGAGAACAATAATGGAAATTATGAATTTTTAATTAGATGACGTTCTGATTTTAATAAGCAAAACAATGGCAGAGGCGAAACGAACGAAGAAATACACTCAGTTTTAATTCGATTCTCATCTTTCTCTGGGGCCTTGCATTTTATTTTTTTTTTTATCAAAGGAGCGCAGACAATTGACCGATACAAAAAAACAAGTAAACAACTTCCAATCAGTAGCGGGTTTTTCCCACAGATAAGTTGCTATTTGCCCACAGATTTGCAGTGATAATAATTCAGGGCTTACAGGTAAAAATCTACCTGATTTTGACGGACTCAAAGGCTCAGTCCTCTTATCATATTCAAAACGGACTGCGGGAAATCCTAAGTTGGCACTTCAACAAGATAATAAGATAGCTGAAGCGGCGTTATTGTTTTCGGCCCAAAAACAATGGAGAAGAAGCTAGCTCTTGTTGTTATTTAAATTACGACTGCCTTTGAAGAGCTGTGGATAATAAAACCAGACAGCTCCTGTTTTTATTTAAAGATTTAAAAAATGGTCAATACCCTAAATAGATGAAAATGTTTTCTTTTATTATTAAGGCATGTTACAAAAGATTTTTTTAAAAGCTTTGATAAAATTACCAAAAAGACTAGTGGCTGTTGTAAAGGAATTTTAATATTTGTTATCAAGGGAAATATGTGCACAGCGTCCTACTTTACCTGCATCAAATTTTATGGGATTTTACTTGATAAATTTGTATTGGTTTTATTGATTGACTAATTGGTTGAAATATCTACCTAAAATTAAAAATAATTGGATTTTAGGGCAATAAACTTGTTAAGAGAGTTATAAACAAAAACATGCAGTAACTTTATGAACCGTATCTCATGAAATACGCATTTCAACAGCTGGTTGAACACAGAAATTAAAAAATTTCTCAACTTGAGATGGGTTAGGGCACAGCATGTCAAAATTGGTGAGCATCCACAACAGCCAAAGGGAACTCGATGCACGTCATCTTGTTTTTCAGCAATCAAGATCATTGCTTTATTTCTTGGGTGAGAACGTAAACAAACGTCAGCTGATATGCGTAAGACCCCCATGAGTTTATCCCACTCCCATGCCACCCAAAAGCTCAAAATTTCCGACATATCGTGCCTGCACATAGGGATAAATAACAACACACACACACACACACACTGGAGTGGGGAACAGGGGGCTAGAAACTAAACCAGACCGAACTATGGTGCTAACTGACACCGCGGCTAACGCATTTTGACACTGCTCAGACGATGGATACGCGCGGCAGACATGGCAGACGTGGCAGACTCGGATCGGATCCGCATCGGGCTCATATAAAAACCCTCTGCCGATGGTTGGGAGCCAAACAGTTGTCGACGGGCCACTCGGCAGCCATCCACTCCGGGGACAACCCACACACACACACCTCACCACACTTACTGATGGAGAGCGATATGCGTCGGAACACGGACAGGAGGATCCTGCTCCTCGGTTTGGTCCTGCTCATCCTGATGATCGGCAGCGTGCAGGCCAACATTAAGCTGTGCGGCGACAAACTGCCCGAGGCTTTGTCCAGGATCTGCGTCTATGGTTTTAATGCCATGACTAAGAGAACTCTGGGTATGTGGATTCCGGAATTTACTTTTATACCCTTGAAGGGGGTTTGATAATTTAGCTCAGAAATTTACAACGCAATGATAAAAATAAACCAGGAGCATTAGCTGGAGCATTAGTTTCTGATTTAATAAAAGTGTGTGTATCGGACAACTATCTCGTAAAACCGCCTTAGGAACAATGCATAGAAAATCGACATAGCTTCATTGTTCGCATTGATAAATAATCGTTTTATAAAACATAAATGCATGTCGCTGCAAGAGTTTGTTTTAATTTTTGACTGCCGAAGTTAGCTTTCGTTTTTGTTAATCAAAACAAATACTCCGAAATTGGGGAAGTTAAAATGGGATTCAGTTATTTTAAAATAACAACAGACGATTTAAATTAGAATATAAAAAGACAGTAACCTTTGGCATCATTTTAAAAAGAGGCTTATATTTTATTAGGTTTATATGTGGTATTGCACTTATAATCATTAAATAATATAATGTGTTTATATATTTAAATGTTCCAACAAAAATATGTATAAGTTTGGCAGGATAATCTTTTAACTTGTACCAATTGAAAAAGTTTACGAGAAAATGTCCCTGCCAAAAGCTCTTAAAGATTTAAAAAAAATTATATTACAAATTTTTATAAACTTTTAGATAATCCGATGAACTTTAACTATATCGATGGCTACAATGACAATTTGCTGCTGGCTAGGATGTTTGGGGAAAGTGCCGGCCAGATGCTGAAGACACGACGTCTCCGGGAAGGAGTCTTCGACGAGTGCTGCTTGAAGTCCTGCCGAATGGAGGAATTAATGCGATATTGTGCTTCCAAGCCCAGAACGTGAACTTTCTATTAACCTTCTAACGACACCTAAGATTGCTGAAAAGATATGAACCGTCTGGGGAACAAAAAAAAACACACACGTATTTGTTGTTGTTAGGTCGCTATTGAAGCTTACTCAATTCCATTCTTGGATATGATATATATGCACATGTATGTGGGATGTATGCGCATAATTTATAATCGGAAATCAGAGACAGACACGCGAATCGAATCGAATCGAATCGGAACACCGGGATGTTATTCATGTAGATATGATTGTAAGGGCCTGAATACATCGCCTGGGTATAAATTATTAAATAAATTATGTATTCAAACTGCTGCAGATTGGCCAACTTAATTGGTAATTAAACGGGTATTACATTGATTTTTCATTGTCGTTCATTGCAGTTAATTATTTATTGACCCAGCGGCCGGAATTCTGTTTCCAACTAAGTTGAAAAAGAAAAACAACAGATTTTAACGAGCTCTACAGACTGTGTAATAAAAGTTTTTTTTATGACAACCACAGATAATGAAAAATTACTATATACTATATATAAATGACTGGTCAAAAATAAAACGTATATTTAAATATGGCATCTAGATCTTTGAGCTGGGAATAAATCTAATGATAATTTGTATAAATCGATTTGATACTAAAAAGAGATAAGTTTACTAAAATAACTTTCCAGTTGATTGCCATCATAATTGGTCAATTTCATAATAGTTTATTTGTCTATTATCCAAACCCTAATTAGTTCAATTTAATACATATATGAACGGAAAAATTTTAAAAATTTAGTATTTACTAGGGATTGAAGCTATCATCATGTCTACAAATCTAAAACTATTTTTTCAGCTTATTGTCCTTTTATTTTTGTTCAAGCAGGTAAGTTTTTTAGTATACGGATATTTATAAGAACAATTATATATTTTAAAATTATATAGAACGTTTCGGAGTTTGAATTTACAAATATAAAATGTATTTGTTTGGATGAACAATTCAGTAGTATCGAATATTGCCTTCTAAAGTCGGTCAATCGTAGCTACAAATACATTTCCCTAAAAGTAAATTTATTCAAGGCTCCCGTGACCAAAGTGAAAGTAAGTAAGTTTTCTTTTTGTATAATTACGATAAAATTAAGTTTTGCCATTTTAGGTAAACATGGTGTTGCATAAACGATTTAATGGATACAGACCTTTCTTATACAATTTCACTGTGGATGCCTGTAGATTTCTGAAGAATCCTGCAGCTAACCCAATAGCTAATTACTTTTACGGATTTCTGACAGTCCACACAAACGTAAATCACACTTGTCCTTTTAATGTAAGTAAAAGGTTATATTTTCTTGCTAATGTTTTAATTATCAAATTATTCAGACTCCCATTATTTTCGATAAATTGTCGTCCAATTTTGTTGACCACAGAATTACCCATGTTTTACCGTTTCCCGAAGGCGATTATCTTTTGGAAACCAATGTGTATGTTAATGAAGTAAATAGAGTTGTCTTGAAGGTTTATGGCTCTCTATCTTAATAGATATTAATGTCAAAAGTGTTTATGTGTTTATGATAAAGCACTTTTTGCAAATTAAAGACAAGTCCAAAGATTTGACGATATGTATTACTAATAAATGTTTTCTGATTGCTTATGAAATATTATAGACTTGAAAACATTTATCTATTCGACGATTAATTTATTCCGAAAATCAAACAATGGTTTTAGTTTTAAAACACTTGCTGATTTTTAATAAATTTAATGAATGAGAATGAAAAAAAATAAATCAAAGTATATTATGTGGATGGAAAGATGATATAAATTTTTAAGAAGACATCTTCCCACATAATTATAATAATAAATTTGCAGTAGTCAGAAGTAATATTTTAGCAGCATTTGTCTGCCAAAGACAAAATCAGAGTATATTTAATCCGTTTCCGTCTTTTATAAATAGTAACATGCAACAGGCTAAAATATAAATCGTTTGTATATATATATATGCACATGGTTGGTATGGAAACAGGTCCAGTCAGCTACCGGGCGAAGGTTGATGGTTCGAAAGATAGATTTAATAGACTTCATCGCAGTAGTCTAAGAGGACGCTCATTGAGCACCCGTTCTTGCAACACCTGTCCACGATTCCCTGCCGCGTGCGTCGCCGAATGCTAGACAAAGAGTTGCGCAAATAGTTCCCAGAAGATGGACGATCCGTGTCATCGCTATCCTCCAGCTCATTCCTGGCAACGTACTGGAGGGGATTGAGGGCAAAGTCCACATCATTGCCCACTGTCAAAAAACGTTGCTGATTCGGGGTGTTTTGGGAAAGGATAATGTCAAAGAACTTACGCCCGCTGCGTTTTGTTATTGGCATGGTATTATATGACTTGCATATCTTGTCCAAAATATTATTGAGTTCAGTGCTGCAGAAAATATCAAGTCCCTGGGCCGAGGGCACCGTGGAGCAGGCCAGAAAAATCATTACGACCATCGAGATGAGGAACACGGACTTGCACATGGTTGTGGGTACTCTGGTGCTTTCGTGCTTAACGATCGAATGGATTTTGTGTGGTCGGATTTTGTGTGGTCGAGCTGGGTCGAAAGGTGACTGATGCTAGTTGTCCCAAAGGAGCTGGCTTATATACAGCTCGGGAACTGGGTCTAGGTTTTTGGTCTGGGTCGGGGTCTGCCATTAAATCAGGGTCTGGGTCGAAGTCTTCTAAGTCCCCACACATTATCCTCTAAAGGCAGGATGTCAAATTGTGTTAGCACACGATGAGTGCATTTCGGCGTTCCCTTTTCTTATGGCGCCTCTAACGCCTGGCTAAACTCGTCCAATGTCAAAGCTGTCTTATGCAAATGCCTGTTTGAAAATGTTGGGTGGCGTTTGCCAGTGGGCGTTTGCTGTCAGCCAATTAAACAATTTATGTATAAACAGGCAGGCCGTGCTAAGCCCTGCATTTATGAATAGCAAATGAGTCCTTGGTCCCCATATTCCCACCCAATACTTACCAATGCGAGCCTGGGCGAGGCTGGTGTAGGCCAAAAGCCAGAGCCAACTGAATGAGGCCAGCATCTTGGCAACCAACGAATTAGAGGCCTCCTTCTTTAGAACTTTTCCTTTGATTGTTGTCTTTGCCGCTCACACAAATTCTTTTTGCACTGTCTACTTTTATTCATTAGTCAAAGTTGGTGCTGCATAAATAAGTGATTACGAATCGGATTACGAATGTTGTTGGTTGCTATACTATATGTATGTGTGAATGTATGTATGTATGTGTATGCATGCTGGGGGATAATGAGTGGAGTTAAGTGTCCTATTTGGGCAGGCAGTAGGCGGCAAGTTCCTCGTAGGAGCAGGACTTCACGCAGCATTCATCGTAGACACCACCGGGCAGATGTCTCCTGTGGCGACGCGTCTTGATCAGGACCTCGGCCCCATACAAATTGGTTAGCAGGGGACTGAAGGAGTAGCCATAGCCAACTGCTGCTCCTGCTCCTACTCCTACTCCTGTTCCTGTTAATGCCCCTGCCAGAGACTGCCACTCATTCTCCTCATCGCCCGACGACGACGACGATGGGACACCGCGCTTCTGGGGCAGAGAGTTGTAGCCGTGGGCACACACCACATCCATGGCATCGGACAGGGCGGAACCACACAGCTTGTGGCTGCCGGGGGGTAACTGGTGACCACTGGCCATGACCAGCACAGCAGCCAGGATGGTGGCGATTAGCAGCTGCAGGAGCCGGAGGCCATGGACTGCACCGTTGTCCTTGCAAAACATCTTCAGTCTGTGCTGATTGCTTTGGTCTGCAACTGGTATTTATACCACTAAGTATCTGTTAGTACCTCTGATGCAGTTCAATGGCCTCTTAAGCTCTTGCATTGCAACATCGCAGTTCCCAAGGACCTACCCTCTAAATATCCTTTTTAACACCTATATTTATACCCGTTACTCGTAGAGTAAAAGGGTATATTGTATTCGTGCAAAAGTATGTAACAGCTAGAAGGAAGCGTTTCCGACCCTATAAAGTATATATATTCTTGATCAGGGTCACTAGCCGAGTCGATATAGCCATGTCCGTCTGTCCGTCTGTCCGTCTGTCCGTCTGTCCGTCTGTCCGTCTGTCTGTCCGTCTGTCTGTCTGTCTGTCTGTCTGTCCGTATGAACGCTGAGATCTCGGAAACTATAAAAGCTAGAAGTTTGGCATTTTGCATGCAGATTCTAGGAGTTCCTACGCAGCGCAAGTTTGTTTCAAAAAGGTGCCACGCCCTCTTTAACGCCCACAATAGCTTATATACGATTTTAAAAATTTAAATATTTCGGAAAAGTAAAAATGCAGTTTTATTGTGCTTATCAATACCTATCGAAATGTAGAAGAAATTTTTCAAATCGGACCATTCGTTAAAAAGTTATGCGTGATCAAAGTTTCTATCTCCATCTCCCTCGCACTCCCTTTACCTGAGTAACGGGTATCTGATAGTCGGGGCACCCGACTATAGCGTTCTCTCTTGTTTTGACATGGTTTCACCCAAAATGCGCTTCTATTTTTAGCTCTTCTTTGAATTCCAAAAATGCACTGTTATAAAAGTATTTGCACTTATCACGAAATTATTTCTAAATATTCTTTGTGTAAAACATTCACTCAGAGAGAATAAATATTTTTATTTAAATGAAATACCTTTTCATATTTAACTTGACGGCTTCGAAACTTACTTAAAGTATAATTTTACAATGAGGACCGATTTCCAAAATTTCGATACATCAGTTTAACTCAATAAAAACACTTAATATAACACTGAAACGGCCCTTACAATATGTTTCAACTTAGAAATCTGAAATAAGGAACCACCTTTGTTTGCCTTTTTATTTTGGTTTTTTATCCAATTGATTTGTTCTAGTGTAATCACCGCCAAAATTGCACCCACTCCATAACCCTTTCGCCCAACCTGTTACTTTGCCGCTAAGAGGCTCTGACTGCTGTCGATTGCGATTACGATAACGCCAGATTTGTGGGGGCCACCGGAACGGGGCAGGGGAGGGTAGGGGGAGCACGACGACCGACTGAGTGGCAGCCTCATTACCATGTTGTGGCAAGGTGGAAAGTATGCTTCGATGAGGCTCCCCTGGCGGCAGTGTGCGAAATCGCTCCGATCGCTGCCCGATTGCAAAGTTGCATGGCGATGCCAACAGTTGGTTGCCAGCGCTGCATTCGAACGTTTCCCCCGACCACAAAGCTCCGGAAAAGCAGGAAAAAGAGTCGCGAACAAAATCGGGAAAATCGAAGGAAAACAAAACAAAAAAAAATCGGAATAAATCAAGGCGAAATGGTGCTCGACATTAAGATGTGCCGATTTGATAATGTGCCCTGGGGCTTTCGCTTGGTGGGCGGGGCGGACTACGACTATCCGCTGACGGTGGTTAAGGTTAGGCCCGATCTAATCCTACAGATATCTACAGATATATAGTACCCTGCTGAACAGTGCGCCACCCACCTCATCTGTCACCTGCCGAAGGTGCCCCACCTGTGTGGTTTTATTAGTCGTTGGGAGAAATCTAATCGCCGCTGTCGGATTCAATTCAGTGTTTTGCCATACGCCTTTTTTTTCGGCTGCAATTACGTAACGCATAATGTGCGTGTGTCCGTTCGGATTTGCAGCATTGGCAAATTAGTTAATTAAAGTAATTCCTCTACGCTGGCCAGTGCTCTTGCTCTTTTTTGTTTATCTAATCGACAGGCCTATGTATTTCCCGCTAATGAGCCGCATAATGGCAACGGCAATAAACTTATTCAAATTTTAATTGTGTTTCAGTTGCAGTTGTGCTTTGTTGCCTATGCCTAAATTGCATTTGGCAATTCGCATTTTGTAACATTGTGTTGACAACAGCAACAACAATGGCAAAAACATCGGCGTAAATCCGAAACAAATGCAATTTTTAATTGGCAAACTGTAAAACGCACACAACAACTGACCAAAATACGAGGGCCGCTAAAAAGTCCATTTCCTCTCGATTTCAATAAATCAATTTAAGCCGCAGCATATTATAAACATTCAATGGAACAAAGTCATAAATTGTATATCACTATTTAAATGTTGTTAATAAATTGTGTTTATTTTGCATAAACAAATTATATTTAACCCATACTTTGAATGCAGATCAATTAAAATAATGCTTTATCGTGTTCAATCTATCTAATGGGTTATATGAATTATAAAAGTTGTTATTAGAACTTAGTATTTAATAAACCATAACACTTGACACGTGATTATTAGGTAATGTTAGACTATTTAAATAAAACATAAGATGAAGTATATTAAAATGTAAAGATTAATAACCTAACAAATAATTTGGAGACTAGTGCGAGACAATTAAATAAATGTCTAGTAAAAAGTTTGTTCTCTAATTTTGGCAAATCATAATTTAAATGATAATACTTTATTAAGACTGAGCTAGAAAACATAAATTTTAAAAAATATAGCTTTAAAAAGTCGGTTTTAAAAGCACATCTTTCTATTTGACTTCATATTACATTATGGAATGTGCAAACACACCTCCATATGTTGGCTCTGCAAACACTAAACAATCTTTCGTAATCTTTTGAAAAACCTCTGTTTATTCAACCACTCTTCACCTTGCCTTACCCATACCCTTATATATATATATATATATATCCAGGCTAAGCCCTAAGCCTGTGTTCTATAAATATTCGCAACCTCCGTCGATGTCGAGTGTTTGCCTTGCGAATTCACCGCTGGAAATTGACTCCACCGTAAGTGAAATGCAAGAGGCCCCTGGGAGAATGGAAGACCCCAGACTTGGTTTGGGGGAATCCCCTGCCATTGCCACCCATTATTTCCGCCCCCTTGTGCGGCTGCTCGCCTGCAGTATTTGCATTACTAAGTCCTCTTGGCAGCCAGTGTCGTGACTTTCTGGTTATGAGCCCGGCTTTCGCATAACGGAAGCGACAACAATCACCGCGAAAACAATGATGTTTATTTGCTCGCCAAAGTGTTGCAAAACCACCTGAATTATACAATAAAATTGTGTGAACAAAAACCTTTAAGAGGTTGTTCTTTTTACCAAGAAACATAATCTTTGCCGTGCCGATTCCCATTTCAGTCATAACATTTAGCATGCCGACGACTCATATATCGCGTACAATTTCAACCCTATGAAAACCTACAATTTAAATGCTCAATTTGCGCCAATTTGTACGGACTTTATTACCCACAAAAGCCATAAAGCATATATTGTGCATAGTTATTGTTGTTCACATAACAATTTGACATCAAGTATACGTAGCTGTGAAAATAAAAACCTCGTTTAACAAATGGGTATGTGAAATACAACATTTTGTAGATACGAGTTTAGATCATTTTTCTAGCTACAATTTAAAGATTATTTGTAAAGACCAGTAGTATTTAATTCGTAATCTAAATTGTTTTTTATCATGCAATATTTTTTAAACCCAATTCACTCAATTATTTTGGTTTTTTTTCGAAAGCCCAATAAAAAATTGCCCTTAAAAAAAGTATTACAAAATTTGGTAAATGCAAGATAATACTAAATTGATTTTTAAATTAAACGGCAAAGCTTTTTTAAGCTTTTTAATTTTTTTAATGGTTTGTAGACCAAGGAAAACTATTAAAAAAATTTTAAAAATAAGAAATGGCATTGTATTTTGTTCTGATTCCGAAAATAAGATTACCATCTGTTAAATGAGGAGAAAACTGTTTATATTCATTAACGATTTATATGAGTGGTTAGACAGGGGTTGTTCCACTTGCTTCGCTTAATTGAAGTGTCGTTAATGAGTTTCCACTTGTTCTCGAGCACCCCTCGCTCTGAGCCCCCTTCCCCCCCTGCGAACTGAACCCCCTTTCCCCCTACGAATTAGGCATTGTCTTCGGTCCGCTTGGGTGTGCGTGCTTGTGTGTTGGGGTCTGGGTCTTCTGGTCTTTGTTTTGTTGACATTTGGCGCGCGTTTTATTTTTATGCACTTAGCACGCGACGCCGCCGTCGTCGGCTAATAGAAATTCTCCCATTATCGCATCCATTGTGCGGGTATCTCAGCCTCGCATCCCATGGCATCCGCATCTGAACTGGTATCCGCATCTACATCTAACCATGTCCACACGCTTCAAACGATAGGTGACCGAGGGCAGCATTGCTGACGAGGCCGGACTGCGGGTCGAGGACATCATCGTGCGCATCAATGACACGGCTGCCACGCCCCTCAGCCACGACGAGGCCCACCGCCTCATTATGAACAGCGGCAGCGTCTTCTACTTCGGCGTCTACCGGTGAGCTTCCTTTTCATGTCCATGTCCTGATCCGGGTCCTAGTCCTAGTCCCTTCCCATTCCCGCCTTTGTATTCCATCCGCCGAGGGCCATTTATCACAGCTGAGCGGACTAACAACCCAAGAACGATTCATTATACCCTTGTTTTTCAAGAAACTTACAAAACACATTCACTTTCGCTTGTCTGAATATACATAAGCACAAAGGTAGTTTTAGCTTTTACTACTATTTTTAGTACTTGCCAATTGAAACCTGTTAATCTAAAACAGTATAGGCTCACATTCTTTAGATTAATCTACTTTGCAATTATATTGGCAAGCTGATAGCTTAAACAAAACCATACATTATCTTAAAAGCTAGCTATTTTTAAATATGTATAAACAAAATGCAAATAAGCAAATGCAATACCAAAAATATTCAATAGTGACAATTTAAAATTTTGTCCCGTATCTTTTTAATTTTTGGAAAATCAGCAAAAAAAAGTTTTCGATAATTAAATCTTTTATCACAAACAAATTTCTAGTAATTTCTAAATCATTAAAAGAAATTTCAATGAAACATCGTTTCTACTTCTAATTAAAATTAACTCTATAAAATCATTAATAATATACTTAGTTAAATTATATATTTAATTTGTTACTTTTATGTTTGAAGATTTAATGTTAAAAATTGTATTCTTGTAGCATCAGAGTTATGTATATTATAAATCAAATAAATAGCTCTGGTTGGAGTTAATCATAAATCGTAGAGAATCCATAGGCTAACCATTCTTTTACAAACATTGACTTCGATTCTATTCTTTCCTTCATAAATTCTGCTCATTTTTTTTTCGGCACTGATCCACTTGCAGGGAGAACGAGGAGGACGCCTACGAAATCCTCACGAAGTTCCCAATGAGCGAGGGTTCGTTGACCAAGTCACCATCGGCGTCCATGTCGCCGTCGCCGACTCCATCGCTGTCCCAGCTGACGGAAGCCACAAATGCCCGCACTCCGGAACCGGAGCCATTCGTCCCGCCTCCCAGGGAATTCGCCACCATTACGGCTCCAGCTGTGGACGTGGCCGTGGATGTTGGCATGGCGGCATGTCGCCAAGCCATGTCGGAAGTGCATTCGGAAGGCAATGGCGGGGATGTGCCCGCCGAGCCAGAAGAAGCCGTTCCCAACGGGGGTCTCTACTTGCCCGATTTGCCCGATCGCCCGTGCTCGGCGCTGTCCGAACGGCAGGAAATTAAGCTGGTGGAGGAGGAAATTGCAGCCGTGCTGTCCGGCGAGTCGGAGGTGCTCAAGGAGCACAATGTCCTCGGGTGCGTACCATTCAATTTCACCCATTTCCTCCTACTCCTCCGCCATCATCACCCCCAATTTACTGGCATGCCACTGGCGAGTTCTTTTAACCGCTTCCATATGATAGCGTCAATTTCTATAGGATCTTTCCCAAGCCGGGCGTCTGCATGTCCAGCGATGTGCTGCGCTCCCTCAACGAGGAGGTGACCAAGACCAAGCTGGAGAAGGACAAGGAGAACCGCCAGTGGTCCACCTTCCTGCAGCGTCCCAATCGTCCCGTTCCGAAGAGCAAGCAAATGCTGGAGGCGGAGCGCCGGGCGGCCAATGCCTACAAGGTGACGATTGTCAAGTCGGCCCCACGAGAGAAGTCGCCCATGGTGAGTGGTCGGATTATGCTGCCTACACTCAGAGAAAAATCACCCTAGAAGCTCAATTATTTAAATGAAAACCTGACACACCGGGATTTCCAGTAATTAAGCTTAGGGTCACGAAAATATCAAAATTTTTTTTATATTTTTAATTTTTTTAAAAGTATTAGAACATTTCAGCATAATTTTCTTTTTGCTGACTCAAATATTTAAGGCTAAATGCTTTTAGTCACTTAAAATCGAAGCTTTCGTTGAAAAAAAAAACTTTTTCCGAAACTGTAATTTAACTCAAAAGATATCTCTGAAAGCTTGAAAGTTTTCAAAAGTTTCCTAATAAATATTTAAAACAGCCATTTTTACTTTCTCTTCTTTTGCTAAACTCAAAATGTTCTAATTTGATTACTTTGTGAAAACGCTAATACAAAAGTCTCAAAAAAAAACAATTTTTGAACTTTAATTAACTAGAGTTATCAGGCTAGAAAAAAATTACGTTTTTTAAAAAATGTAAAACAAAGAAACACAACTGATTTTTGGGATTATTCATTTCTGAGTGCATTGTTTGTTGTCCAGATCAGAAGTTAATTTGTGTTTACGTGTGACAGCCGGAAGCTAAACCGGCGCCAAAGGAAGCCACTCCACCCAAAGGGGAGGAACCGGCGCAGGAGGAGGTGGTGGCGGAGCAGGAGCCTGACCCGGAGCCCGAGAAGGAAGAGGAGCCATTGCCCGCGGACAGCGAGGTGCCGAATTTGGAACAGCTGCCGGAGAGCGAGTTGTCGGACGAGCAGCCGGAGAAAGCCGATGTGCCCAAGGATGTTTGTGAAGCGGAAGTTGCCCCATCGGAACCTGGTTCACCCCCAGGCCCCGAAGCTTCCGAGGCTCCAGCAACCCCGCCGGCTGAGCCCAGTAGTACTCCACCCAAAACCGACGAGGAGTTGGCCCTGGAGCACCAGTTGGCCGATGTGCAGAGACAACTGGCCGCCCTCTCGTCACTGCCCTCCACCATACAGTCCACCCTGGATGCGGTGACCAAGCAGCTGGCCGAATTGCTGCCCACCTTCAAGCTGCAGCAGCAGGAGAAGGAGAAGGAGAAGGAGCAGCCGGAAGCGCCACTGCCACTGCCGCAAATCGATGAGAAACCGGGCGATGAGGATGGGGATGGGGAAACCACTATCAACACCGCAGGCGAAACGGAGGATGCAGGTGCAAAAAACTATGCCCAGGTCGACAGTAATTAAATTTTTCTAATGGCGCACTTTTGCGTATATCCTTGCCCCCAAAACCCACAAAAACCCCCCCAAAAATGTCCTGCAGGCAAGGGCATATCCATATCTGCCACTGACAACCCACTGGGGCCATGTGAGAGTAATGAGGATAGATGCGATGCCAATGACCGGGAAGTGGCGGAAATATCGCGCTCCACTGACGACAATCGCCTGGCCAAGGACAAGAAAAAGGATCTGGAGCAGGAGCCGTTGTCCGAGGAGCAGAGCTTCAAGAAGCAGAAGGTGAGTGTCGGCCAACTGGCCCTGGGAGCCATGGCGAAATGAAATCCCTGGCAGGGCAGTTAATGTAATTAGGCTGTCATGAGTTGGGTCTAGCAGGTTTTAATGGCATTAGAGCCCGGGTCTGTCTGCTTCACTACCTGCGACTTGGACTCGTGCTAAACTATTTAGAGCAACAGGATTAGGCGGCCTGCTTTATGGGGAATGTTTCATTGTCTGAGCGATGGGGCAGAAAAGTATTCCAACACCTTGTTTATAGTGGGTTTCTCCTCTCCCAGATGATTTGCTAAAGGCTTTGCCTGGCCTTGATTAAATATTAATACTTGTTGATGAAATTGATATTAGGAAAGTTGGGAAAGGTTGAAAGGCACAAATTGATGAGCACTATTTTTGTTCATAAAAAAGTATCACTAATGCATAAGTATTTAAGGGAAATATTGTAGTCATACATTAAAAAAGAGTGCTTTTTCAATGAACTAAATATAATTTGTACGTTTTCTGCTTGTAAGGCAAACTATAGATAGGAATTGACAAGTTAAAATTCCAAAAATCTTATCGCACATGAAGTATAAATTCTTGTTTACCTTTTTCTAATCAAAATTCATGACAATAATATGTTTATTATATTTTCCTCATTTTATTGTTTTTTCTTGTGTGTTTGATTAATTAAAGAAGAGCTTAAAAGAAAATCAACCAAGCAATTAATTATCACTGAATGAATAATTTTTTAGATTAAAAGAGTGCGCTGGCTTAGACTGTACTTTCCCATTAGTTAGCTGTCTTTGAGGAACAACTATCCCAACAAATGCTGCACTGCCTGATTTATTTCTATTGAGATAGCAGCTCAAGTTTATATAAAGAGTTTTTGCACGCCACAAAAAATAAAGGAGGACTTTCTGCAAGGCATCAAACAATTCGGTTGAGTTCCGAAGTCAGTTTTTATCCCGACAAGCCTTGAGCAATGTTATCCAGCTGCGGGCAGCTGGACCTTCTCTCTTGAGCTTTGTGGAGCTGCTCCACCATCGCCCCCTCCCCCCACTCCCCTGAACACTGTCTTCGCCTCAAACTCCGTGTCCACAAATCAAATTAACTAAAATGCCATTTGGTTTTTGTCTTTTTCTACTTGCAGCATAATGTGCGCTTCCAAACGTAGTTAGTTAGCTTTAATCGAGTTTAAATTTTGATAAATTGCCAACAGCAAGTTATTTGTAGCGTTGTGCCCAAGATGGTTCTCTAGTTGAATAAAGCCCTGGCAGCGGCAGGGGAAAAATGCAGAAACCAAAAGACAATTAGTAGGCACCAAGTGGAAAGCCCTTCAACAATGTTTCGTCTCTTTTTCTTCCCCAATGGCACACCCACTCTGCTCCCCTCCCCTCCCACCTTTTTTGTTTTTCTGCCCCCGTGGGTATGTGCACTTTCCGCCCGTCTGTTTGGTTTTGCTAGAGACACGATGTCATTGAGGAGCTCGAGGAGCATTTGGTGCGCAAAAACAATCCCCGGCGGTCGAAGCGGGCCTTTGGGCCATTGGTCCCATCCTCGGAGCGTCCGCTGGTCCTTCCCGGCGGTCGGCGCTGGTACCGTCCCAAGGATGCCTACAACGATGAGTTCATAGCCGAGACTTTGAGCGCCCAGGCGGAGCTCATCACGGGCAGCACTCTCGGGTGGGTAGAGTAGTCCTAGTCCCCTGGCCTGCGTGGCCCCAGCCCCTCCACATTCCCCTCCCCCGCTCATTGCGGCCAGTTGGCAATGTTTGGCCATGTTTGCCGTGGCCAGGCTCTGCCTTCGCCCATCATCTCATCTCATGTCATCGCATTGCCCGCAAAGCAAACACAGGCACCGAGAAAAAATACACCAAAGTATCGATTTACCATTTTCAGCTGAATTTGGCTATCAAAATAATCTAATTTCTGAATATTTCAAATCAAAAGGAAGCTTTAACATGACAGCACTCTGGCAAGCAATAGGAATAAGTCTTTTGCTTTTAATTTTGTAAAGATTTCTATGACACCCAGAATACACATACATTTTAATACCTTCAAAAAAGAGAAATACAATCAACTAAACAAACGTTTTTCTTCTTAGAGTTTTTCTTTTTAAAGCTGGTTTGTTTTCTGTAGAAAAAAATGCATCAATGAACATAAGATTGAATATTGTATTTTGCACTATGATGAAAGCATTTATTTAAATGTCGGCTTAAATTTAGATTTCTATTTTATGAATTCAACTAGTAAATTAATTGAAAACAATGCGGTTAGCTAACAAAATTTAAAAATGTTGATTGACTATAATGATAAACGAGCTTCACAATTTACACAAGTAAACAAATCTGTTCAAAAAGTAGTGAGAGAATGAAATATGTTTGCAACATTTTCAAGCACCAGATTACTTCCACAAGTTAACTTCCCATTCCACAGATGGATGAATATACATATATGGTGACAATTTTTCTCAGTGCCCCTGCGGACACTTCACTAAAAACCATAACGTTAGCTCATCCCAGGCATTCATTTACTTCACTTCTTCACTTTTCCATGGCCACTCGCCTCGTCTCCTTACATCGTCCATTGCACCATAAATTTGCGCATTAGCAGCTGTCCATACGAGAGCCCGTTGCTGGGCTACGATTCCAGGTAGTGTTTCATTTGGCTTCGCTTGATGAAGTGCCCCGGATGTACCAGAAACCAGAACCAGCACCAGAACCCATATATACGTAGCATCTAGCACTCTCATTATGATTATCGTTGGCATTATCGTTAGCATTACGAGACCGAGACCCATTGTGCATTGCCACTCTCATCCTGATTCGCATTCGCATTCTCATCCGTCTGTGTGTCCTGTGACAAGGCCTGCAGTTGATTTGACTTTCCTCCTGCGTTCCGGTTGAGTTCTTTATGCATGCCGCCTTTGCTCTTGGATATCTTTTCTCCTTGCTCTTTGCCTTTTGATTTTCATTGTAGATTGCATTTTGGAATCGTTTGTTCAATGGCGAGCATATAACACGCCAGCGCTTCAGGTAAGTTTTTTCCAACCGGGTTCCCAGTTCCCCAATCTCAATCCCATTGCCCTCACTTCTCGACTCTTTAATGAGGCTAACAACTTCTCTTTGCTTTCGCTGTGTGTTTTTGCCCGCCCTTGTCTTGTACTTAACCAATGGGGGAATCGGACTGCTCTCGACTCCCGATTCGCCAGGGAGCTGCAGGGTCTCAGTCTCGGCCTGACCATGCAAAAGTAAGTTGTCACATTGGACGTTTTCTTATGTTTTCTCCGGTTCATTGCATGCATATGTACGGTGTACTTCTGGTCCCGGGAGCACTGCACTGCTGTTCACGGCATTCCCCCAGTTGCGTTCGCAATTCCAATTTAACGGAGGCTCCTTGCCCATTCGCAGGGTCAACTTCATGAAGTACCAGAAGCCGGAGCGCAAAATCGATCTGAATCGCAGCGAGGTGTACAAGTATCTCAATCCGCATCTGGACAGGGCACCCGTGCGAGGCATCGAGGTGCGTGCTCCGCTGGTGGCCGCCGAGTCGGACATTCGCCAGTCGCTGCAGTCGTAGAAATGATGTACCACCCCGAATGTTCAACAGCAGCCACCTCCCAAGCCAAGCCCATAGTTACACTGAGAATAAAGCCCCTTACAATTAGGATTTTGGATGGGAAAGGAGATCATTGTAAAATTTGGCAGAGAAGCGTTTACGGCGTTAATAGCCTTCATAAAAAGAAAAATAAGGCAATAACTTATTCATATCTCACAAGATTAAACCCTTAAAGTAAATTAATTACAGATTGAGGTGCAAATATGTGTATGCAATAGGTGCAATATATATATAAAAAAGGACATAAATATATTAGTTTTTTTTATGAATTTTTTATGTAATCAATTTATTAAGAATTTTCTCAAAATCTGTTTTTGCAAAGAATTAATAGCCAATCAATCATCCCTAAGGAAATGTTATAAATAATAAATGAGACAAATGTAGGGTGGACATAAGCTGCGAACAATACTTGCGATTTCTTGGCAACAACTGTTTCTAAATAAATATGACCACATAAACAAACCGATTTCAGTAATAAATTCTTATCAGCTTTAAAACGCTTCTCTGCTGACTTTTGGAATGCTAAATTACCGACATATCCTAGAATAGACAAACATATTTCTGTTAAAATATATAAAACCATATATTAAGAAAGCTTCAGCTTGTTTTCAAAGGAACTTCTATGCTGGGTGAACTGCTAGGATAGGAATATTGCATTTCGGCACTTGAATTGATGTGCTCATTGAACTTTGAGGATGAGAATGTATAAATTTATTTTTAAATTGGCTTCCCCCAGTGCAGTCGATTATCGCTTAAGAAGCTCAGCGAATATAAGCATCAATATGCTAACAGAAGCCGAGTTTGCTGCCATTGTGGAGAGCGGGGTCGCCTAATGCGATATTACATAATTTGTGTGCAACAAGGCGTATGTGTAATGTGTCGTGTGCATTTCTGTGGCATATCCTCAGGCGCTTGCCGTTGCAATTTTCTTTTGCATAAACATAAAAACGACGCGCTGTGTGTGTGTGTGCTGATGTATGTGTTTTTGTCTGCTATGTGGGTGACAAGCTCTTCGAATTTGCATTTATTATGGCAAATGAATTGGGTGGCAACAAAAAAGTGGCAAATGACATGGCAAAATGGCAAACAAGCAACAGTGGCAGCAGCAGCACCACCACCACAATAAACTCGTATTTAGTTATGGCACAAACACTCGCGTCATAGCCAAATCAAAATTGTTGTCACGTTATGATGAAAACCGGGACGAGCGGATGCGATGCGCACATTTCACTTGCCCCAAACAGTGTGGAACAGCCGGAATGATGAGACACTTTTCTTTTTGCCGGAGCAATAAAAACGCGCCAACTTAATGCGAGGATATACACGAAGCACGGCTATTCGTTCAAGGCGCGTATTTTGTCGAGCATCCAAAATTCCGAAGCCCGAACTTATCCGAGGATGTGCGATGCTCATGGACGCTCGTCTTGGACTGTCACAAAGGATTGGCGTTATCATTGCACTGGCTACAGGCTGCGCTTTGAGTCGAGTCGAGTTCTGTAATTTTTGGGACAGCTTTCGAGTGGTAGCTTTTGAGCGTTTTTCCGAGAGTTTTCCCTTTAAGCTTTGAGCGGAAAATTCCCCCACGAGCGAGCGTCCATCTGCCGGGGGGCAAATCACTCTAGGTTGGGGCAGGACTGGTCCTTTCAGGTCGCGAAAGGTGAAAATGCCGGAATGTCGGAAATAAAATTAAGATTTGTTCAACTTGTTGGCTAAAAGTTTGACTCGGCTAATTTGTATGCTTAATTGCCAAGCGCCATTTACACTAAGCTACGCGAAACGCTTTGAAGTCGCTAATTCGATTGGAATCGTTTAAAAGGGTTTAGTTTGCCTTCTAATTAGATAAGAATATTAATTGTCCCAGCTTAAAATTAGACCTAGGGGCCTTAAAAAGTGTATGGAAAAAAAATTATATTTAGAAATTCTGATATATCTTAATATACTTTTAAATTACCCTGCATACAATTTTATTTTTGTATTTTGGTCGAGTTTTTAAAATTTGTACCTCAGCTTAATCGGAACAAGACTTTTTGCTCACTTCAATCAAAAACCTTATACGAAATGAAAATTGTATGGGAATAATCATTTCTTAAACTTATTTATTGAAGTGGGAAAAATTATAATAATAAAATACTTACTCAAAAACTGCAGAAAGAACCTTTTTTCTTGATATAGATTTATTTGGCCATGATACGATAGGCTGTTTAGTGATTATGATCCGATTTTTATCCATAAAGTAAACTCATTTTTTAAATTTTAAATTTTTATTTGAATTTGAATAAACAATACTAGACAACAACTACTTAGAAGTAAGTACAAGTTCATACATACAAGTTACATAAAAATAGTTTGGGTTAGGCTCTCAGCTCAGCGCTGCTCCGAGCGAATAATCTTTGAAATGTACTATATTGTGTATGCGGTGTATATATGTATATAGTCATGTATAAGTACAATGTGTTTTTGTGTGGTTTTGTGTGTATCGATAACCTGACTACAAATACAAAGAAGGCAAACTTACAGCGGCCACTTCGCACGCGTAGCATTCACTTTAAAAGAGAGCTTCGGCAGAAGTGCATTATAACAATGTTGTTATAAACAAACAAATTGTTTTAGAGGGGGGGTTTTTGTGTGTGTTTGACACTAATTATCACTACGCCAGTTGAAGTTAAATAGTTTATTGGTTTCTCTTAGTTTTCCCTGCTGGGATTGCTTCGATTTGACAGATCTAAGCCAAGTTTATAATAGTTTTGTGTATATGCAAATGCAATTATTGCTAATAATACATGCGAAACTCCAACTGAATAAATAATTTTGTTTCTTTCGTTGGTTTCTTTGTGTGTGATGCAAATTTGTGACCCTACTTTCCGTGGGAAGGATATTTGTCTAGTTCTGACAAGTCAGAGGTAAAGTTTTCCAATTTGATAAACCATCAACTGATTTTGTTGGCCTCAAAAATATTCTTTGCTCTCTGCTCCAAGTCACCCTGGCTAATAATCTAATTTGTCTCTTGATTTCAGTTGCAATTTAGGTACACGATTCCGCCTTCTTCTGCAGCTCAAACCGCTTACAATCACAAAGTGCAGACCCCGCATATATTATACAAATATGTATATCGGTATATATGCGATGGGTGGTTCAGGTGTATTTATGTGTGGCTTGTCTCTAAATACTAATTGCAGGTAGTTCGTTAACGCTTTCACACCAGAATTTCGCAACAAATATGTATCGTATTTGTATTTGTATTGTTTTAGTTTTGTTTTTCTTTGCTTTTGCTATAGTGATTTTGTTTTGGGACCAGCGTAAAACGTGGCTTGGCTTTAATACTTTCAATCTAACACTAATTAAGTTCCAGCCAAACCATTCCTAGGCTGGTATGTTGGTTTGTTCATAGAAGTCGGGCTCATCATCGTCGTTCTTCTTCATCTCGCTGCCGTCCAACTAAATAGGTTAAAACCATTAGCTATAATTTACTTAAACTCATAATTAAAACACATTACCGCTTGCATTTCCTCCGGCTTATAGAGCTTTGTCAAATTCTGGCGTATGGGCACCATCATGATCAGGAAGAAGGGGAAGGCCAGCGAGAACTGGGACGACTTCACGGTCCACAGGACCACGAGGCACAGGACCTGGATGGTGGTGAACAGATGCAACTTCCAAGGACGCAAACGCTTCACATATGGCGTGGGAGGATAATGCTTGACCGGCATGAAATACAGTCTTATTCTGTGGCATAAAGGAAGTATATCATCTAACTGACTATTAAACCTTATCCCAAATAACATACCGCTCAAACAACTGCACTCCACTCATGGAGGCCACACCCATGTACAGAAAGACTCCGAAGAGCACTGCCATGGGAATCAGTCGCAGGAGCGGGGCCATCAGCACTGACAGACCAATCATCAGGCACACAAAGAAGCCGGACAGACGCTGCTCCTTCACATCAACGATCCTGGGCGACTCACCAGGAGCGTGGGTGCTGAAAAGATCAAATTGATTATTAATGTTCTTGTAAGGCAGGACTCTCACTCAAACTCACCGTGACATAATGGTGACGGAGGACACATGGGTCACTGATCTCACAGTGGCGGCACAATGCCAGGGCATTCCGAACAGTCCGCAGGCGGAGTTGAGTAGGCACAGCAGCACAATATCCCAGTGCAGGCCGGAACCCTTCTTTAGACCACGATCCGGCTTGTCCACAATCAGCTCAGAGATCTGTGATTCCATGAAGATGAGGATGTAGACCAGCAGGGCGGGCACTACGCAAGCGAACGGTATCCACGTGGATGAGGTATCGAAACCGATGTACCAGCCACGCTTCAAGGGATCACTGGGCGACAGACCCTCTGGAACCACCAGCTTCTCCGTGTAAACAGCCGGCACCAGGTAGTCCACCAATACGAAAATGGCAATGGAGATGGGCACACCAAAATCTCCAAGCGCACGACGAGCATTGCGACCCAAAAAGTGGGAGTTACGGAAGAGTTTCAGGTAGTAGGCGACCACAAAAGTGGCCAGTGTGAGGATGGTGCAGAATAGAGCGGTGTTTGGTTGATTTTTGGGTAGCGGTGGTGGACCCATCGGCATGGCCGTTGTGGAGATATTCACCACCACCTGGGTAATATTCGCCACCACACCAGCGGTCGCGTTGAAGAGGCTTCCATTTGTGGCATGGTTATGTGCAACCAGCGTCGGCGGTGGCAGATTGTAGTCGGACAACAGGGGATTTTCCTTGTAGATCGAAATCAGTTTCATAAACGTTTCCACAATATAGATGAGCGTGATCAGCGCCGAGAAGATCTCCTGGGTGAATCTAGTGAGCAGGCGCACATACACACTGCCCTCGAATGCGGAAACCGTCAGGGATATTATAATCAACCATATCCCTACATAAACCCTCAGGGACAGGAAATCAAATCCATTCTTCGTACAAAACACCATAAGAGCTTCATCGAAAAGTAAGAGTGGTCCAGTGGTTCCGATAATCACGAGCGGTTGGCACGAAAGACAATGGAAGACGATGCCCACCAGGGAGCACGAGATCAGCGTTTCCGAGATACCAATCCAGCTGTCTGTCTTGGCGGAAACGAGACCTCCAAAAGTGATGGCAGTCGAAAGGCAAGCAAAGTACATGAAAATTGTGGCTGCCAGAGTTTCAGTGTTCAGACCATCCATGATATCGCTCTTGTACATGGGCATTCTGCGTTTCAAATCATTCCTTAGTCCACCCCACAGGCGACCAGTTTTCTCCAGCGGACTGGGCTTCTTCTTCTTTTTACCATCCTCATCATCCGAGCCGCCATCACCTCCACCATCACCATCGCCAATCGTAAATCCAATAGCTCCCAGCGTTTGCTTCTCCAGCAATGCCTTCTCCTCATCCTTGCCGATCTTGATCATCTCACTGTCTCGCTTCACCTGCAGCGCCTTGATCTTTCGCGTACGGATCCAATCCTTTTTGGCCTTCAGCTCCTCGAAGGGCAACAGATCGTGGCGATCCCAATTACCGGGTGGCAGGACAATGGAATCGTCCAGGAACTCATTGATGGCCGATAGCAGATCCTTGCGATCGTCAGCCTTATAGGCAATCGAGTGGAAGTGCTCGTTGGCCATCAGCGTGGAGATGGAACGACCCACTTCATGGTAGTCCAAGTCAAAGTTACGAGGTCCCAGGAGCACAAACATGAATCTCACAGGGACGGGAACCTCTGTCAAAGTGGGCATCAGGACACCCTCCGACAGACGGACAAAGGCAATAGTCGGCTGCTCCAGGAACTCCACAGCACCAACCTTTAGTTAAAAGAAAATTTTCACATAATTAATAAATAATAGATTTAGCTTATAAAGCGACTAGAACCTACCAGCACAGTGGTGGCCTCAGCACCAGCTGGAATCCTCTTAAGGATCGTGTCGTTCTGCAGCTTCTTGAGATCCTCCTGCGACGAGGAGTACATATCGTCCTTCATGTCGATCTTTAGCTCATTGCTGCGCTTGCTGCCTCCAATCTCATTGGCCGGCATGATCCTGATCTTCTTGTCATCCGTGCCGCCCGACAAATTCTGTGAAGCATTCCGTTGAAAAGTCAGTAAAGTGCAACCAATAAATTAGTTTATTTTTTGGGGGAACATCAAGCAACCTTTACATGCAAAGCTGGTGCCAAAACTCTGAACACAACTAAAAAAGTACCATCGTGCAGTTGAACAAAATCTGAATTTAAAGTATATAGTAAAACAGAGTGCGGTCTAGGGCAGCAGTAGAGTCTAGAGTAGCGAGTGGAAGGGATCTAAGGTACTTGAAACAACACAGTCACAATCACAATTGAGAACTTGCCAATCGTGGAGGTGGAGAGCACACATAAAAACAGTGGTTCTAAGGGGGGAGAAGGGCTATGGAACTTGGCTAACGTGGTGGGGCTAAAAAGAAACATCGCGAGTTCTATAAGCGCATTTCGGCTGCTTCTTAATCCTTCTACTCCAGGGAATGAAACCAGAAAAAATAAGTTATTAGATTAAATATAAGTTAAATAAGTTACAAAATAAGAGGAAAATATAATAAAAATAAATTTGTCTTTTTTAAACCTTCTATACAATTACTATTTAATAAAAGCAGAATTACTATTTAATAATCCGAATTAAGTAGATAATAAATAGGTTTGCTAAACCAATATGCTGCGATTTTATCGTTTCATAAGTAACGCAAAGCTTTTCATTCTTATTCTTAATAAAAAAGAATATAAATATAAATAGTGTAGACTCTTGGTAAACTTTTGTGATTTTTGTGAAAAGAATCTATCCGCAGCATAGCCCACCCCCACTCTGTAGTTTCATTCCCTGGCTTAAGGAGCGGAGTACGAGAGGAGGAGGTTTCTTAGGGGGTTCTAGTTCATTACACCCAGGTAGGACATCGTGGAGTGGCGCCGGTGATCGATCGCTGCCGCTGCTGCCGTGGCAGTGGCCACGTTCAGCATCGCCGCCGTGGGCGGGGCACTAGAGGTGACGCAGATGCTCCGCCTGGCCTTCGCCAGGTTGCGAGGTGGCTGCTGCGCCTGCTGATGTGAGGACTCCGCACCCATCCATAGAAACTTTTGTTTTTTGAAGTGCAATAAGTTTTTAAGTGTGTGTATTTTTTTGTTTGAAAGAAATCAGTAAACGCACAAGAAAGAAAGAAATTCAAGAGATACACAAACAGTTGGGCAAAGCGGCGTTTTATAAGATATCTGTACGATCATGTCTATATACAATTTGGCTGTTCATTACCGATTTGGGTATAAGTTGCTGTTGTTGTTGTTGATTTTGTAGTTTTTTTTATTGTTGATGTTGGTGTGCGAGTTGTGAGTCATGAGATGGCAGAAATAGACAAGAGAATAATGACGACGACCATGGGGATTAAAAACTTTTGTCACAATTTTCACTGAAAGCCAATTATTTATAGCGAACAGGCACGATGTCAATAGATAAATGGATGGATGATATTACGATATTAGAATGACAAGAAGAAGTCACAGAAGTGTTAGCGAAACCATTTGGATGAAATAAATAAGGAGCAGATGATCTCACCTGCAGGCTGGTGTAGCTGTTGTACTTCCGCTTGGTGAAGGGCAGCACACCCTGGTGTTCGTTGACATGGCGATGGCGCAGGAGCAGCGAACGCATCACCGAGGGCTTGTCATTGATGTCGATAAGGTCCTCGATCACCATCTGAAAGGGTAAACAAAAACATTTGTTTTATTGTGTAAATAAATTATTTCTTTTAAACAAGTGTTCCAAAAATATTAAATATCGAAGAACATTATCTAAGAACCATTTTTAAGTTAGAACATAGATGAATTTGATAAAACAATTCGTAATTATTACAAAAAATATTTAAACTAAAAACATATTGTTAATTTAATTATATAATTTGTATTAACATGAAACCTAAATAGACAATTATTTTGTTTATTGGTAAGAATAGAATTTCCTATTTTTATAACAAAATATTTAAGTTTGAAAATTCTACTTTTAAAATATTCCAATTAGAACTACTCAAGAATAAAACTATAATTTTTAATAAAATACAAAATGTAAGATCCAAATTATATATATTTTTTTCTAAGGGGAAGCTAACCTGTTCTACTACGCGATAGGCCACGGCTGGCAGGTCCTTTTCGTTAAGGTCCAGCAGGACAACGCCCGTTTCCAGGCAGCGACGCAAATTGAGCAGCGAGTGGAAGGAGAGGGAGGCAACATGGGGCTTGCCCCAGCGATCGGAGCCCTCCTCCACATCCTCCTCATATTTGATCCAACGGGCCGTCTCCTTCCATTCGCGATCCTCGCCCACGCCAATGAGCTCGTCCAATTGCACAAAGATCTGTTTATAAAAAATATTTCAACAAATTAATAAAGAAAAATACTAATAAATAATGTATACAAACCTCATGAGGACTATGGTCCACCTCGGGCTTCTTATTGGTGAAGGGGGAAATAGTTATCTGGGGCAGCTCGCGCAACTTGATGGATGAGTGATGGATCTTGTGGCGACGAAGGGCACGAGGGTCGTCCGAACGATGTGATCTCAGCTCGTTGAGATCAGCCTCCTATAATGGGGTAAAAATAAGAGATTAGGTCTAGAACTCTGGTCTAAGTCGGGGAGCTATTTTCGGGGCTAAGGGCACGGCCAAGGATAAGATGGTCAACATGTTTAGCCGGCATTTGGCCATTTGTCTACAGGTGATTCCGCATATTTGTGGGTTAGCAATGAGAGTTGGAGAGACACAATAGCTTGTTAAGTTAGATGAACTGAACTACGGTTATGTGGGCTAAGGATTCTTTAGAGGATTCGGTTACTAGACTGCTTCTTTAAGGGGCCCTACCTCCAATGCCGTGTCCTCAGGCTGCACAGAGATGCGACGCGCACCTGCATCACCGTTTTCCTCGAGTTTGTTTTTGGGTTCCACGCTGTCCTGATGTGAGAATTTACGTTGTCTATAATACTGATGGCGGCTGTAAGGAGAATCATAAGTTAGTTATTTTACTGTTGTATCTACCCAGTGTTATTTTCATTTATTTTTAGGTATTTATATTATTATTCATTTATTTTAGGTATTTTAGGTACAGTTGAGGAAAATCGGGCAGAGATTTATACGATTGAAAATCAAGATTTTATGTAGCTCATACATTAAATTATTTTAAAAGTGTTATTTTATATTTTATATAGATCATACTTTAAATTATTTTAGAAGCATTTTCTTTTTTGTAAAAGGTCAAAAAACTGTTCTGAGAATTAAATATTTACTAAAAATATATTGGATATCATAAAAATATTGACTTGACACTTTGAAAAAAAAAATATTAATAATAAAATTGCCCTCTCATAAAATTTCCCCTATACATATTATAATAGTGACACAAAAAGTTAGTCTAACACTTTTAATTAAGTTTTAATAATTAATAAAATATATCATCTTTTATGATTATTAATAATAAATGGTTGCTAAGTCTTAAAATAAAAACGTATACTTAATATCAGCTTGTGGCTCCGAAAGTCATTTCACCCATATCACGCATACGCAATGTCAGCCAGAGTCATTGGACACATATCACGCATACGCAATTGTACCCGAATTGGTTTTTCAAAACATTTTTTTTGCGAATACAGAACTTAAAAAGAATTATAGTTTTACCTTCTTCTGCGTTTACGTTCGTGCGATTGATCCGTGGGCTGTTCATCATAACTCAAACTGGGCGGGGTGATGACAATCTTCTTCTTGCCGCCGAACTGGACGTGCTTCTCGTCCACCGAGTTGTCCGAGTGATCGCCGTGTCCGGCTCTCTCCGACACTAAAGGAAAGTCCTCGGGGATGTCATCGTAGTTTTGTGCATTGTTCAAAGGCTCCGTTTGGCTCTCGTACTCCGAGTCCTCCTCGATGTTCAGATCGTTTGTGCGGACTGTAAATATACCCAAATTAAAATTCTCATAGTTGATCAACCCAATAGATAACCTACTGCTATTCTTTTTGCGGGATCCAATGGGCAGCTGGGAGTTGTCCTGGAAGGTGTTTACATCGAACTTGTCTTTGCGTGAACTGTTGCCGGCAAAGACCTTGTCCATTTCCGAGTCCAGCAACACCTCGTCGGGATCTTCATTGCCGGACTGCAAGAAAAAAACAGAAATAAAGATATACCAATTGTCGTTACTCAATTGTTTTCATGCGTTTGGTCACGTTGTGCATGAGTCAAGTTGGCGCAAATACTTTTCAATTAAGAATCTATAGGAAAAACAAAGTCAGACAAGTCATGTGACTCGCAGCATTATTGCTCGTCGTCACGAGTCTTTCGACATGTTGACGATCTGTGGAAAGCACTTAAAGGGGCGAGAAGAATCGGGGAAAGAATGAACGTCTCTATGCGGACATTAATCATCTCCCAACAAGTGCGAACGCACGCATTAGAAAACCATAAAGAAATAATAAAAACAACTCGACATTCCTTCATCATATCCCAGACTTTTACGGATGAGAAGCCAACTGGATTCACTGGGCGTCGTTCGTAATTGGTTTTAATCGATCTCAATTGATTTTCATAGTGACGAAGGCATTGATTGCGCACTTCGCTCAATCATCATTATTAACAACAATATTAACATCATCGGGCAAAAATGAAATATATTACTTTGCCTCGAGCGAGAAACAAGTAAACCCAATTATTCCCAATTGTTGTGTGGCTATCAGATTACAAATATAGGAAAAAATCTGAAATTGTTAATTAAAAATCACTGAAAAGGTTGCAGGGAATTTAATATTCCCTCTTGTGTTCATTAAAGGTTTTTTTCTGGGGCAAATATTAATTTATTTTGTTCATTTGTGTGCAACAATTTAAAACAATATCCTCAAGCTGTGAAATCGCAAATCTACTTGACATTCCAAACAGTTTTTAAAATGGAATCCATTAAAGATAAATAGAATAGACCGCTAATGACTTTAAATAAGAATGTTTAAAATTGGAACTAAGTAAAACCATTTAAAAATATATAATGTTATTTGCTCGAAAAGCAATAATATACTACACTACAAAATAAATAAATACATAGCCAGCGGACAATTTCAAATCCATTTGCTACTATGTTCTTAATAATAAACACCTCAAATATGTTCACACTTTGCACACATCCAGCCAAGTTAGTCAACATATTTTGCCCGGTATTTCACCCTTTAATAACACGTCCTTGAGGAGGGCTCAAGGTGTTTGAGTGTTTTCCCCAGTTTTGTTTACTACGTCAACATGAAAATTATCGTATGCTGTACATAAATGCAAATGGAATTAACTAAATGCGATATTACGCTTTGGGCACTCAAAGGACCAGCGATTCCCGGTCAGGTCTGCAGCTGTTGAATATTTTATGGCAACTTTAATACACTGGACGGGCGAGCGTATCCTTGACAATTACATTCACTTCCTGATAAGCCGGGGGCAGATAAGGGCGGAAACAAAGGCAAACAGAGTTTCAGTTTGTGTTTATAAATAGAAAAAATTTAATAACGCTGAGAGCCTGCACGTGGGAACGTCAATGTGTCCACCGACCGGCAGCAGAAAAGGAAGACTAACGACCAAGTGTATGTGTGTGACCCCAGTGGGTGGTGGGTGGTTGTTGTGGGTGGTGTTTGCATGTGATAAGCTTGAGCGTAACGCGCCATGTTACGTTAATTAATCGATAAACACTAAGTTGTCCCATAATGACTTTGATACTAATGCTGCTTCTCGTCATCATTATGAAGTTGTTGGCATTGCTGATTTACAGACAGATACGAACAGGCAGGCAGTAAAAGTATTTTGTCATTTAGCCATTAGCTTGATGCCCATCATAATGTGGCTACAAGTCAGCTACATAAGCCCACCACCCGCCACCCACCAGCCACCCACTCTTCAGGTAACCACAACGTTCTAACGGAGCGTCGCACTTTATGCAGCATGTCGACGGCGCTTATCAGAATAATCGATGGTATGTTCGGGCCCCAACCCCCAACCAACCCAGCCGACCTGCCACGCCCACTGCCCCGCCTCCCAGCCATCTGAGCTGTCAATTTTGGTTGTTGTTTATTTAGCATTCGGAGTGGAGCTAAATGAATATGCACAGGCCATACTCCTATCCTAAATGCACACAGTAGCTGGCCAAAGAAATAGAAGCCCAATGAGATCATCAAAAAAGAAAAATTTGGTTAAGGTATTGAAAGAAAAATTAATTTTTTTGAAATACACAACTTTAAAAGGAATATGTCTCTAAACTTTAATTTTCCTTTGCCTCTCAAAAAGCCACATTTATAAAATTATGAGAACCCATAGTTTTTTTATTCATTTTGAACTTTTCCCTAGAATAAAAATGTCGTAGCCTTTCAATTTGCATAACATATTTTTGGCTCTAGAAGCTCAAATGTGTTCTGTGCTGACATTTGCTTTTTAGAATTTTATTTTTGCTCAAAACCTATTCGAGTGACAAGTGTTGTGTGCAGTTACAGTCGCAGTTATGCCACAAGTTCGCCCATAAAGCTCAGCGTGCATGTAAGCAGCTCAGAAGCCCGCTCCAAGTTGGGCCAACAAGAAAATAAGTTGCGCTGAGTTCGCGGAGTGATTCTGATGTGATTTGACATCTGCGAGGCGGCAAGCGAGCGGCAGCACGTGACTTACAAGTCATAAGCAAGTTAGGTGCTCGTGGCCTAAACAACTTTTTGTCCAACTTGCCAAATTGAATCAAATTGCGGCTAAAGCGAAACTTGTTAAGATTTTGCGAGTTGCCAACTGTTGTTGTCATCGCCAGCGAATAAGTTTTTACACTTGGCCCGCACAGCAGATTAAAAGTTTGTCTTCTGCAACGTATCGCGTACAACTTTGTATTTATTGGAAAACTGTTTGAGTTGCCAAAAGAAAGTCGGGAGGAAAAATGGTTACAAGAGAGGTGAAAGCTTAAGATTTGGTAAAGTTAATATTCCCCTTAAGAATAAACTCCAAATGTGTTGCCTCAGATGAGACGTAATCCCTTTATGGATTAATATTTATTCAACTAAATATGAATATTACAAAGTTTTCTTTAATATTTGGAATTGTTATTTTTAAATGAAATTGGGGTTCTAAATGAAAGCTTAAATGATTTTTTTAACTTTATATATATAAATAAATATATCTATCCCAAAATAATAATATCAAATAAATTGGCAAGCGAAAAATGGATGCAAATAATCCTCAAGTTATACAAAATCATTGTTTCTTTAGGTTGCTGATTTTATTTAAAACAATTTTTAGTGTTGGCACAACATCTGGCCATAACTAACAGGCACATAAAAAGTGTGCAATGAGAGTGTACTTAGGCAAAAACAGAAACCGTTTAACTTTACATTTAACTTTTGACTTTGAGTTGGATATATTTATGCATGTATACACAAAACTTTTTATTTGTTTGCAGCTGTCGAATTTTTTCCACGGCCTGTGCATAATTTGGTGAATTTTTGTTGCCTCGCTTTCGCTACGCAGTTAGGTTATACTTTTTTTTATATTTTTTTTTGCTGTTTGTTTGCACAAATTAACGATGCTTCTATAACGCTTTTGTCTGATTGTCAGCCCGCGCAAAGAAGTGTGTGTGTGTCTGTGTTAATTTAATGTGAATTCCGCAGCGGAAATGCTCGCACAAGCACAAGAGCGTCGGGAAAAGCGGAAAAGCGGGTACAGGACGTCGGCGGGTCATGGGGGAGGGGTCAGGGGTCAAGGGGCGCAGCGAGACGGACACGTGCGAAAGGTTAAACTGGTCATTGGGCGGAGGAAAAGGCACAGGCGTTAAAGCATCGTAAACGTAATCTGGGATGGGAAATCATGCTGACAACGCTGCTCAACCTCTGAACGACATCTATATTCTCACACTATAGATTTTCACAATAGAAAAGTGTTGCATACTTCAAGGTCAGCCGATGGCATTGTATGTGTACGAGGGTGAGAGTGTGTGTAAAATAACGTTTAGCAATAAATAGTTGAGGCCTGCTCTATTTATTATCGTGCGGTTGGAAATGAATAGAAAATGTTCCGGGTAATGTGGGGAATTTTATAGGAATTTTGCCTTTAATGAGTTTCCTTAAAAAGGGAAAACTGAAATAACTGCTTTTAAAATGTTCTGGGGAAGGTAAAGGCTTGATGGGAATCTTTCATTTAAGTGGTTTAATATAAAGTAAAAACATTGATAATAACCATGTGTAAACTGAATGGAATTTTAATAAATTCAGAAATTTAAAAGCTGAAAACTTTAAGCTGCAAAAATTATGTAAGGACATAAAAAAGGGGTACAATTTTACCTGAAAACTTCGAAAACTTATAAGAAAACATGAAATATCAAATAAGTTTTAAAAGTTTATAAATATTCTGTATTTGAAAAACTAGAGCGGCTTATATAAACGGAACTTGTACAAAACTTAAATTAAGCCTCAACTAACTTTCCTACCTTGAGGGAAAACATAGTCAAAGTGAAAACCTCTGTTTTCACCACTCAGGTGTGTGCGAGTATAAATAATGCATGAACTGCTAAATAATTCACAACGTTTTTATAATGCAGACAAATTGGAAACACGAAACCGCAAAATCCCATTCAAGCAGTCAATCATTCATCAATCCGGCAAACCGAAACGAAACTCGGTTATTATTGGTAATTTTTAAGATGCCACACACAAAAGACACCTTGAAATGTATATGTATATATATATATATGACCGCAGACACACGTGTGTGCAGGGAGGTTGACTCCTGTCGCTTGGGTAACATTTCGGTAACATTTCTGGGTTTTTTCACTGCCACTGAGCCGTCTTATTGCCCCAAAAAGTATGCAGCACCCAAAACAAATTTCCTCCGGAATGTTTGAGTATACATAGATACATATACACCAAGGATCTTTTGAGTTTGGGTGCCTGTGGCACATAAAAGGCCAACTCACTTGTTGTGCCCAGCTGCCAACTTTTCGACTATAATTTTATAAATGGAAAGAAAAGGACAAAATTTGTATGTGAAAGGCTTTTCCCACTTTCCCTGTGTGTGTGCGTGGGCTCTTTTGAAACAATTTTCAAGGCTGTGTGCTCTTGAAAAGTTTGGTTTGCCAGCCAACTTTTCGTGCGTTTTTGATTAACGCTTATAGATCAAACAAGTTAAACTAGTTTTACGCTTTACCTTGAGGGCTCCCAGCTTTTTTTGCTCAATTTTATTTGTAAAACTTTCAATCACGTTTGCTAGTTTGGTAAGAGTTGCTTTTCGCGAAGCCTTTTTGCCTGTTGCACTTTGACCCGCGAATTATGAAATTCGATATTTTGTGGGGGAAAAAAACGAGCCTGTTCCGTTTACTGGGAAGGCTGCCCAGCAAATGAGGAGCCATGGCTTGCGGCTGCTGCTGCTGCTGCTGCTGCTTTTGCTATTACCTGACTTTTTGGCCAATGCGCAGGCGTGGGTGAAAGCGCGCGTATAACGGTAGAACACAGGCCGCTCAGCTGGCAGCGCTGCAGCGTTTCGGCCATGCTCAGCTGATTCTCAGGGCCATGGCAGCGGTCGGGCTTTACTATGCCACCACCAGCCCCCCAGGATTTGCAGCTGCTGACGTAAATCGGAATGCAGTTTTCGCCAAAAAAGCTTTGCTGGGCAAAAGCTTTGTTCGCTCGGCATTTTTTGTTTTCGGTCCCTATTCGCCCGCCTCACCCACTGCATAATTAATGGCAAAGCTTTTTCGCTCACAGGACCTCCAGATGGTCAAGGCCACTCAAGGCCAACACTTAGTGTTTTGTATGGCCAAGGATTATGGTCGAGCAAAACGCGGGGCGGGGATGGTTGTGTGCAAAAAAGCTTTTTTTCGTCATGCACAAAAATCTATTCACTTGATGGCACTTTGAACAGCAAGCCAGTACATTAAGGCTCATTAACTGGCCGCCCATGTATGCGTGTGTATTTTGGGTAATTAGCGATAACAGTCGAGTTGTAATGGCTAATTGAGTTATGAGTCCCCGTACACCGCAGCTCAAGATGATAGGTCGCCCAGGGGAGTTGAATTATGTAAGACCATAAACATCAAATGAGTTGGATGAATGACAAGACCAGTAATTGATGGATTATTCCAATATGTAATTAATATTTAACAACTGCTAGTATTCGTATATAAATTGAGAGTATATATCCTTTGGCACTGCACATGTCTATGCATTCACAAAATATTAAGCGAGCTATTAATCAGTCAAATAATAATTATATTCAGTTGATTAGCAGACAATTTTAATATGCTAAATTTGGGGGTTCAAAAATTAAGAACTGTAAACAAAGCTGCAATCTTAGCTAAATTTATTTGAACATAAGGATAGAACAAAAATCAGGAAATTTATTAAATAATACGTCAATGAATACATTCTAAGTATGTATATCAAATATTTTTTAGGAACAGAAACTACATTTTTTTCTTATGTAATAACTTTTGTCACTTGTTCAACTTTATTTTTAGACGCATCTAATCATAGTTTATGTATTCCAAATTAAGAAATCACCTAAATCATGGCATACTTTGTGGTACAATTAAGTTAATTGAGGTTGCTGCTCCCACGGCAACTGCTACTTGATGCTTTCACCTGGCCAGGTGTCAATGAATTGATTGCTATTACAATTCCGCTGAACTATTACTTTTCATTGTCAATGCCAGAGTGAGTGCAACCGCGGCAGCCTTGACCACGAATATCGATTTCCTGTTCTGTGCTTGTGAAATGTGTGCTGTGAGTATAATGTGTGTTCGCTTCATTTGAATGCTAAACGTCTAACTAGCTTCCTGTTACCGTTATTGCCAACTGTCAGTTGCACAATTAAAATGCGTTTATTTCGACGCGTTTAGTGTTTAGCCTTTAAGCTGACAACTTGTTGTCGCCCTCCAGCACCACACCGCGTATACGTAATGTTGGCAAAAATGCGAGCACAAAAGCGGTACTTTCGCATGAATGAATGCATGATTAGGCACGGCACTCTGATCTACTGCTGAGTACTCGCACACGAATCCCAAACTGAAATCGAAATCGAAATTGAAACTGAAACCGAAATTGATTTGCTGGAAACTGGTTTCTAAATTGTGTCACTCGGTAGCTGGCGGGCATATGCCGGTGTGCCCAAAACAACTGACACACTGCGGAAATGTGTAGAAAAGTAAACAACTGAGAAATAATAGAAACCACAAAAAAATCAATAACAATTACTTGACATTACTTTGCTGGCTGGCGAATAAATTATTCACAAATCGGCGATTGCAAAAAAATAAAAACAGATTTAAAAATTGATTTATTTAATGGAAAACTACCAACGGCAGCACATTATATTCATTTTTTGAAAAAGTTTCGAGGAAACCTTGACTGGGTAAGAGTCGTATCGGGATCATCATTAGACGTAGTATGAGCTCATTCTCGCATTTGCCTAATTAATTTCCCAGCCAAAAGTCAATGCATTAGGCGGGATTATTTATAGTTAATCTATCTACACATAGGAAATACACCTGAGAAATGATGGAAGTCATTAAAAGGCTTATTTATGTATCTATCTTTTTGGAATTTAAATTTAATGCAACACAAAATAACTTTGAAAGCGTTTAAAGACATTTTTTTCAGCAACGAAAGTAAAAGTCAAATAAACTCAGTGTAGAATTTAATTATTCTTCTTGTTCCCAAACTTTCAGAAATTATTGCCAAGTGTAGGTATGCGTATTAAGTGTATTAAGCTTACTCACCTTCTTTTTCGTATTGAAGCCCAAGAAAGACAATTTGCGGACATTATTCTCCCTGCCGCTGGCCGAACTGAAGCTCATCTTGAGTGTTTCGTCCGCTCTCCTTTCTAAATTTTTGGTTTAATTTGATTCCAATCCGAAGATTTAGGGGTACTTAAAGCTGCCTATTTGATGATCAGGCAATGCAATGGCATCGATGTGCTGGTGTGCTTGGTGATTTGCTGCGGCCACTGTGGATGCTCCAAGAATCTCGGCATTCGGGGCAGCGAATTCAACGCCCTGAAATTTAAAAACAAAAAATAATAGATACAGAAAACGAAGCAGCAGTCGAACAAACTGACGCGGGTGCTTTGAACGCAATTTCATTAATAAACAAATTCGACTGTTGCTGCTGTTGTTTTTTTGTCACTGCTAAGGAGCACAATTGAAGGCGATGCCACACAAAAATATATAAGTACCGAGCGCAATAAAAACCATTCGACGCGACTCAATTAAAGTTAAATGGCAGCCACACGCATAGTTAGGGCGGCAGAGGGGGGCGGGGTCGATGAAGCACGCGACTTTCGTTGACGGCTCGTGATCAATTTGCGTTATTTGAACACTCAATTATTATTCGGGTATCGGGGGGAGAATAAATGTGGCAATCGACACCCCAAGGCGGTATTCTTTGCCACTCAGATCGCTCACTTAACGATCTGCATCTCCATTTCCAGAGAAATTAATCTGCACTGAAAAAAAGCGGTCCCAAACTTATAACTCAATTGATTTTTCTAAACACACTTTTCGTTCGAAGTCAAAGTAATCAATCACAAGTGTACAATTCTCTTTTTCAGCAGGTATTCTTCTAAACAGAACAAAAAGGTTATGTTACTATCTCAATTGTTTAATATCAATAATAACATTATTAAATCAATTCTAAGCTTATCAAAAGTTAATATTAAAATGACATCAACATGAAAAAAATATTTTGGAGACGATAATAATAGAACTTTTAATTTTTTAAAAGTCATGCCTTGTGTCACAATTCTAAGATTAGTACGAATGAATCCGATATGGTTAATTGCCATCTTATCAAATTATACTTGAAAGAAAGGAGTGAGCAACTATTTCTTGAAAAATTTTTCGCTCTTGGTAGTTTTATTAATAATGATTGCAAATATCATTTATAAATTTAATACGAATATACTTAAGTATTTTCTTATTTTTTTCATGGCACGAGCTTTAATTTGTATTCTTTCAGAGGTTATACAATTTTTGTCTTTACAAATTATAAAAAATTTTCTAGAAATTGTCACATTTTATTTAAAACAAGATGTATTTTTTGAAGTGCGCGAGGGCAGATCGTTTTAAAAGTTTCGTAACGTACTGCGACAGCTGACTGAAATTAATAATGGCCACCCCTATTTGTGGCCATATCAGCCCCTGCGATTTGGGGCGTGGCAAGCGTTGAACCTATTCGGCAATCAACCGAAACAAACACAAACACAAAGCGAACTGGTAGCAGAGGCCAAAAGTCCAGTGTTAAATGTAACGTGCCCGCGAGTCCTTAATAATTCAATAAGCACCTTTATGGGTAGAACCGGCCGTCTGGCGGGGTAACAATAGAGTAGCCGAAATACGAAACACAAGTTACACAAATTCAATTAGGCACCGCTGGCCTGGTGGTTTGTACGTCGACCGAATCGCGAATATGGTCCACTGGGGCGGATACGCGATATTCAGGACACCGACGAGGCTTGCTCCGTGGCGAACGAATGCCGTGTGAACCTGTTGCGGCTGCAAATGCGCTGATTTATGTGAGCTTCTTTCTGCCGCCAAGAACGCTTGAAAAGTGAGCCGGCACCCGAAGTATCTACGAACTGCGAAAAATCCCCATGCCTTTGTGTGCGTTTGTATCTGTGTGAGGAGCAGCGCTTCGTTTCGTATCGTATATCGCGTAGACAATCCAACATGAGTCTCGTGCTTAGACGCTGCGCCTTAAGTTAGCCCGTCCCATTAACTGCTCTTTTTGTTTTTGTTGTTTGCTACCCACAAATTTTCACTTTGGTCGCGTTGATTATGTAAGAAAATGTGACTTGTCTTTGGGGAGGGGTTTCAGTTCCATGTGCCTTGGATATTCACTCTTTGTTTGCCATATGTTCTTCGATAAAAAATACTGAAATATGTCTTTCCCGTCTGACCATGGATTAAAGTTAAGTTGCTAAGCAAACAAAACTTTGGCTTTTGGCAACCTTGATATTGCCTCGCGTCTGAATAAAAGTGGGTGGCATGTTACGGTAAACGCTATTAACTAATAAAAGGATTTCAAAGTTGATCAATGGCTGAATGGGGCGGAAGCCCTTTCAAGGTTGCCGAATAAATATTTGTACTCCCAGTCCAACGTTTTACTGCCTTAGGGAATGCTTTGTAAATCCCTAAATTGCTTCGTTTATTATTGGTACTTATATTTGTTTCCAACCTTACTATTTGTATTTATATTTGTATAAGTAATAACTTAAGTAACTTTGTTGAGGTTCACCGCTGTATCCTAAAGACATTCTTTCGACGAATTTATTAACAGGTTCGCCTAAATATTTATTTATTTGTTAGAAAGACAAGAATATATCACAAAAACCATTCAAGCAATCTGAGCAACAACTTTACTAAAAAACGCTATTAGTTTTGGACTAAAGAAATTGATTTTAAAGATCAACTGATTTTTCCTTTGTTTTTGGTACGATCGCTCGAGGATCGCGTGACTCTAACCGAATTCGATACGATAAAGTGCACGTCGCTGGGGAAAACAAATAAATTTACACATTTTATGGCAACCACAAGGGAAGTAGACGGATGGCAGTCAGTTGCATGTTATCAAAATTAGAGGCAACTTATAACTTATAAATATATAAGACACTTAAAGGCAAACAAAACGGCGCGGCTGCAGGTTCCCATAAAACCCGAAGGTGTTACAATTTAAAACCCCAAAAAGTTCCAGTGGCATGAAGGGAGGGGGGTGAAAATTAACGTGGTGATCAATTTTATGGGTTCATTAGCGGGCGCTGGCGAAATGACGCCAAACGATCGATCGTACGACGGTCTGGCTTAATTTTGATTTAAATTATTTGTTTGTATATACGTACGACCGGTATAAAAACGTTAGCGGGTATCAAAAAAGAACCGCCTACACCTTAGCGGCCTTATCGCTAGCTGGGCTAGCCATTCATTTCGATTTCGATTCCGATTCAGATTCCGCTCCAATTTATTAAAACAATTGACAGTAATGTATGGGATTTGTCGTGCTGCGGCTTCGTACATTATCAAATTGTCTATTATGTGTCGTGTTCCGAAATTGATTTGATTTAACCCTAGAGACACGTCAATTAGCCGCCCGCTGATAAATGATAAATGGCCCGATGAGGGCTTTAAATAGCCAGGTTGCTTATGCAATCAGTCGGTGGAAAGTTTAAGTTTTATCAATGTTCAGTCTCGTGCGACGTCTCCTTATCAAACACTAATTCTCCCCGGCCAAATCTTTCCAGACCCGACCGGTTTTTGTCGGTCAGCTGCTGTTGCGGATCCTACTTCTGCTGGAAATGCCACACAATTTACATTCACGTGCTGCCGAACAAGTTGGAAACCGGTTTTTTCGGTCGACCAAACTGCAACAGTCAACACTGCAAAAGGCAGCTGCAACTGGAATTGAAATTGCAACTGCAGCTGACATTGAACTTGAAAGCACTCAAGCGCCTCGGACTCTTTTCTCATTTCTTTATTATGCCGGAAAGGGGTTTACCCTCAAAAATACGGTAGCGCAACCACTCGAACGTATAAATGTCAGTTTAAAAACCACTCGAGATATACAAATACCGCGGTTACCTGCTAAATTGTCGTTGACGACGCCAGTAATTATACAGAAGTGTGCCCATATAACATTTTTGAATATATGAGTGCATTGAAATATTTGATAATTGGAAACGCATTGTTTAAGTACAGCTATAAATCTTGCTGGCCCATAAATAATTATTTTCAACGATACCCAGACTGATTACCAAACCCTCGACGTGCGATTCATTACTATAAACTATACTTAAGACACACAAATACCTAGTTCAAGTGCACTTATTGGAATAGGTTAGTAATCATACAATTACAATTTACAATTCAATTGAAAGGCGTTAATTACCATTCAGTGTTCGGTTTAAAAGTGTAATATTATCAAGTAGTGTCGGTTACAGAAGCTAAATGACCGAATAATTGCGATTATCGCATATAATTGTACAGTGGATTACTACACAATGCCTTTACAAAACCATACAATTGATATAAAAAAATAATTAGTATTAATTAATTGAATATAAGCCAACATAATGCAAACCATACTATTTCATTGTATTGAAATGGAAATAAACAAACGTGGCAAGCCATGCATTAAACTCTATGTAAAGGGTTGGTTCTTTTTACAAAACAATATTTTATTCTTATTAGAATTTTAGACAACATAATAGCCCAGCAAATAGATTTATACGTTCGTTAAGCACTGTACTTCCACTTTCCACTTGAGTGACAATATTCTCCGACCTTGAAGGATTTATGATCGACAGTGTTATTTGTTCAAAGGTTCAAAGCACTTCAAATCAATTGCATTCGAAACACGACATTTGAAACGGACTGAAAACATTTGGCAACGCTTCACCGGCCACACAAAATCGAAACACACGAAAAGGCTAAAATCCAATTCCAACTGCAAATATAGAACCAAACTTTAATTAGGCTACTACCATTCATCGTATGACTAACCGATCAACTAACTGAACACCCCGCAGATCGACGACCGTTGTGGGGGTTGACTAGCCGCACATGTTAGCTCCAAATAATTATAGTATCGATTGTATTTCCTTTAACCGATAAGCAATATTCATTTACAATATGAGCTGTTTTCCCTAGAGTGAGTAAATGGGGTTCTTCAGAATCGCCACAGATGGCATCAGCGGCCCTTAACAGAAACCTAGTCAGCAATATTTAATTTTGATTTCGTAAATCACTCCCCAAAGAGAATGCTTACATATATATCAATAGCAGATATGGATGTTGCACGAGGGGAATGTGTATCTTTGTGACATCCAGAACGAAGCGATTCGTTTTGTCTGATTAACCCTTCCGCCGGTTGTCGGTGATTTTTAAGCGTGATGAAATGGGATGTCTTATCTAAAAGGTGTCGTATCTTATGAATAAGTTAAGAGTCCTAACTAAATATTGTGCAACAACTTTTAAGCTGGGACACTTATGATTTTACATGTATATTGCATTTCATTCATATAAATATTTATAAATTTACTATGTAAGATATATGATATTTTTTCCCCTGTATTTGATAAATATACTTAAGCAAATTCAAAATAAAGTTAAATTAAAAAGTAGTTTATTTTTATATTGAATTACCACTATATTTATTTATTGGTGATCACCTTACACCTTTGTCTAGGCCAGTACTTCCTCCATATCAGCTATTGTTATAAAATACTTCAGTTTGCTGGCCACTGCAAATTCTGTGTATCGTTCGCAGGAACAATAAATACTACTCTCGAAAAACGCAAAATTACAACAACAGACTCGCCACAAGTTGTGTAAACAAAAGTGTAGAGCAACAATTACAGCTACGGCAGAAGCGGCAATAACAATAAAACCCAACTTTAAGCGTCATGATACATTTTGGTTAAATATCAGACAAGAACAATACCAGAAAAAGCAGGAACAGCAAAAAAAATAACCACCCAAGTTGAGATAAACAAATTCTAGTTAACATTGTGTGTTTATCGTGTGCGGGTCGCGACTGCAGCATATTTGTTGCAGAAAGGGGGCGGACCGGGGAGAAAGCCAAATTATTGAGCCATTACTCACCAGTTTAAACCTTAGGGGCAGGGCAGGGGGCATTCGGAGCGAGAGGGTGCCAAGAACAAATATTTACCACACAGCGAAAAAATACCACCGAAAATGGACATTGCGTTGCGTAATTTACGATATTGATATAGCTCTTATCAGAGTGACTTTTGAAATTATACATACACATTTGTATAACTTAACATAAATAAATTCCGCAAAGCACAAACATGTTTTTAAATTAATTGCAATTGTAATTTGTAACTTTAACAAGCCAATTAAATAAATATACAAGTTCTATAAAACATTACATTAATAAAATTATAAATGTAAAATGTTTGCATCAATAAGTGAAAGCTTCTGTTTAACTGCCTATTTGCAGATATTAAATTTATATAAAAATTCGTTAATAATGCAATGTTTTTTGGCAGTGAAGCCTGGAAAGTGCAACTAGCTGTTCACGTGCTGCACAAAAAGAGGGGGGATGTCGGGAGAGGTTCAAATAGGGGACCAAAGGGGAACTTCGAGCACACTCAGTGCTGATAGCAGAAATTCCCCCAAAGTAGAGTTTTGGTGCTTTTTGCCCCTGTTGTTTCTCTTGTTGTTTCAGAAAATTTGCATAAAAAGCAGACAAACTTAGCATAAAGCGCCGCGGGGAATGAAAGACAAACAGGCGGCATTGGAGGTGGAGAAAGGAAAGAAAGGGGAAAAAGGCAGATGAAGAAAGAGTGAGAGCATAGAACGTGGCACTACGTGCTCGGTACAACTGAAACTGTGTTAGCTCTGCTTGTCGAACAAACACAAAAACAAAAACAAAAGGCAAAAAAATCAAGAACACAAAAAAAAATAAACCCACACCGCCCCTGGCCAGAGATCCAAAATAGAACCAGTTTCCAGAGTTTCAGTTTCAGAGTCACATGCTGCAGTTGCTCTCGGACCTGACTTGATTTATCTCTTTTGGCTGCTTAATAATTTGTCCGACAGCCAATTGAAAATCGGGGCCAAAAAGTTCTTAGCCAGCAGCAGGCGGACAACAGTATTTAACAATATTTAGTTTCATAATTGTTGTGCCGCCGAGTAAGTTTCGCATTTTCTTTGACACTTTTCCAACTGCGAAAAAGCCCAGTAAATGTTTATTCTTACACCGAGAAAAATAAGAAATATTTGGATCATTAAGAAGATTGATATTAAGTTATATGAATATTTATATAACAAAGAATCAAATCAATCTTTTAAAAACGAAAACATTTTTAGAGTTCTCAAAAAATGTTTGATATTTTTAGTTGATCCTAAAATAGAGCTAAATTGTTTATATTTATATTAAGCAGTCAGGAAACTAACAAATAAATCGAGGATCCTACTTTTCAAGGATACTTCCAAGCCTCTAATAATTGTGAAATCATTATTATTTTCCGTTAACGTGATAGTATTATTATTTTCAGTTAAGGACGTGATGGATTATTAAAAATAGGCTAAATTTATATTAAATCCTCAGAAGCCCTAAAAAATTATGTAATGTTTACTTTACATTTTTTTGTGGGATTGGTAAACTGAATTGATTATTAAATGCAACTTAGGAAAAAAGATTTATTAAATTGATATATTTTGTTTGTAATTTTAGATACTCTTTGACATAAATACCGAATTGATTGAAATTTTTTTCTGTGTGGAAATCGCGACAAAAAGTCAAAATATCCACAATATAAAGATCTTTCGCACGAAAATAGCACAGACACAACAACATGGAACAGCAGACCAAAATGAATTTTATAATTGACACGTACTTGAAGTATTCTTTTACTTTTTACCTTTTACTCGGCCACGGGCGCCAACAACAACAATAGCGACCACTGATGACGTCGCCGCTTGGCGAAATTCGGAAATTTTCCACTGTGCCTCAGACACAGCTCATTGACTACCATAAAGGGTTTTTTTTGTCAAACTGATCTTGTGGGGTCAGCTTCCTAGGGTTTATTGTATATTTTTTATGTTTCTTGTTTTCAATTTTTGCGCGGGGGGTGACAACAAACAAATCGAACACACAGACGGCGTACGAGGGAGAGATAGGGGGCGAAACACACGCACTGGCTGGAAAAAGAAAGAACGCGGTTACGAACTGGTCGATAAAAACAACAGGCGATAAAGGAAAAGGCAAAAGGCACACGCGAAAATTGGCAGGGAAGAGCAACAATAACAACGGCGGTTTTTGTTTGTGGTTGTTGCGTGCGCATGCGGTGGTGGTGGAACCTTTGTATTTTATACTTTTCACTCTTTAATTTTTTACGTTTTACGACATTCCGTCTTTCGGGGCAAACTTGAACTTGGCGAGCTCTTTTCCGTTGGTTTTACTTCGGTTTCAGTTTTTCTGTGCGAGCAGCAGCACGTTTCCGAGCGAAATGATTTACAGTTCCTGCCGCAGCACGTTTTTAACCGGAGCGATCGAAAACGCAAATGCCGCAACAGCTGGCTTGGCGAGAGAGTGATCGCTCTCTCCCGTACAGTGGGCTTAATCCCCAATAATCTGTATATAATGGATTAACATAAAGCAACCCATACAGCGTTAGTTTACTTTGGAATTACACATTTTTTATTTGGATAATTATTTATGTATTGTTTCCATTATAAAGTTTTTCAGGCTTCAACTAGTCGGCTACGCAATTTTAAAAATCAAATCATTAGTTCACATTTATTCTCAGACTGAAAAACTATTTTTTTAATCAGACACTTAAGTAATGAATTTCAACAACAAAATTATGATAATTGACTAGTCGGCTACGCAATATTCTATAGACGAATGAATATAAGGAATTTTTACGAAAACACATCTTAAGCATAAAATTAAATTTTTTTGATTTTTATAGGAATATTGTATATTAGTTATAAACTATAAACATATGGTACACAACTTTTTGTATGTTTAAAATTATCATAAAATTCATTGATAAAATACATTGCAAATAGTGCTCCATTTCTATTTGTTTATTAGTTATCATAAAGAGCCAAAATTCTTTTCAACAGTATTTTCATATGTGTTAAATGCATTAATTAATGCATGTTTTTTCCACTGTGCAAGGCCACCCTCTCTCAGCTTTCTCACTCTCTCTCTATCTCCCATTTCCTCCCTACCTCTCTTTCTGAAAGGCTGCATTTAACCCTTCGCAGGGTCCCTTTTCGACCCCCCGCTGGATGGTTGCCTTATCTATTAATATCATTGCGTTTGATTTTTTATCTAAAAATAAACAGCACTGGCTGAAAATGCCAATATTTGTCCAGCAATTCACGTAATGCAAATTAACGGGCACGACGCTCTAATTGATTGATTTGCATTTGAAATGAGAGGCGACAGAATTGATCGGTTAAGAACTGTGCGACACTCGATGAGAGCTCTTTAGATGGTCATAATTTTTACCAACGTCTACATGTCAAATAATTTTGATTGCGGGTTTATACTTGAAAATTTATGACGTACAATTGAGCCAAATAATGATTAAAAGCAGTCAGCATTTGGGTGTGTTTTTGGAATGAGTTATCACCGATAACGGCTAACAGAAAGCTTTCCAGTGGAGTCTAGGATACTCCAATTGGGATTTTCCGATAGCTGCCTACGTCAGAGTTCCATTAGTTGTGAAAATATAAATTTCATATTGATTGTTACAATTCACAAACACTTGATAATTGATCCGAAAAGTGGTGCGAAAATTTTGTCATTTTAATAAATTAATTAGGGTCTTATTTGACAGCTATTTTGATCGAGTGGCGATAGGAATTTTTATGGTTAAAGCTGCTAAGCTTTGTTAAAGACGGCGAATAAATAAAATGTTAAGAGTGTGGCCGGACGTCACCCTCTCTCACTATTCGCACAATTAAAAGTCCATTAAGTGATAAGCAAAAAAAAAGTTACTCATACGTCTGGGCGATAAAAGTCTACCAGGCACAACTAATGGTTAAGCTAAGCCCAAAAGCAGGCTATAAAAATGGCTAAGCGAAAAGAGAACCAGAAAGTAGGCACCATTGAACGATAACAAGCGTTATAACCCTGCAAGCGGAAAAAGGTAAACAAAGCAGGAAAAGCACTCAAAATTGAGTGAATTTCATGCGCAGGCGTCGCTGTCGAGGTGAAAAGCTCGGTTCCGTTTGAGTTGTCCCAAAACTGTTGCTATCATCCGTTGTTGTTGTTGGTCCTGCAGTACTGGACTTTGGACTACATCTTCATTTTATCATTTGATTTACCTGCTGCTAAACTTTAACAATGTTCACTTCCGTCGCCCAAAAGCGAAATAGCGCCTTTGTGTTTGCTTTTCTGTTTAGGGGTTGGATAGGGAAAGGGGCAGGAGGAGGGAGTGGTGGCTGACGGGCGGGGGCAAATGCCTAAGGGTTTATGTGAAACTATCTTTTTTTCAATTTTCCCGCACAACTCCTGCCCCTTCTTCTCCTCCAAATACTGCCCACATAAAGCGGAAATGGAAGTTTTGTAAATGTTTTCTTTTGTATTTCTTTGCAGTTACCCATATGCCCGCTGTCATTCACTGGGAGAAAGTCGAAATAGTCCAATCGATTGCGTAATCAATGCCTTTAAACCCAATATTTACATATTCTGATTATGCAAATCGTCAAAATCATTTGGTTATCAAACACACATGTATGTACATAACAATACATTTGTTTGAATGCTGGGCTTTTGGATTATCTATTGAAGCTAACTTAATTAATAAGAACAGCCTACAATTATAGTTAAAGGTCAGTTAATACAATAGTTGGAATCATCTCATTATATCATGTTTTTTGGTGTCAATTTAATACACATATCCTGGTTTTAAACTGATTTGTTTAATTTGATATTTTGTTAAATTTATTTATAAACAAGATTGTATTAAAGCATTTATTAAGTGCTGTTGCAATAAACACTGCTAATAATATTCACCATGTGTTTTCGTCATATAAATATCTGTTTTTGGGAATCCAAATACCAAAATAATATCTTAAATTGTACAAATAGTTTTAAACAAACTAATAATATAATATTTTCTCTCCCTGCAGGCACCACAAATACAAACGCAACACGGCGCCTTTGAAAGATGAGCGAAAATGGATCTAGTAGTAATAGGAGAGTGTGGTGAACGGTGAATGTGGCAGTGAATGGTGGGGTGTTGGGTGGAGAAAGTGGGCTGTGGAGGTGGGTGGTGTGTGAAGGACCACATGGCCGGGCAACTCGTGCACTTTAGTTTTTGGCTTGCAAGTGTTGTTCCTATTTTTTTATGACACTTGACGCTCAGCCAAGCCATTCGGTGGGTGGTGGATTGTGGGTGGTGCTCTGTCTCCTTTTCTGGTGAGTGGGTGATTGGGTGGTTGGGTGGTGGCGGAATGTAAGGTGGTGCTGAACTCCTGAGCTGCTGGTTGCCAACGTTTTTCGTCATTGTTCGGTTTCCTTTGCACCTTTGCAGCTTTGCCTGCATGTGGCTTCATTCGGTTTGCCTTTTCCTGCATTGATAAGAAAGTGCTTTTTAATAGCCCTACACTCGGTTATTTGTACACAAGAGGAAAAAAATGTAGAATGCAGTGTCAAAGGGCTGATTTGATTGATTTCGATTGTGCATATTGAATGGAGACGAAATTCTATAGCCTATTGTCTATAACTTATTAGATTGTATGAAATAATAGCTTTACCTTCATTGAGTATTTGAACCTTTAAATAATAATCACGATGTCCTTAGAAATCTTCTTTCAATATAAAATAAAATCAATAAAAACTTAACAATGATATGTATTTTAATAAAATCGAAATAAGACTTTCAAGTTTGAAACAATCAAACAGCAATATAAATGTATAGCCCTACAAACTAAACTTAAAATATATTTTTCGGTGTTGAGGCTTATCTTTTTGCTGGCACTGTAAACTTCTGGCCATACTCCACGCAATAGACATTCATTAACAAAGCCTCCTATCAGCTGTGAATCACTAGGTATTCTCTTTGTTTCTCTTACTACCAGTAATTGTAGAGCCAAAAGCCCAGCTAGATGGTATAAAGAGCGAGCTTTCCCAACGCTCCGATCGCAGCTTTGTAGATTCTTGGGTGCTCGGGTCTCGAGTCTCATGCGTAGTCCGCAGTCAGTTGCTTTCGACGCTTTTGGTTATTAATAATAACAGCAAACATGACGCGACTCTCTTGACTGGAAGTGTAGTTATAGCAAAAAATAGTAAAACAAAAAAAAACTGATCGCATAATTCAAGGTCGCCCATGTGAAGTAATAAAGAAAATCAACAGGTGGAAGTGAAGTGAAATTCGCAGTGCTAAAGTGTCAAATCAAGTGCCCCAAAAAATACAACGAGCACTTGAGAATTTCTATTTAATTACGCCCGACACGGGCACAAACATATGTGCTCACCGATAAGATAAGCCAAAGGTGGGTATGATGGTGAAAAATGGGAATTTGCATGCCGAGACAAATCTGTGACTGAAACTGAAACCTTAACTAACCCAAAAAACCCGAAGCGAAACCAAAGAAACCAAAGCAACAGCCGCAAAAGTGTCGATGTCGTTGTACACTCACGGAAAATGTTAAACATATTAATAAAATATTGTGTTGCTGTGGGAATTTTTGGCTACTCCGTTTCTATCATACATATTTATTTATTTTACCAATTTAATAACGTTATGTAATAGGGCCCAAAACTAGTTGCGTAATTTCAAATGACACAAACAAAAGTAAAAAATAAATAAAATCAAAAAACTATGTAATATAAATAAATAATATTATGAGAGACAATATTTTTCCCCGAAAAAATACTTTTATAACCAATATGATGCCCTAAAAATAAACTTGCAATAAGTTTTAAAATATACTTAACATGGTCACAGCTAAAAATTGCTATTGTGATTTGATAAAATGCCATAGCGATGACCAAATTTGTTACCATTTTGTTACTGTGCAGTTTCTATTCACTTGACGCGTGTACTTTCGTTTCCCGGAATGCCATGCATATTAGATATCTGGTACAGGTCTGGAGCACCTCCAGTCCCACATTCGTTAGTTGGCTCTAGGGCCTGGGCTCAAACTCAATGAGCGGGGTAATTGTTTAAACAAGAACAACAGGCGAAGTGCTGCCGGGCATACAAATCGATTGCCATGGCAAATATCACCCATACGCACTGGAGTCCCCACTGCGCGTGCTTCCTGCTAATGCCGAAATGTGTGCAAAACGAATATAATATATAATTAAAACTAATTTGATGACACACTCGACTCGGGCGAAAGACGAACTCAGCCAGGCCAAAATGGAGAAGGGCGGGAAAAGGGGACTCCTGCCAATTGCGTAATTATTATGTGCACAGCACAACACATATGGCTCGTTACACTGACGATGAGTTGTGTGTACGACATATGTATGTATATGTATGTTTATATAAAAGAATTTTTTAAGTACGCAAATTGACAAACAAACGCAGGCAAAGACGACGGCAACAATTTGCAATTACCGGGCCTCGAAATAAAGACCATGCCAGTCCCCGAAATCCGAAACTGCACGCTCCGTTGATGGCATTAAACGGGAGCGAGAGGCCAGCCAAAAGCTGTGAGCCATGTTAATAAAGACTAAGTAATAATTAAGTGGTAGGCATTATGATTTGCCTTGCTAGCAAGTCGAAATGCTCGAAATACCCTCTGCCAGTTGGCATTTATGACCTGGTCACTTAATCATACAGCATGCAAATAAGCCCAAGGAGAAGTCCAAGTCTTATCTTGCTCCGCACACCATAATCCCACCCACAATGCCACGCACTCCCACGACCTTGCCACATCACTTAAAGGCTTAAATCCATGGCTTTTCATTCAGATCACGTGTCCCCGACTTCGAAAGACTTTATTCGCCTGCAGGCGGCTGCTTCCAATTTGCTCGAATAGTTTTCGGTGAATATTTAATCAAATCCACTAGCAGTCGGTAATCAGTCCGAAATGTAAGAGCATAAAATCATATGCATATTAGAGCCGAGCTAATAATTGCTATACTTGCAGGCAATTTTCGAATGTGCTTAGAATTTAATTAATTTAAAAGTGAGGCCTTCCAGCTGTTCGCTCTTTAGGAACATTTTGCAACATTTAATGATGGGTAACTGATTAAAATATTTCCAGCAATGCTCAAGACCATGTTATTTAAATCAAATACTAAATTTGAATTTTAATTCTCATAAAATCTTATTGTCTTAATTCTATTATTCTTAATCACTATACATTTCTCAATCTCTTTACACATATATATAGAAAATATATGTTGAATATTTAAATAATTTTAGAAAAAAGATGTGTTCATAGAATTACAAAAGCAAATTCGTTCCAAAATTAGTTGGACAAAGACCATAAAATCATTTATTTCTCTTCTTTAAGTATTTTAGCATTGGCTCGCCTACAAACGTTTTTGGGGTAGATATACTTTAAAACTAAAGACCTTATATTTTTCTTTTAGCAGTAATCGAACTAATGAGTTTTTGCAGATTGCATCAATCAGAGAAAACTCGAACAATTGAGCTCTCTCTTGATTCTTTGTCATTAGACCCTTGTAACTCAGCACTAAGGACCAATCAATGTCAATTTCGTCTGCTGTCAACCAGGAGTTCAATAAATGCGCCCGGTGATTTCAGTCATCTATGCAAAACAATCTTTTCCATGCAATTCAAGCCGCCAAAGCCAGGAGGCATCATTCAGCCGCTTTCAAAGGCCCAAAACCAGGCTAAAAATCGGGCTGTAATTCATTCATATGCATTCACTATATGGCACTCATCAGCATTCGGTTCACACATGCTGGGGAATATGGGCTTCCGGCCAGAAGGCGACCAGATGTTGCCGTGCGCCCTTTCTCCAATTTTTCAAATCAAAAGCTGCTGCATTGCGCATACGCCGCGTGTGCTGCACTGAGTTTTGGAATTCCCCAGGGGGAAAAGGGTGCCCCCCTTACCCATTAATGTGCTCATTTCCCCACATGCCGAACTATGGATTCCGCTTCTTTGGCAAGTTTTGCATCGCAAAACGCTTCCTTTTGCTCCAACTCCTGTTGCATTCGCTACGAAAATAATATTAAAATTTATGATGACAAACTTTCAACGCCAGCTGCAAAGATTTGCAAAGCCAGAGAAAAAAAAAATAAAAATAAATAAAAAACGACAAGCGATAGCATAAAAAATACCAAAGCTTCTAGGATGCCCAAAAAATGCTAGGACCAAACATACATTTTTTATTAATATATATATATATACATGAGTTATATATAGATGTATGCATGCATGCATATATTTTCTACGTTTGACAATTCATGGGAGAGTATCGGTTTATATCGGGGCAAGCGGACGCTTTCAATATTCGCCCAGCTTTGAGCTTACTTTTTCCATTTCCCAGTGTCATTTTTGAAAAATTGATTTATGGCCAATAGTGTGTGGAGAGCGGGTCGATTGGGGGGGTCGCAAAAAACCTATCAAGTGTCTACTGCCGCTATCTGTTCACCCATCCCCTCACCACCTCTTCTGCTGTGTTTGGTTTGGTTTTGGCCATACATTTTTCCGCTGAAGGCTCTGAGCCATCGACAACCACAGCCAAAGTTGCTCAATAACCAAGCATATAGATCAGTTTTTAACAATCCACCGTCCCCTGGTATTGCTTTAAGTCATTTTCACTGCGCTTTTTTGTCTGACCGTCGAGCTTAAACCGATAAATTGCTGAATTGTTAAACTACCGAAAGGGGCGTAGTCAGAACTTTTATTTTAGCTGTTATAAATTATTAAAATGTGAGTGTTTTGAAATGAGAACTCGTGCTTTTCAAATTTTTACTATGACTATTTATAGCTTTTATTATATTTAACGAGGTTTTATGGTTATGTCTCCTAAATTTTAAGCCATTTAAAAACTAAGTTTGAGACATGTGGTTTTTTGGTGTAAGCTGTATGGGTATACATTTTTTTTATAGGTAACGTAAGTTTTTATATAACATATTCCGAATTTTTTAGAGCTCCGCCCCTGATTGCCAATAAAATGTCTGCGGCAAGACAAAATGAGCCGTCAATTAAAACGTTTCAAACAAAACAGTGAAAGCAATTGTGGGGGGTGCAATAAAAAAAAGGGGTCGAAATCCAGGGCAAAAAGAAATTGCTCATTTTTGCGCATTTCAAATGGAAATTATTTCGCTTGCGTTGAATGGAAATTGCCGGCTGGATTTTCACTCAATGCCGCAGACAGTTATGGTGTTTTACTGTAGTGCGTTGTAATTAAGCGTTGACTTGTTCAATTACCAAAATGGAATTGCTTTTGGTGGCAGGACAGCCGCAAACGTCCGCGTGAATTGCCAGAAGTTTTCCCGATCCCCGAGCGAAGGCCAACGAAACTACCTGACCGGATCTGGCACCTGTAGCGACTTGTATCCCCGTCAATTTGCATTAATGGCGTGGAAAACGTGGAGTTTTGGGAGTGGGCGGAGTTTGGGAGTTGGTGAAAACGCTGCATGCTAAAATAAGTTGGCCTTCTTCTTATTTGCCGCTGTCAGCGTTGCAAAAGAAGACAAAAAAGGGAAGTTTTTGTTTGCATTAAAATTGTCAGCGGTGGCAACTTTGGTGAGGTTTCGTTTTAATCATGGCACAAAACTTTGCCCCGACAGCGCAACTTACTGGATGGATTCCCTCGTGTCCCTTTGCCCCTATTTGCGACGCATGTGGTGGCACGCCATTTCAAGCCTTTTGCACACTCTGGCAAAAATTGGATTTAAAAGACCCACTAAGATGTGGCATTTAAGGAATGAAAACGATTGCCATTACTCACTTGCCGCGCAGATCAATACAGTTTTGCTCATACGGTGAAAAAAAACTTAATCTATTCTTATGGCTAAAAAAGCGCATAGAAACCTTTTTTACGAGTGAGATGTTGTAATTATATATGCACATATAAAACATTTATTTATTTAAATAATAAACATGAACAAAATTGGGATGGATATTCCTTTTGTCTTGAAACTTTTTTCTTAATTTAAACAACCCTTCCTTCGCATAGGAGATTTTAAATAAAAACCAATAATTAATTTATAAATTTAAATAACAAAAAGTAAAGAAGCAGGGAATGAATGACAACGAGTTATGACATAAAGTTTATTTGTAAAGATGTTTAATAATAATAGTTAAGAAATCTCATTTCTTAAATCATTTTGTGACATTAAAATGAATTTTTTTCAAATTTATTATTTTGGCGTTTTCCAGCAAGCAATTATTTTAACCAAAATAAATAGTATCCCCTTTCATTGGGTGTCCACACTCGGCTTTATATTTTGTTGTGTAACTAGTTAATTGTATTCATTTTATTAACATTTGTTTTGGCCCAAAGCCTTTTTCTTCTCCATTTATTTGGTATTTTTTTCTAGCAAGCAAATATTAAATTCCAAAACAAGGACTTTTAGATCCCTTTTCGTTGGGTGCACGCTCTATATTTTTTTTGCGGGGTCGCACAATTAAAATGCATGGACCATGGCAATCCGAAGTGTTGTAAGCGAGCAGCTGTTGCATGCCACATCGATTCGAAATGGGGAATGGTTATGCTTATGCATGAGCCACGCTGTCCGGGGTAAACCGATGGAGCTTCCGCAGGATATCCGAGCGACCCAAAAACCCAAACGCCGCCCCCCATAAACGGGCACCAACCCATTGACCAATCTTGGGCATTACTTAAGGTCCCTGGCTGCAGTCTCTTGGCCAACAATTTTAGTTATTTATGCGCATAATTACCTGCACTGCAGCCTGTAGCCATTTGCATATGCGACCAATATCGGGGATCTGCACGGGATTTATCCTGCGCGCATACAAAATGTTGCATTAGGACCCAAAACTGGGAGCCACCAGCTTAGGGCACCTGTTTTTGCCTTGCCTTTGGCTTATTAAATGCAAGAGTAACAAGTGAAAACTCGCACAAAACAAACTGCAAAATTGCCTCATTATGTGAAAAGGCAGCAAATAAAAGTTGGCAGTTAGCACAAAAGAGCCACGTAGCAATGAGGGGGTGGTGGTGGTGGTGGGCGTGAGCGTGTTCGGGGGCGTGGCACTGAAAATTTATGCAGCACAAAGCCGCGGCAAATGTAAGTAAGCCAAAGGACATAAGCAGGCATAAACACAGCCGGATCAACTGAAAATATACGCAAAGGCAGCAATGAAATACTCTGCAGTATGGGGAGAAACAAAATGTATTGAAAAACTCCTAAGGGGAGTTGTCTTTAACTCAAAGAATAATAAATTGGTGCTGTGTATATAGCATACATTTAAATAATCAGCTTACAAAAGGAAGCAGCTTCAAAGCAATTTTGTTATATTTTAAAGCGCAAAAAATTATTAAAAACCTAATGGTTGAAGAAACAGCAACTTATTTATTTGTATTATAATACAAAAACTAAACAAAAATAAATTGTATTGTTATATTTGTTTAAATTACTAATCCATTCCCCATTTTCAAGAGTAAAATGTAGCTGTTTTGAAATGTATAACAATAAACAGCTTTCTGTTGTATAAAGTTATTATAGCTTTCAAATATCTATTATTTTCTTTGACCCAATTCGGCCAAGCTCGAATAAAATAAAAACATACAAATACAATAAACAAGTTTATGACAATTTTGTCGAGTAAGCCAACTATGCAATTAACAGCAATAAAATGTGTTATAAATACATTTATGTTTAAGGAGACTTAATAGAGTCAATTGTGGCGACCACATATTCCTTTACCATCTATTGAAGTCAATCCGCACTTGAAACACATTTACCTACCGAATAAGCCCTGTCACTCAGATGGCTTTGGTGAAATGCATTTCCTGCTTAAACTTATTATTGAACAAATTGTGTTATCGAGTGGCGGCGAAACCGGCGACCTAGTGAATATGGCTGGATCCGGCGCGAAGGACCACCGGCACAAAGGGCAGCCCCATTGAGTGCACCGACGCGTCGACGGCTCCCGGTGGGTGTAAATTTTGTTATGCGGCAAATACGCCATAAAGCTACGTTGCAGAAGCCCCTAGGATGGGGATGGGGATAGAGTTAAGGGTAGGGATGAGGTGAGGATAACCAAAAGGGGAACCAAGCTGGGATGCAGGTCTTCAGCTCTCCCAAAGGCTGCTTGCATTTGCGTGAATATATATGGCTTTCCCTCTGTTAGCCGTCCCTCTGTTTTTCTCCCCTCTTTCGCTCAGTGCAATCGGAGGTATGAAAGAAGTTTGGATCCGTATCCGGGGCCGGGGTCGGTCCGTTTCCACCCGTCCGTGTTGTGCATGTGCGGCACTCTAATAAAATTTAATAAAAAACGTGCACCGCGCCATAATGCAATGGCAATGGACTCGCCCCAGGGGCTGGTGTTTCGGTGGGTGGGGCAGTTGGCGGCTGCTTGGTGGTTTGGCGGGACAGGTGTATCATTACCTGCACGCCAACCACAAGCCAGCCGAGCTCCCAGCATATCAATATGCCGTGCGGGGAGGATCTTATGACCAACCTACTCATTTGAATCTTCTGATGAATTCATTCCCACATAGAAAAAAACATGGCTTCTTATTTTATATTTCTAAAGAATTTTATACAGTAAGAAAGGAGACAAAAACAATTTTCATCTCTCCCTTATTACTGATTTTACTTTAATTTAACTTACTTTAAATTCCATTTTAATTAACTGGTATTTGGCTTTATAACATAACCCAAATAAAGCCATACTTTAGTTACAAAACCTATAAGTATTTTATGAAACAAAAAATAACAAAAGCGAAACAAAATGTTTTTAAGAAGTAATTATATGTAAAATATATGTTATAATCAGAGAAATGAATCTGTATATATTTGGAGATATCTAGCTTTGTATGCTAAAACTATCTATGTGTAAATACAAATCTGAAGATATGTTAGTTAAAAAATTGAGAGTTTTTCGTTCTTCCTTGGCATATGAACAATAATTTCGACCCGTTTATATAAGACCATTTATTGTTCACTATTTAAATGTCAGTTTGATAAGCCAATGACAGAAGCTATTTAGATTTGAGGAACACTGACACATATGGGTAATATTTTGTTTCTTTTTTCTCAGTCTAGATAGAAGGGCAAATACATAAGTAAGAAGAGGACCTTACCACAAAACTCCTCTTTACGTAAGATGCCATGGGCAAGTGTGTCTCCCGGCAGTCGCCTCCGCTCCACGAACTCGTGTCCCCAGCCGCGGAGCATCATCAATCTGTATTGACAATCGCACTGTCGCACGAAGATTTGGCCCAGGCCCACAAAATCTGGCAACAGTTGACAGGGAGTAATGAATACATAGCAGCAGGCAGCACATCATCCCGGCAGGAGGAACCCTTTTATTACACCATAAGCCGACGGAAACAACCGGAGCAGGCCGTGTTGCACATCGAATCCCTTTACAATGATGCCCCAACGGAACCACTGACATCAGCCAGCGAACCGGAGTACTCCACTTGCCAGGAATTCCTGCTGCACGAACTGCTGCTGCAGGCCATCGAAAGCGCCGAGGAGCAGACATCCACCAACCACATCCTGAACCAAGCCAGAATCAGGCCAGCACCTCAATTACCAGTCGGGAACAACGGCTGGCTGGCGGTGAGTGGATATTGATATATGTTTACAACGCACTTGAGGGTTCTGCCGAAGCACTATCAATAAGTTGCGAATTCGGAACTGCCGAAGTTGAGTCTGGCGAAAATGTGGTGTCGGTGATGTTGTGGGTCAACAGTCTTTTCTTTTCCCAGACTATTGTCTGCCTCAGTATTCATTGTTTGTAGAAAAAAGTGAAATAAAATAGTTTGGTATATACAAATATGCATTGGGAAAGTCAGGAATACATTTTAAGGTGTAGACAAATATAACATATCTTGATATTCACAATTATTAGAAATTATTGAAAGGATTTTGAAGCAATAGAGTTTAATTGATGCTGACAATTTTAAGTTATAGAGAGAATTACACCACAATCATTAGAAGTGAGCCACTTTTGATCGGAGTGTAGTTTTTGAAAAGGATTACGTCATAATGGTGACAAAATCGAACCAAAAATACAAACCAAGATGAAAATACAGATTTTTAGAGAATTAAACCTCGATCATTTAGAAATATGCTGCTTTCAAATCGGAGGTCTGTAAGAAAAGTTATGGGCTTAGAAGTGCAGGTTTTTGGTCACTTTTCAGCAAAGACATTTTTCTAAAATTTGGAAAGGGGTTAGATAATAAAAATGACTAAAAATCGATCCAAAAATCCAAATCCAGATTTTAATGCAGATTTTTGGAGATTCAAACCACAATGATTTAGAAGCATGACACTTTAAAATCAGATTTCTGTAAGAAAAGATATGGGCTTACAAGTGCAGTTTTTGGACAATTTTCTGCAAAGCCATTTTTAAAAATTTTAAAAAGTTTAACCCCTTATAAAATTGTTCGATACATTTTTCGATCGTACCAAAGGGCTACATAAAAGAAGTAATAGTAATTACAATGAAAAATACGTAAATATCCATACATTTTCCACTTGCCGTGGTTCGGTTCTTAGCTAAGTGACAGTCATTCCGCTAGATGGCGTTGCATGCAGCCACCCCCAAATTTAGACCATTATCTTCGAGCAGCCACTTGTTTTCCTCGCTCTGCGCATGAGCGAACACTGAGAACTCGCTCTCCGTCTGTTTTCCATTTTCTCCCCCTGTGGTCAAGCAATAGAGAGTTTTACGACCAGACCCACCACAAGAGGACAGGGAAACCCATTCGTTCCGTGAGAATTTTCAGCTCACCATTCAATTTTCCGTATGCCGTGCTTTCACAAGTGAAAAATCGTCGCCACTCTGCCGAAGCAGGAAAAACTTAACAAATTGTTGAAAAAAAAAAGAACAACAAATAGCCAAAGATCAAAACTAGGAAGGCAATTCGAAAAAGAAACGTGGGAAAACAGTGCGAAATACGTTTGCATAACCTGAGGCGTGAAAAGTGCGAGCAATCTGCAAAAGATTTTTCCAGCAACCCGTTAGATTTTCAAGGACCCCCGTGTGGGTGTACTGGCAGGTACACTCGCTTTGTGTATCTGTGTGCGGCTCAAGTGCAATTATAAATGGCGTAATTTGTGCGCCGTGGCGGCCGTGTCATGAACATAGCCGAACTGCATCCTAAAGCGGACTTTTTAAACACCAGGATCAAGACGACTCCCCGGGGAGACAGCAAACGGACGGAGGCTCGCCGGGAAAGCGAGTGCCTCTGCCGACGACCTGCAACATGGATGAATGCGACAACCCCGTCGTCGTTGTCTCACTAGGAAAATTCGCATCGCAGCAGCAGAACGAGGGGGTCGCCGAACCGAGTGCGGAAAATTCCGACCAGGAGCACCAAATAAGTCACAAAGAGCCGAACATCGATGATAAGGAAGCGCTCCTAGAGCAGGACCTTAACAAATCAACAGTCGAGGAGGACGCAGCTATCGACGCGGAAGTCGAAGCAGTCATCATGGTACCAACATTAAAATTGCATCTTACGGATTACTTTTCATTGCTGGCGATTCGTTTTAAGAAAATTTGTAGATAGTTTTTGACGCTTCTTGAACTGTATACACATCAAAAATGGTTCATAGATAGCTTCCTGGTTCCATTAATAATATATTGTTAAGGGGTGTTCCGGTTTTCACTTAAGAATTATTGGTTTAATTTCTTGTCTTTCTTGAATATTAATTGAATACTATTTCATTAACTACTATCAAATTAAATTATTACGTTTTTGTTTCTAAATTACAAAATATAATTGCTTATACTTATCGTATACTTATTATCATTGAAAGTTAAGTGATTAAAGAGGTTTTAATATTGTGTAGAACAAATATTTATATTTAATATAAATTAAGTAAAATGGGAAACCGGAATGAGCCTGAAGGACACTTTATATTACATATTGAATCATCGAACTATTTCGCGTATATACGCTTTCATATTGATATTTATCATGATTCCATAGAAAGTATCTCGCAAATAGTTATTGTTGGTAGAACGTAGTGAGTCATGTAGTTAGCTAATATATATATATAAATCCTTTTGTGTATTGTCTCTTGTTGGGGAAGTCCTCGAGGCTCCTTTGTTTCCGTGCGCCTCTCATCTGTGCTGACCCGATTTGCAAATGTGTTTCGCTTTCATCCTAATCGCTTTTTACCCCCATTCTCCTCCACATTTTCCCCTTTAGGGCCAGGCGGAGAGCAAGAAGCAGGGCAGCAAGTCGAGTCGCCGCCACCACAATGGCAACGGAAATAGTAATGGCAACCCCTCGGAGGTGCTGGAGCAAACGGTGCACACCAAAGGCACCGCCATGTCCTTTGGCTTCCGCAAAAAGCTCAATGGGACGCCCAAGAAGTTCAAGAAACTCCTGGAAGGCGGCGACAAAAACGCAACATGCACAGACACAAAGGACGACAATGGGAATGCAGGTGAGTCGAATTTATGAAATTGTTGATGAAGTATTGAACAAAGTTATAAATTACTTGCCAAGTATCACAAGTATTTCTTGTGATATCTATTACAATTTATTACTTACGAAATTTAACTTGTGGACTTATAACTTTATAATATAACTTTAGATATATAGTATAATTTTTTGGATTAATTGCCTAAAAGAATATGTAAGGAAATTTCAAAACGTAAATTTTATATATTTTAATCATTTGACACTTACATTTTGAAACATATATTTTTTAAATAATTTTAAAGGCATTCAGAAAAAATGTAGAAAATAATAAAGTTCCATGCAAAGCTTTTAAAGTATGTAGTAAGTTTTTAGTATAGTTTTTTGTTAGTTTGTATACCCAGGTATACCTTTTAAAATGGCAATAGCTGACCAAGTGTTATGGCTTTTTAATTTGGCGACAATTTGGCCAATTTAACAATGAGCTGACATGCCAACATTTCATTGGAATCCCCACTTTCTTTCCCCCTGACAGCTGCTGCTCCCGTTCACTTTGAGAAAGTAGGCGCCGCCGCTGCCCAGAAGAATGGCACTTTGGTGGCAGGTGCGGCCGGGGCACGTTTCGGCTATCGTGGGGCGGTGCCACGCCCCGCTTCCGCGGGCTTAACTGCGCCCAGCGAGGAATCCGAATCGGAATCGACGGCCAATGCCCAGAACAACAACAATAACAACAGTCGCGGAGCGGGAAGCGGTCCGGTGTTGGTGAGCAATTGTGAGTGTCGTCGGCACTGCTGCCACAAATAAACGCAGAACTTGCCCCCTTCGGCCGCCGATATAACTTCCTTCGATTTTCCGCAGTGAAACGCCGCTCCAAGAGCGCACACGCCGGACGATCCGGCGATGGTGAGCCCAAAATAGCCCAGCCCAAGACGCTGACGTTCAACCTGAACCAGAACACCACCATCGAGTACCAGCGGCGGCAGTTCTTCGGCGAGATAGCGGACGAAACGTTGGGTTCGGCATCGGGATCCGAATCTGGGTCGGGATCGAGAGCAACGCAGCCGCGCTATAACTACAGCAATCTGGCCAGCATGCACGCCAATGTCATGTGAGTAACTCTTGATTGGGATATAAATCGGATTACTTCATTTACTTACTTTACACGTGCCCAAGTATATTGCTCTAGTTTCAAAATAATCAGAAATAATATCCCTAATCAAAATTCTGAACTGTAACAAAAATCTGATTATAACTGATTATTTTGAAAAATAAATTTGGTAATCAGAAAATATATATTAGACCTAATATCCTGTGTCACTTTTTTAATTCGTACACAACTTTGGAAATCCATTTAAAATATCTGCCTTTTACTTTTTAAATGATAAATCATAAGATTTAATGGTAAACCAAAAATGGTTTAATAAGGAACACATTTAAATTATACAACAACGAAAAAATAAAACAATAAAACCTTTAAGAATAAAACCTACTTAAGAAACAAATTGAACAATTTAAACAAATAAATAAGTGAAATAAAATCGGACACAATAAACATTTAAAAATATTTTTTTTGTTCAAAATGCAATTAATTAATAAAATATCAACATTAAACTATCCTCTTCACTTTTACAGAGTTCGCCCCACACCGCGACCCACTCCGGCCAGCTTTGCCAAGTTCACTTTGCAGACAGTGAGCCTGCCCAGGCCGGAGTACCCGGTGGCCATCAGTCTGACGGCCACGACACCGACCACGCCCAGCAGCAGTGTCCAGTCGCCGGTGCCCGCCCACTCCACGGGAGCTCGGGCCAAGGACATCTCCACTAGTTCACGGCAGCATCCCTTGACCTCAGTGCATGTCCAGCCACAAACACGACATCTTGACCAGAAGAGCGTGAAGCAGCTGACGAATAACTCCACGCGTCGAGGATTCTCCGGCAGTCGGGAGATTAGTGCGGATTCGGGGATAGCCAGCATGGACATGGCGCTGGACAGCAGTTCGGGCAGCTCGGTGGGTTCCAAGAGGAGTCGCAGCAGGCCCAGGAACCTCAAGATGGTGATGAGTGGACGGCACACTTTCGAGGTGCGCGATGCCGATGATCCGCCCTCCAGTGAGTCCAACTCCTTTGTGGAACCACTGGCACTTCCGAAACTACCCACTGATGGGAGTCAGAGTATTCCCCTACCACTACTGGGCTTGGTGCGATCCAATACGGTGTTGAGTCGGGAGAGTTACGAACGACGTCAGGCGGAAACACCGGGATCCCATGATCAGCAGGATCAGGAAGCGGAAAAACCCAAGACAAGTGGCTCCGATGAGAGCGAGAGTGTGGACGAGGAGAAGCTTTACTTGGACTCGTCCACCTCCGAGAAGAGTGCCAAACACCAGAGCCAATCCTCGGTGGCCTCCACTTGGCGTCTGCAGGCGGGCGAATCCCTGGCCGCCCAGGATTGCAGCAGCATGAGCATGAGCATCAGTAGCGATATCCAGGCACCGGAGAATCCCAGAGATATTGACAAGGAGGAGGACATGTCCTTGGGTCTGGACGAGATGAGTCTGGTCAACACCGACATGCAGTTTAGCACAATATGTAAGTGTTTCGATTAGTTATTGGCTTAACATTTGAGTAACTTCTAATCTCCTCCAGCTTCGATGACGGAAACTCCACCCAAACTGGGCCAGGAGACCCTGCTCAATCTTCATCTGGTGGACAATCGTGAGGCGGGCACCTCTCGTCCCCGCTCCTTTAACAATGCCCTCAACGAATCCAAGTTTGCCGAGTTGGCTCTGGCCAGTAGTAGTTGCCTCCTGTTGGATGATGAGACTTCACCCACTGACAGTTTGGTTAGCAGCACCGAGGATTCCGAGGAGGCGGGTGGCAAGCTGCAGAAGCACAAGTTGAACGAGGAGCGGCAGCAGAAGGACATTGATGACATAGATTTGGATGATATTTCCCCGGTTCTCGAACTGGATTTGGATCCTCCGGGCAGCCGAAGTCCCATTTCACCTGGCACCCCCACTCACGCCTCACATTCCCTTTCGTTGGGTTCGGATTGCGGAAATCTAATAGATGATGAGATCGCCGATCAGCCAGCTTTGCTGTGTAACAGTGAAGCCCACGAGGTGGCCACGGATACACCCACTTTGATGGAAACGCTCACCCACACCCAAACAGGATCGCTGCGATCCTTGAAGAGCCAGTCGAAGGCTCGCACCGCTTTGCAACAGGCCATCGAGTTGAGTTTAAGGACTCCGGCGGCGGTGCGAAAGGCAGTGATGGATCGGGCTGAATCTCTGGATACTCTATCGCCCTGCGAGTCCATCTGCTCCGACGACCTGATGATGGATTTCGATATGAACAGCAGTGTGGACTCCATTGATCACATGGCAAATGCCACGGGACGCAGTCGCAGTGGCTCCGATCTTCACAGGATTGGCACTAGAGGTCAGGATATGGATCCCATGCAGGCGGAGACCGAGGCGGAACTCCTTTCGGAGTTGGAGCGCAAGGGCAGCGATGTGATGAAGGAGCTCAATACACTATTGCGAGGAAGGAGGCAGCGCGGAGGTCCAAGGGAGAGAATTAGGTGAGTTTCAAGGTTCTTTAAAAATGGAAATGTTTTATATCATTGGGGAACTATTTAAATGGTAAAAATAAAATAGGTGAAGGGGAACATATATTTTAAATTGAATATTCATGGCATTTTTTAAATTGAGCAATTTCTTGTATCAAAAAACTTAAAATTAAGACACTAGAGAGAATCAAAAATTTCTTTAATAATAGCTGAATAGGTCAAAAGTTCATAGTACATTACCCAATATATGGGCTCACTTAACTCAGTATCTCCACCACCAATCAACATGAAAATTTGGTTTTACACCCTCAAAAATAAAACCTGCCATCCCGAAAACTTATCTCTAAAAAGTGATCTCAATTTTTGGAAACTTTTTCAATTCTCCTTACTTATCCAAAGCTAATTGAATTGGCTGCATCGGGTCAGAAATGTGGTGGCGGTGGCTCTTTGAGTTCGCCTTTGATTTGGTTTTATTAGCTCTGCATTTGGCAGGCGGCCAGCGACTGTTGGAATATTATTAAGTGCATTTTCCCCGGCAGTTTCCGCCCGCCTCCCCTGCAACCCAATTCCACTTGAGGTGCTGCAAATCAATCAGCAGACTCTCCCCCTTTTCAGTAGTAAAACAGCCTTCATCTCTCTTTGGCTGCTAGACTATTTTTTGTGGCCGGCCGGTAAAAGATTGCTCAATTTAGCCCTAGAAAGGCGGCGATGTATTACTAACTTCGGAGTTCCATTAAAACTAACTTAAAGCTTAAATTAAGGGTGTAACTTAAGTAGAAGAAAACATCTTTAAACAAATAAAACCTACATTACGTATAAATACGTTTAAAAGTAAAGTATTTCCGAAAAATTAAGAAGTCTGTTAACTAAATTTAAAAAAAAAGGGCATTATTATCTGCCCAAATTTCAGCTGAAATACAAAGAAATGAATATAAGAAATCCCAGGGTTGAAATAAGGGTACAAATCAATTAAATAAAATAATAAAAGTATGATAATATATTCATAAAAAACTATATCATAATAACCCTATGAAATCGATTAAAACTCTATTCGTTTTAGACGGGCGCCTATATCAGTTTCCTAGACCATTTACTAGATCAATAAATAGCACCAACTTAATCCCCTTGTAAACTCTAGTGTTAATGTGATTTGTCATGCACATCCAGGAATATTCTTCAATTGATTTAGCTACCAAAACAAACAGCAGTGAATCTCACGTGTTTGCTTGTTTGTTTGTGTGTTTCTGTTTGCCAAAGGGCGCTCTGGGGTTAATCAAATGCAATTTACTTTGGCCAGCTCACAGCTTTGGCATGGCACGCCCTTCCCCGCCGTCCCGCCCACTTTTATTTTAAGGGTAAATGGGTAATTGAAATGGAAATTGAAATTAGCCCAAAATTAGACAGACATCAGTGGGACAGAAAAGGCCAGGAAAGGGACAGGTTGGAACTCACAGGTTCGAATGGGGTGAGCGGATTGCTTTGTGTGTTTGTGCAGTTGCCAAAGGTTACTCCATTGGCGAACCCATTGGCGAATCCATTGGCCGTCCCCATCCATTCGACATTCCCATTGCAGTTCCCGTTGTCGGTCCCAATTGCCGTGTTTTAGCGCCGGCTACCAGAAAGAGAAGGGGAGAGCCATTGGGGCATGTTTATGGCCCAAAATGCTGCAGCCAACAACAACTCTGTGTGGGCCTTGTGCATTCTGGGCGAAGCCAAAGCCAAAGACGCGACCGACTTCAACGGCACTTGGCATTTCCAATTGTCTATGCCTCCCACCACCATCTCTCTTTTTCCTTGCACAAGAAAAAATATTACTAATAAAATAAGGAATTTTGTTAGACCTGAAAAACATCTCTTCTAGTTCAGTAGTATAAATAAGTCGATGGCAAAGAGATTTTAGATTTTAATTCGAGGTTTGAACCTAGGTGACTGAAATTCATAATGGAAACTATAAACCTAACACCGACAAGCTAAAGGATTAAAGCTATAAAGTTTCATTCGTTTTCTCATCTTAAGCTCTCATTTAGCTTGATACAACTTATGAAACTTTAAAGATTAAGATACACTTCTAACATATTATGGACCAGAGATCAGGCCATAAAATATTCTACATTTTTGTAAAAATTTTGATTCTCATTATTTAAAAGCTAATTTATCTATTTTATTGGATTAAAGGTCAAATGTCTACTTTACTAACATGATGACTAAGTAAAATATTGACGGTAGAATATTATTTTCTTAATCAAATTTACTTAGGAAAAATATAATTACCAAGCGTTGTTAATTAAAATGATTTAACAATTTATTTATAAAGGTTACACTATTTATTCTTAGTATGCGCTTTTTTTTGATAGAACGCCTTTGTTCATTTTTTGTTCCCTGTGTGGCATTCCCGTCTCTATCTATGGGAGCTCCAGACTGGGTCTTGGCTTTTTCGCCAAATCGTGGTCGTAGTTAAGATAACATTTTGACTTTGGCCGGAGACTTGATGGCGAGTGCCGCATTCTTTTGTCATGGCAACGAACTAGCAGCAACGGCAACAGTCACAACAGCAACAGCAACAACAACACTAGCAACAGCAACAACAACAACAACCGGCAACGGCACGACATCAACATCGATGGAGTCGTTTCTGGCTATAACCAAAAGTTGGGAAAAACTTTATTGCTAGGAAAAATCAATTGTCTGCCTCTACATAAAGACTGGTGAATATATGTGAACCTGTTTCGCAGCCAACAGCCAAATAACTGCAAAATGCCGCTGGCCATGGCTAAATGTTTTGTTGCGGTTTAACCTGTCACTCGATGGATCCAATAGATGCGCCTGCGTCGGGACATTGGCTTTCCTTTTTTTTTTTGAATTTTAGCCGTAGCCAACATTAGAAGGCCAGGCTGGAAACAGCCAGCTGCAGATAGTTCAGATAGTACTTCATAAGACCACCATTCACATGCAAAACCGCACTTGTGGATTAACCTTGAGACTGGCTAACCCGCTTGGCCGGTGAATGAGTCATGCATAATGGCCATGTTCCAGCCCCCTCCCCCTCCCTCTGATCAGCCTCAGAAAGTGCTGAATAAGCCCACTCAATCTCGGTTATTATTGCCTCTCAGTTAACCCGCTCACGCGGATGCAACAAAAGCCGCATTGTGATCCCCATCTCGACATTCCGGGTGCATAAATATTATGGCTGTAGCTGTTGTCGTCGCGGCCAAGAGATCTGGCTTTCTTTCCTTCTTTTATTTTCTTTATTCAGCCAGCATCGTCTAACGGCTGTGCCACACACTCTGAGAACGTTAACAAAAGCGGCCCAGACCCACACGGCCATCTCTTTCGGCCCACCAGCAACATTCTTACCACTGCTTGCCGTTCATGTTGCTCGTGTAAGCCGTGTTGCTGGTGCTGATGTTGCTGTTGCTGGCGGGAACGCCTGGAAAGCGAAACATTGGTAACAACAGAAACCAATTACAGTGGGTTCTCTTAGCAAGATATTGTTAGTCTTGCTTCCAAAGGAATTTTTCAATAAACACTAATCATACTGTTCAAGTCTTAACTCTGTTTAATTTAGGATTTCTTAGATGTAAAAGAGTTTTAGTCGACTTAGCTTATAGCTTAATACAAATATATACTTTTCCATGATTTTCAATGTAAGCGATAAGTAATTTATTTCATTCAAAAACTGATTTGGAGTTTTTGTTTTGATAATTATTAATTTAAAGAAAATATTATAAATAGTTTCAAGGCTTGCCACTTAGCCTAGCATCCAATGTATGTATTTTGATGTGATCAGCAGAGAGCAGTTAAAAGAAAAATTAAATTTTTATATTATTCTGATAAACAAACCGTCCCACTGTCATGTTCCATTACCATATCATACCACTCCATTACCACTTCAGCTGTGGCCCCAACTTCGATTTCGGCTCCAGTATTAAACAAGATCTCAAAGCGTGCGGTTCGGTTTATGAGTACTGTGCGGCTAAGCTAGGCGAAATAATAAATTATGTTCGTAAGCCAATATCAATTCCATCAGCAATATCGTTTTGAAGAGCGCTGCCAATAAAGGCAATTGTAAATTGGTAAATTGTGCAAGAGTCGTTGTTCGAAAAGCGCGTGGGAGTTACATATTGCGTAGTCCAATTAAATTGCGTTGTTAATAACCGAAACAAACTAATAAAAAAAAACCAAATAACCAAAAGCAAGAGCCAGTGACCGCAGGCAGTCGTCGCCTCCAGTGATACGCACTGGTGCCTCTTCCATGCCACTACCTGCCCATCCAAAGCTTCAGATACAGATACTATTTACAGGCGGTCCAACGCAGACGCCATCGAACGACCAGCGTTCATAACAAAAGACACGCCGCGGGCACAAGTGTCAATGAAACGAGCGTTTTGCCTGGGATACATTTCGCATTTGGCCTAGACCCGCAGATTCAAGTGAGTAGAAGAAGTACGGTGGAACTCATATAACATCATCATCAAGAAAGCGAAGTTTCTTTTGCTCACGAACCAATTTAGGTAGCTTTTAATGCTAAATTGTTAAGGCGGTTCTCAAGAAAAGGTTACTCTTTAAATTATGGAGCTGAATGAACAAATTAGCATTGACCTTTTATTCAAAAACAATATCTTCAATAAGATCAAAACCAATACCTGATAAACAATACTAAACACAGTATTTTTTTGGCAAACAATTCACTTTAAAGAAAATATTTTTAAAAATAAAAACAATTCCTACTGTCTTAGTGATTTTAAAAACAAAATGTTATGCAAATTCTATTGATAGATGTTTTATTTAAGTATCAACAACAAAAGTAATGTAAAGTAATTTGAAAATATTTAAATTAATCTGAGGCATATAACCAATTTCGCCTGTTGCTAAAAACTGTAGTACAATGCGTACGAGTATTTTCGAAGTCAGTTGTCGGCAAAATCTGAGAGGGCTAACAAAGGCACACAGAAGCTACAGAAAGCCCAGAAACCTTAGCCAAGTGGTAGCCAAAGTGGGTGATGATTTCCGCTCTTGGCTTTGCGTAATTCGATATGCAACCGGGGGCAAAACACAAAAAAAAAGAAAGAGAGAAAGAGATGGGGTAGGCTCAACACAATGGGCCAAAAAGTGTGTCACATGCAAATGCAGGCAACGTTTGGAAAATCTTTTGGAATTTGATGCCATAAACGTAACAATTACAGATATCAGGCACATAAAGAAAGATAGTGTGTGTGTGTGGCAAGAAATGAAAGGGGCATGGGGGTAGAGGTGCCCCCTTTTATGGCTTTTCAGCCACTTCAAGTTCAGTTGCATTTGCGACGCGTTCAGGTTTTGGTTACGGATACGAGTACGGGTTCCCATCTCCATCGCCATGCATAATTCAACAGAATGTTTGCCACACAAACTACGGACATACCATCGAGTGCAAATACAGATACAGATAACTGCTGCTACCTACCTTCCTATCTACCTGTCTGCCTCGAAAGTGCTCCCCAACTCCAAATTCCCCAGCCCCAAACGCAGTCTCTGGGCATATCCCCATCTTAACCATCGTTGATCATCATCCTCGGCTCACACACTTGAAAAAACGCTATTTTCTATGATATACTGTTTTATGTTTGTAATTAATCAAAAATAGGGGTTCTAAAAGAACCATTTTATTATGATTCTTCACATCGGAATGTAGTTTGGAGGTCGTATTTTTAATTAAAAACTCTATTAAAAGTTGTTTGAATTCTTTATGATTCTTTTAGTTCTGCAAATTGTTGTCCAGTTTTACGTATAAACAACAAATATTTATTATTATAATTTCTGTAAGCTTATAAATTTTTCCATACATGTAGAGTGAAATAGTTACCCCTATAGAAGGGAAAATTGATGATCTCTTAAATAAGATCTGGTTTTTCTCTGCGTGGAGAACAGAGAACTCTGGGCACACGAGATACACACCGGATTCTCATCAGAGGCGGCCGTGTGAGAATGTTGGATATTTCTTTACTTTTTATGGCCATTACCATTACTTGCGTGGCTTGCAGCTCACACCCCCTTCCCGGTGTCTCTAATGAAGCTGCCTTTCCATTTCCACTTCCACTTCCCCTTCCTATATATTACATACTATTTGGATAGGTACTATACCATATGTACAGCTTCAAAGGTCTCCGGACTCTATGACAAATGACGTTTTGCCGCACAAATTGATAAGTACCGTTGGGGAGTGAAGTTCGAGTAGTGAATGTCAACGCCTTAGCTCCATGGATCGCTATATGATTGTGATTACTTGTCATTGTTGTATGTTGACGGTTTACTGTTGCAGCTAACCAAGTGAGCCAAGTTAGCAACAGTTGCCGTTGGCAGTGGCGCGTGTGCACTCTCAAATGAGACACATTTTTACTTAATGTGTAGAAAGGTAGCTGAAAAGCAGGTGCGTAGCCACGAGGGAATTTTCAGGGGCTTTCTACTCAGTATAACTTATCATCAGAAAAGGCAATATACTTTTTTAATTTTTTCCGAAATGCTTTTACTGTCTCATCTAGATCTTGTTTTCGAATTTCGTGCTAAATAGGTTTTTTTGTCATTTACATATAGTTTAGAGAGATTGAAGAGATTGTTAGAAAAATATGATAAACAATAAAAAATATATTTGGAGTATGCTCTAAATGTCTATAAAATAGTACAAAATAGTTTGGTAAATGATATTTGATATTATGTCTTTATTGTTGTTCAAACTTGAAAGCATGCTTTTCCAATTTATGAGGATCATAAATTCTCTTTATAACTTAGCTGAGATACTTTTGAAAGAATTACCGCCATAAAGATCTAACAATCTTTTAAGTTACCCCTTCTCTGCTCCCCTGCAGTTATTTCCTTATATATACACATAAATCCATTTGCTGCACTTGTTGCAATGACAGGCATTTTGTCGTCTGACAATCGGTTTTGTTTTTTGTTTAGAGTACGAAATATCCGGCACTGCCGCCTGCTGAGTTTCGCTAAATTGAGTTGTGCAAAGTACTCGTATTGTTTTGATTTCGGTGGATCTCTTTGGGGCCCGATTTCTGCATTCATATTCATAGTACAAAAACCGCATAAAGTTGGCGTGCGAAATTCACAAACATGTGGAATTTTGCTGCCTGAGTCGTTGTTGTGTGTGGGATTTGGGAAAGTGTATTTTGTGTTTTATGGTTTGGACATAATGTATACTTTAATTGCTTTTGGTTTGGAAACACTCGAGTGAATTCGTTTGAACTTTTGACTTTAAATTATCCAAATCTGTTTATTAGAAACGTACAATCATGTATAGGTTTTATGCTTTGTTACAAAAGATCTTGTTCAATTATAAGCAAACTAAATAAATGTAATATCTTTATTCGAATTAAATTCTGTTAAGGTTCCCCCACATAAAGTCTAACGAATTTATTAACTTTGATTTTTTCGGATACCAAATGCTAGTAAAATCTGTCAGTATAAAAAGTTTTAAAATAAATATTAGCTTTCCACAATAAACAAATGTTCAAATTCATAAGCAAATACAAATAAAAATCACAAAAGCAAAACTATAAAAATTACATCAAGTTCCCAAAGCAAACAAAATTTACCTACATTACCCAAATAATTAATCAGTTTTTATCGGCTTGGCTGATCATTCCAAACAGACGCAATCAAAACCATCACAGCAGGGAATTTCCTTTTAATTAAAATAAAAAAGTGCTGAGAACCTTTTTAACGCCGACAAAGCCCATCTAACGGTGAAAATAGAAGGGGACTCCAAAACAATAAGAGATATTATTCCACTTTCATCACCGCTCCAGATGAGCTGAAAATTGTTCACAGTCTATTTCGTGCAATTCGCGATCATCTTGATGCGGCCTTAAACAAACTTCGCAGATTCAAATATTCAAATTGCCGCTGTGCCAGTTCCCTGGGGCCAATTACTCTCGGAACGTAGCCATCTGAACTGGGATAATTAGTGGAGGAAAGTCTATCGAAGTCTCACAAATCCGTGAGATGCTCGAATTAATTTCTTTGTTGTAATGGATCCACTAACCGAAATATCGTCATAATTACGGGCATTATAGTGGAGCCGAAATCCATTAGCCATTAACCTTTGCCTACAACCGTGAATAATCGAATAAGCTAACTATTGAATGCTGTTTTGTTTTCTTTTGTTAACTTTTGATACATTTTTCAACAGTTTGTTTAAATTATGCCGTAAAATTTTGAACACTGCGCATGTGTAAGAGCCCTCCTCCCCTTTTTCCCCTGCATTTGGGTGACTGCAACACGCAACAGTTGACTTTCACCAGCCAGCTGAAAAGCAGCCGCGTCTGTGGATTTATTTCCAGCATTTCCAGCATGTCGTGCAGGTTACCCCGCCACCTGCCCCTCCCCCTCCTCCACCTCATCAACCATCTTAATTGCTCATTGACAACTGCCGGCTGGAACTCCTTTGGCCAGCCCTAATCAATGGCATTTCACTTTCATTGCGACCGCGTTAATTGACGCTGGCTAAATAATTGCGAAACTTACCCCTACACTAAGGTTGCACTTCACCAATTTAATTGCTGACACTAAAATATTTATATATCCCGTCATAAAGGAAATTTAAAGAAACAGGAAGATACTTGAGTTTACTATTTTCATTTTTACTATGAAACATATAAATTACTTTACTTTTACTTTTGTGGAAATCCATAATACTGAAAATTTAGTGACAAATAGGATAAAACTTCAACTTTAAGTACCTTAAGTACCAAAGAATACGAATTTAAAATTAAAAACTTTGGTAATTAAAAACTTTGCAACGATTTACAGTACCAGCTTAAATTAAACTTGCCCTAAAATATATATATTTAAAAATCTAGAGATATAATTTTTTCTGACAACTAAAGAATGATATATGTCTTTAAAAATAGTATAACAAATTTGTTAAGTGTAATAAGGGTCGCACCACATTTTTCTACAAAGTCTCCACACAGCTGTTGGTGGTCTGCGCATGACCAGATTGTGTCATTCTTGCAGAGCAACAACATGGAGCATTAGGGTCCAAGCAAAGGCTAAAAGAAATTCGATTTGTCAGCTTGGACGATGTCGGAGTCGGGTTCTGGGCTCAGCAAATCCTCGCCCAGCGGAGTGCGGAGGGTCCGAACGGATCTGAAGACCTCGGAAAATAGATTCCTGGGGAGTCACCAGCGAACCAGCTCGCCAATGACCATCAAACAGCGGCATATCCACTACCACTATGCGACCTTTATGGCCAGCAGTGCGCCGCAGGCCAACGAAACATATCACAGGCACTGTTGGATACCACCTTTTAATTATTATTATTTTTGTATTTTTGCCTTGATCATTAATCAATAATTAAATCTATTTTTTACAGCGCCCAGCTGCCCGCCCGTGCCACCAGATTGCTGAACCGGTCGCGTCTCCAGGATCAACAGCTCACCGGAAACGATTCGGATAACAGTTTAAGGTCCACCCACAGCGGTGGAGCTTCGGCGGCCGTTGCCGCCCGGAAGAGAAGCACGGCCAACTCCAGGACATCGTCCGGCTCCACGGCCAGTCTGCCCCGCCAGCGGCACCTGCAGCAGCAGCACCTGGGATTGGGCGGCGGAGCTGGTGGAGGAGCAACTGCATCATCTGGTCACAGGTGCGGCGGCGAGCTGCACAGCTCCTCGGACGATCTGATGTTGTATGACAAGTCCTTCCGCAATGCCATGATCCAGGATGTGCTGCAGTTCAAGAAGCAGCTGCTCCGACTGCGACGCATACTCCAGGAGGTAAGTGATGAATATATCCTTAAATGGATAAAATATAGGGATAACCAAATAGCAGAAAAAGTTATTTATCTAGCTTCAAACAAAACTCATAAATTATAAGTTTTAAAGTCAACTTATTAAACTTTTATTGTGGATATAAATATTCCCATTTTGACTCCTACCATATTGATATCCAAAAATATTGACAATACAATTTAATTCAAATCTTTAACATTTATTTTTAAACTAAAATGTAGACTCCTTTTTAAGTTACTAAATAAAAGTTTGAGTTTTGCACATTTTGACAAATTAATATTTTAAAACTAGCAAAATAATATTTTGAATTGCAAGCAAAATTATTTGTTGAAATATTGGTAAAATAAAAAAAGGTTTATCTTAAAGAAATTCAGTTTATTAACGCTAAATTGATATAATAATTTTATGAACTCCTACATTTTAGGGGCATAGTTTCTGTAAATAGAAACTATTTCCTTTTTACGTTCTGTAAAAGGAAATGTTTCTTTGTTTTATGTTCGGTAAATGGCAATCAAGTCTTTATTTACATTTTTTAGATAGCGATTTATGCTTAAAAAGCGGAAATGACTTTTAGTTATTACATTGAAATTACTTTTTTAAGTACGATCATAATTTTCCTTTCAACTCCACTTTTCTTTCCTTAAATTTCCATGGCACACCCATCACTCACACTCACCATTCACTTGCACAACTCCTAGGAGCCAGATTTTGATTTCAAGCGGGTACGTTGTCGTCTTTGGTTCGAATTTATTTTTTTGTGCCCAAGGCAATCCATGTAAGAGTGATGAATGGAAAGTAACCTACTGGTTTTTATTACTCCTCCGCAGACGGAAACGCTCAATCCATTCGAGAACGACAACGTCCAGCTGTTCGCCGCCTGCGGATTGGATAGCAAGCAGCTGAATGACATCGATCTGGCCAGCCTCACCTCGTCCACGACGGAGGACCCGCTCCAGGAACTATCGGATCTACGTAGACAGGTGGTTTACCTTCAGGTATTTGCACGTTTTTTGCATTTCGTTTGCTGTTAAGCCGGGAGAACACAAAAACTGGGTCACAAACCGAACGATTCGGAGCAGGACAAGACTTTTCTATCGCATTTTACTCTCGCTGTTGTTCTTAAATGTTTCCTAGATAAATGGAATCTTACTCTGTATAGCATGTAATATATCCAATCATGAAGAAAACTATACTTATGCTTATTGTTAATCTATCTTTGAAAACAACACTTACATTTTATATATAAATATTGCCATAGTTTTGTGTTGATATGTATTATATCGAAAGTTAATTATGCACTTTGACTTGCCACAGAACACAGATCATACAACAACCCAATAAAACGATCAAATTTATTTGGCAATGAATCAAATGAGCCGAAATAATTTAATAAGCCTAGATTCTGAATAGCTAAAAAATTGCAAATAATAATTAATTTCAAAGACAACAATTTAAATTAAAATAAGTATCAAAACGATAACTATTTCAAATCAAAACTGAAAAGTGGAAATTTAAGTTTCCTTTTATTATCTAGGCTAACAAATTGCATTTGCTGATTTGATCATTAATTTTTTTTAACAAACCAATTGATCCGCTTTACACTCCTTACATACATCAATAGTTAAAAGATTTGTATACATTATTAGCTGTTGTAAAAAAATATGCTTTGATTGAGGAAAAAGAATTGGGTTCTGAACCTAGAAAATCAAAAAAAAGAAGCATTTATATAATCTAATCAAAGCATGACTGTCTTGAAAAGCAAAAACTAAGCCAAGATAGATTTTTACCTATATAGATATAGTTTTCACACTCTCTGGCTTAGATATAACCACTAGTGACCTTTCATGCCTCGCTCCACAAGAGTGAACTGACATTTACTGATCTGTGGTCTCACCTCCCAAACCCCCCTTTCCGATCCCCTTTCCGATCCCCAGGGTCAAGTGGACGATCGTGATCGCACCATCCGCCTGCAGCGCGATCTCATCGAGCAACTAGAGGCCGAGAAGCGGCAGAAGGCGTCTACCAATGGCGGTGGGGATCCGGGCAAGGAGCTCATCAGCATGGCCACCCAAACGGAGCGGGTAAGTTCGGCCCCCGGGTATATATATACGTTATATACACGATATATATCTTACCGATCATATGTGTTTGCACAACATTGACTAACCGAAAGCTATCGACAATTTCAATTCCGATTCCACTTTCACAGACACGACCACTTGCCATTGGTGCGGAGGGTTTGTCCAGGTAGGCAAACTTTCATGTTCGTTTCAATTTCGGCCATATACCTTGTACTCTCTTGCTGCATTATTTGTTTTTATTTTTTTCGTTGCATTTTTTTTGTGTTTTGGTAATTTTGTGTAATACTTGTAATTTTTCGGGGCTTTTCATCAACCGCAGCTGCGCGGCCGCAAACTAACAAAACTAATACAAAACGATGCTCGCCTGTTGCTGCTTGTTATTGTAAATACACTGAAACAAGTGTTTGTTAAAGTTAGTCAACATTATTCAAGAGGTTTTTACAATTATCAAAAACATATTTATTATAATAACTCAATAATTACGAGTCACAGAATCGTTTAAATTAAACGCATGTACTGATAATAATTTTATTAATTTATTCACTTATATTTGATTGATTTATATAATTTGAAGGGGCATATAAGCTTAATTAATGGTTTAGTATTTCATTTTTGTTAACTCTTTCTGGAAATTAATTTATTTAAATTGATTTTTTGTGTGTAGTTGCCGTTGGGCAGTTGGTGTTGCAAGTTGCTGCTAGCTGTTGCTGCTGGAATCGGTTTCAGCTGGCTTCACGCTCCGCCGGCATGCAAATCAGTTGGCCACTTTTTGCCAGCTCTTGACGTTAATGGCAGCAAATTGCAATTGGAGCAGTCTAATTAGGGCCGATTCTGCAGTAGCTAGAGCTGAAAGCTGAAATCTGCAACATCAGCTTGGACAGCAGCAGCAGCAGGAGGCGGAATTTTCATTTTAAAATTTGACTAACAATAGACCAGATCTGGCCCCGATTAACCCATCTGAATTTCTTTCTTCCACACCCGCCTCTAAAATGCTCCCAACGGAATATACACCCCTCTAATCTTAAACAATCCGCTATTTAGACTACAATTTGGGGAGCAACAGGTACTATTTTGTGATTTCATCCTAGCCATCATTGTGCTCTGTGCCATCAATCTTATATGTATACTACACTTAAGCTATAACTGTATGGATAATTGTAACTCTTGCACTTGAGACACTTAGTTCCCAAAAGCATTAACTAACCTATAACTAAATGAGACCTACATAAGCTTTAATATATCTAAGATACCTCTAAGTATGTTACTAATTTGTCACTGAAAATTTAACACTGTTTGTGAAACGTTTTAATTGCATGCGGCAATTAAATAGAGTCCCAAGGTAATGCAACTAAAAAAAAAATAACCTAGAACACGTAGAGAAGATGGGATGGGCCAAAAGTAAATTAAAACCTTGATGATTCAAATGAGTCATGAATCACAAGGCATTCTTATCTGTTGACAACAGTTATTCCGGGTTCTTGGGGATTTTTCTAAAAATATTTATGCAGCTTAAATTCCATTTACATAAAAGCTTACACAGTAAAAGTTAAAGAGTAAATGCCCATTTGGTTTTCTTATAGATTTACAGAACAAAGTCCTTCACATCCCTTTAAATATTCAATTTTATTAGATACGAAATAATACATTGTTTTTTAAAGAAATTTTAAATCAATTTTTTTAATTTTATTTAAAGAAATATAATAAAATGATTATCTAAATATCAAATATATGTTATTAAAATCTTATGATGAATATTGTTTCTAAAACATCCGATATAATTCATTTTAATAAGAGGTTTAAGCAACGAAGAATGTTGCTCAAAAAGTTAAAACTGAATGAAAAATATGTTTGATCCCATCTTCTCTCCCAAATAAAACTTATATGGCATGGGCAAAGTTAATGGTTCCTTTATAGAAAACAATACATCTTTATGGTGCATCCCACTAATCTTAATCTCTCTGTTCGCAGAAGTAAGCCCGAATATACCAGTTATACCACGCACTTTCCGACGCTCCACTTGCACGATTCCACGCTGGCAGCCACCACGATAATCCGCCACCACCAGAGCAACCACAATCAGCAGCAGCAGCAGGAGAAATCCTGTCCAGGTCTCAGCCAGACCCGCCGGCACACGATAATCTCCACCACGCTGACCAACTATAATCAGCAGCTGGCGGCCGCTTTTCCGGATACCCCAAGACGCTCCTCCATCGGATGGGATACGCCGACTTCGATGACCACGCCCAATGGCAACGCCTACAAGCCAGTGAGGATTACGCTGATCGGTGAGGCGCTGCCCTTGCAAAATAAGTCATCAACCGGATCGCTATCATCGTCATCGTCATCGTCCTCCTCATCTTCAACATCTTCGCTAACCCAAAATCCAAACGTGGTCAAAATGCGATATCCCAATGGCTGTCAGAGTGTTAAGAACGGGTCAAGTGCGCATTATCAGCCGTTGTACAACAGCAACAAGATGACAAACCCAACCGTAACTATAGTCTGATTTAGAAACCAGTTTTCAGTTTTGAATCCATCTAATTTGCCTACGCAAGTCTTCTGGGAAAAACGCTCTAAAAACAGAATCAATAATTGTGAAAAATAGACCTAGTACAAGATCTTAATTAATGTTAGCGTCTTACGTATATTTGCATCTTAGCCAAGAGCTCTTGAAAAGCAGTTTAGTAAAATATTTGCTTGTAAGGAATGTACTTTAAATATCTCCATACATGTATATCCATTGCTTCAATATAAAATTAAAATAAATTTAACCGTCTTTTTTCTGGCTTAGTTTTGGCTTCCAGATGATATTTTATTAGCCAGATATATAATATCGCCAATCTGAGCATTTTCAAGAGCCTCCAAACGAAATACCCATAAGCACCAAATCTATAAAGTGTGCATTGAATGGTATATACTCCTTTATATGTAAAATCTATAATAGATCATAGAATATTTTTGATTGTTACTTGTTTTCGCCTAAGTTTTAGTCTAAGTTAGTGAGTTTTTCTTGGTTTAGTTTTCCTGAAATTTTGTATAATATGAGCTATGATAAATGTCTAAGCCACTCGCTGAATGAGGAATCAATAATGGCAAAACATAATATTTTTTCTCCAAGAGCACAATAATCGTCAAGTAAATAACCAATATTATATAACTTATACTGTATGTAAACCACTATTAAAGAGTTATAGAAAGTACCTATCAATAGAGAAAGATAAACAAGTGTGTGTTTGATTTGGAAACATTTCACAGCTGTTGAGTGGCCGGCCCCTGGTCAAGATGCCACTGATGACGCCTCAAACCGGCTTGGAATTCTAAATCCCCCCTCCAATCTCCTCTCTTTACAAACTGGATTTGCATTTTCATTGGCATTCTGAAACCGTTTGCAAATCCTCAGTTGAGCCCGAACTCTGGAGCAGAAATGTTGCTTTCTGCCAATTGGTTTCTTACGCTCTTTCTGTGGCTCGGCTGCGGGGGATTCCCCTCCCTAAACGGAGCCGATCTCTGCCAGCCCATAGGTTGGCGCAATTTCCAGTGCAGCGAGGTGGCCTCCTTGCAGGATCTGGTGGATCTAGGAGCCGAGAACTGGCACATACTCTCCATCCGGAATTTGCAAACGGAACTGGAGGTGGGCTCAGGTGAGGTCTGGAACACAGGCACAGTACTCATCTTGGTACACAAGACAAGGCTTTGGCAAATAAAAATAAAAAGGCTTAATAAAAAAATTTAATTTATTTCAAATTAAAATTGGTATTATATAAAACGTTGTACACAGAATAATAATTGGCCAAAAATAATAATCTGAAATATACACAACATTTTTCAAATAGCATTGCAATATTAAAAACCAATAATAAGATGAGAACATAAACAACGTATTTTCTCAAAAATGTAAAACTCAAAAACAAACGTTTTTGGTACTTAAAACCCTTTCAGGTGAGAATGCAGATCACTTGGCCAACTTAGTCGAACTGGATTTAACAGCAGCAGCTCCAATAAATATTCATACCAGCGGCTTTTCCATTCTGCCCAATCTGCGGAACCTTAACCTCAGCGGGTGCGGTCTCGTTGACATCCAGGGAAACCACTTTGCGGCTGAGTCAGCGCTTCAGCGGCTCGATTTAAGCCACAATGAAATGGAGCTTCTCGACCGGGACTTTTTTGGCAATCTGAGGAAGTTGATTTATGCGAATTTTTCGCATAATGCCCTGAAGCAATGCGATCTGCCCCATATGCCACTGCTCAATCGCCTGGAACTGGGCCACAATCGCTTGGTTAATGCCACCTTTGGGGTCTGTCCACAGCTGCAGGAATTGATTTTAAATAACAACCAATTAGCACAGGTGAGTCGATTAGACTTTTCTTAATCCTGATATGTCATTTGCCATATCGATATTACTTTGGGATTATCGGCTCAGCAGTATTTTAATATTGCCAGTTAACCGCAACGAACTTTAATGCTTAATGTGTGCTCAGTTGGATTAACAATTCAGATGTTAAATTGGTCGTAGTGATCTATGCCTTTTAGCCAGGTTATAAAATAACAATTGAATATTTCTTGTTTATCTTTGGAAGCTACAATTTGTAATTGAAAAACTAAACATGACCAATGATACTTTTGAGAGAGTGAGATAATTAATTCTAATTTTAAAGCTGACCAAAATATTTACAAACATCTTATCCCGCACTGTGTAAATAGTTTTGTAAACAAGTTTTTATGATTTTACTTGACGACCTTAAATTTGTGCAAGTTTAATCTACTCTTATATGGAGAAATTTGTAAAAATCTGGATTATTAGTCATTCATATGATGTTACCATTCCAAATTTTCCGAATTAAAAGCGGCATATTTCTAAATGATTGTGGTTAAATTCTCTAAAAATCTGTATACCTATCTTGATTTGTATTTTTGGCTCGATTTTTAGTTATTTTTATGAGCTAACCCCTTGCAAATTTTCGAAAAATGGCTTTTCCGAAAAGTGACCAAAAACCTTCACTTTTAGGACCATAACTTTTCTTACCGACATCCGATTTCAAAGTGGCATATTTTTAAATGATTGTGGTTTAATTCTCTAAAAATCTGTATATTCATCTTGGTTTGCATTTTTAGGTCGATATTTCAACATTTTTCCAAATTTTGGAAAAATGACTTTGCTGAAAAGTGACCAAAAACCTGCCGTTCTAAGCCCACAACTTTTTTTACAGACAACCGATTTTAAAGCGGCATATTTCTAAATGATTGTGGTTAAATTCTCTAAAAATCTGTATACCCATCTTGGTTTGTATTTTTGGGTCGATTTTTAGTCATGTTTATGAGCTAACCCCTTTCCAAGTTTTCGAAAAATGGCTTTGCAGAATGACTTTTCTTAAACACATCCGATTTCAAAGTGTCTTACTTCTAAAGGATTGTAGTTGGATTCTCCATAATCTTGATTTGAAAACTGGGTTTGACAATTTAGGTTACATTGTGTAACCTATATTATTGTTTTTTGGATAATGAGCATAATGTGATTTGATTTGTTCTCATACCTTTTAGGACAATAAGTTCTATTTAGATTTAATTTTTTTACTTTTATATTCAATCTTTAAACAAATTATTCCTCTTAGTTGGACGTGAACGCCTTTCGTGGACTCCATGGCCTATTGGAGCTGCAGCTAAGCGACAACAGGTTGAGCTCCATTGGCCAGGAAACCTTTCTGCCGCTCTCCCAACTGCGAGTTTTAAACCTCTCACGAAATGCCCTCGATGCACTGCGTCCGAGTGTGTTTGGAGCAATCCAAAACTTTGTGCTGCATCTGCAGCAGTTGGATCTATCCGGGAATCGCATCCGCCTGCTCTTCGACAACCAATTTCGTGTTCTGGCCAGACTGCAAATGCTGGATGTTTCGCGGAACAGTATAGCCAGCCTGAGTGCAGGTCACTTTGTGGGTTTAGGTGCGCTACGCAAACTTTACCTGCAGTATAATGCTATCTTAGAGATCAAGTCAAGTACCTTTGCTGCCCTCGTTAACTTGGACACATTGGATCTGTCCTACAACAACCTGGAGTTCTTCGAGGAACAGATCTTTGGCAGCAACACCTTGACGCGCATGAGGAGACTAAACTTAAATGGCAATCATATGAAGCACCTGCATCCATTGGCCTTCTCATCAATGCCATTTATGGAATACCTGAAGCTGGGTCACAACGAACTAAAATCCCTGGATGTGCGCATGTTTGCCCCCATGCGACGTCTTCAGAAGCTACATTTAGGCCACAATCTGCTGGAAGAGATCAACCTGGACGTTCTGGAGAGCCTCAGTAGCGTCCAGGAGATCCTGGTGGACAACAACCGACTCACCTTTCTGTCCAAAGTGAATGTGAGCTTTCCCAATCTGAAACGAGTGGCCATCGAGGGTAATCCTTGGCAGTGTCCGTGCTTTGTGAAGCTGCAACATTGGTTGGCGACCAGGGATGTTGTCTATCTCCGCGATAACACGGGCTACTACAAGGGTGAACGACCCCTATGCATAGTGACCAGTGTGGATTATTGCATCCAGAATTTGCAAGCAGTACGTCGTCTGGGAATTCTCGGTGATTTCCAGGGCGAGCAGGTGGAGGCGGATGCCTTTGATGACGATGCCAGTGCAGCACAAGACTGATAATTGTACGATTTCTATAATTATTATAAGCGTTCAATATATTCTAACAAATTTTCCTAGAGTGTAACTGACTAAATAAAAAGGTGCCAAATTTTAAACTCCCTAAAAGATACCGACTTTTCTATCATTTCATATTTTCAGCCCAATGTTATGCTACTACCCGAAAATACTCTGCTTTTCACATCACATTAAAGTGAGCCACAAAAAACGCTCTTAAATTTAAACAAAAACATTTTAAATATAACGCAGAATTGCACAAATAGACATTTTCAGACACGGACATTTTGAAGATATATTGGATCGATTTATCATCTTGCGGGCATATTCATGATTCCAGCGTCTCGAATGGGTTTTAATTTACAATTAAACAACTAAAACTCGAATCGTTTAGGCAGACTTGACGCGCAGGGCCAGAGCGCTCAGATCGGCGATGCACTTGTTGAGGGTCTCCTTCTCCTGCTGGGGCGAGATGCTGGCCAACACGTTGCTGGTAATCCAGTTGACCATGTGCTTCTGGCTCAGACGGCGCTCGACGTGGCGGCACTCCACCTGGTAGTCGAGACGGCGCTTCACCTCCGAGTAGACATTCATGGCGCGCTCACGGAACGCGGCCTCCAGCTGCAAGGCAATGTTCTCCTTCTTGGCCTCCATCAACAACAGGGCGCCATCGGCGCGCCACTGCTCCTTCTTCTCGGCTTCGATGGCATCGGACAGCACCTTGAGCTCAGCCTCGCGGCCCTCCTTCCACTCAGATTCGATTTTCTGTGAAAAAAATTAAAGTAGAGTAGTAAGTTTTGGGTTGTTATGCTAGATAAGCCAAGCCAATTTAATGCTTAATGCTATCTTATTGTCAATCTTCTTTATCTGGAACTAAACCTATTTCCTAAAACATTTCAAGGTTTGTTTTCACTAGAAAAATTGGTCATCTTATTTTCTAAAATTATATTTCCAAATGAAAACAATAAGAAACTTGGCAATTATTTTTTGAATATAAAAATTAAGCAATCCCGAAAAAATAAGTAAACTTTAGCAGTAATAAAAACAAGCTATTGTTTATATGGACATTAATTTGAATTTTTTTGACTTCATGGTAAGATTTGTTTCAAACTCCAAAATGTTATACATTTTCGTAGTTTTCTTTAGTTTAAAACCTAATGCCATCTTACCATAAAGACGAAAACACAAAGATTTTACATTATTTTGGATAACTAAGGATTCTCCAGTGATAATTCGTCATGTATTTTAAATTTATTTACCACAGACTACTTTTTGTTTTCCAAGTTATACTCACATCGATCTCGCCATCAGCCCACTTGGCGATGACTGGGCCGAGCTTCTTGACGGCGATGATGGCCATGATGCCAAGGGACAGACCGCTGTAGTACTCGTGCTCCATGACGTAGATCTCCTTGGAACAGAGATAGGTGATCAGACCCACACCGAAGGTGTAGGGTCCAGTAACACCGGTCTTGTTGTAGAAGAACTGGAACCACTCCTCGGGCAGGAATCCGAGGCGCACCTTGCCGGGATGCTCGGGGCGCTGGCGGCGCTCGATGGCACCGCCGGGAGCAGCGGCAGCGGCGGCCGTCCGGGTGGCGGCCACGGTCAAGGGGCGCTGGGCTGTAATTGCAGTGGCCCATTAGTATAAATTAATTTTCATTTGCGAAAATTGTGCTTTTCTTTGACGTATACACTGCGAATGGGTGATTACATAAACCACGATGTCCGATGATTTCGCAGTGCCGTAACATTTTTCACGGTCATTTGCGGGCGGATTTTCACTCTTCCAGCATTAGTTATGGGGCTTATGATTATCTCCCAATCTTTTTGAACCGTTTTTCAGGTTTACCTGTTAGAAGAGCGGCTCTCGAGAACATTTTCCAGGCAGTTGCGACGAATTTATGCTACTAAATTGCTCCGAAATTGCTAGTTCACAATAGTGACAGGTTAAGAGAGCGTTGCCAGATCAACTAAAAGGTGGTTCCTGTCCCGCACTGATTTCCAACACTGTCAAAGCGCTTTACTTTTAAATTTGTATAAATAAATAATAAATGTAAATCAAGAAGTATTGCTTTATAACTTTTATTTTTATCTTTATCTTTTTAAGTTGTGATTTTAAAACTAACAGTTTACGGAAGTATCAAACCATCGGCGACAAAATTTACATTTTTCAAATTTTAAACACAAAATTTATAAAAAGTTTCTGATTCAGATCTGAAAATCAGTTGATAGAATAAATTAAAGTTAATTGCGACAGCCTAATTTGAATGACATTTTAAGCCATTCTTATATTTCCTATGGCTAAAACTGAAAAAAAACCTCGTCATAACTTTACAAGTTTTTATTTTAAAAAATATTACAATTTGCTAGATAAATTGTGCCTAAAGTAATCAGAATTAGTTGCGAAACAATATGCATTAAAATACTTTTACAAAATACTATAGAAACAGCGAACAGAGTTTGATTTTAAATAATTATCGTTTTAGTGGTTGGTTGGGTTTTCAACTGGTTTTGCCATAAAACATTAATTCGGTCTCAGTTCAAAGCTATTTACGTGCAGATTTCATAAATTAAGCATTAAAGCGTGAGCATCTTTGTTGTTGGTTGTCGCTAAACTAAATGACTGTCTTGTGCGTGGAACTTAAAACGTAAGAAAAACATACACACGGGCTACAGGTTACTGCATTCAAAAGTGGGGGATATTCCAAATCACTCGGTTACAGCAATTCAAACAAAACATCGTAAGACTATTTACAGCAGTGAACAGATAGATATCTTTTAAAACGTAATAATACACTTATCGAATTATGTTACAACTTTCTACTTATGCCTTTTATGTTGTTCTTTGCTAGATCGTTTTCTCTCTTCTGTATAAAAACGTAATGATTCTGCGGAGGTGTTGCCTAACATTTATAATGAAGGTGTGTCTGTGTGGTGAGTGGGTGCAGGTGTACATATAAATGTTTGTGTTTGTTTATCTATGCTCGACGGGATGACATAATGCGGTGGACACACAATCATCGTCGCCTTTGAAGTGCTTGTATCTCGGAAGGATGCGGATGCTTGGCCAGTTGTGCGGTAGTCCTCCTCGACTCGATTCACTCGATGAAGTTGAAGCGGGTGAGCAGCTTGTGGTAAAACCACCGCACCACCTGCTGGACTCGACCGGCCACCCAGGCACACAAGCTGCTGGTGTGCCGCACCTTGGAGGCGTAGTGCTTGATGTGATCTGTGCAGTAGGGAGTTAAGAGGGCAACCAAAAGTACAAAGAAATCATAAAAAGAAAAGCAAAACAAGCCAGCCCGTAAAGGCATTTTGAAAAAGGATATAATAGTGTCCAGGGTGGATGACCTCCGTTTATATAGTTCACATAGGTGAAACCGTCCTTGCCCTTGCCCCGTATATTGTAGTAGTAGGGCATAAATGAGTGTAGCGTGAATCTGAAATAAAAAAAGGTGCACTCGATTAATAGACGACCGACACGCAAAGCGATTCCCCCAGATACCTTCTCTTTTCATAGAAAAATATGGCAGGTTGGTTGGTGGTCAGCGTGTGCAGGAAGATCGCCTTCACCGAGTGCCGCTCGGCCGTTGTCAGGTGGTTCATTAGCGCGTCCAGCAGCAGCGATCCGATACCATTCCGGCGATGCGAACGATGAACGCCCAACGACAAGATATAGCCAACGTCGGCAGAACGACCCATCGAGTCCGGCAGGATGCCCTTATCCTGCATGGGAAAACCGCTCAGCCTGGTGTACAACTCATCACTATCACCCATATTGGCTATTACCTCCTTGTTGACATTTCGATAAGGTTTCATTTCGGCAACGATTAAACCAATTATGGCCAGATTATATACAGCAGCCAGCGCAAAGAAGCGCGTACTTGAGGTAATATCCTCATACCATGATAGTGGGTAGTCGATTGGAAACCATTCTTGGCACAGCTGGCGCACCTGTTGGGTCATTATACAATGGGGATTAATACCTGGGGCACTGGGGACACCTACTTACCTCCGTCAGATCGTCGGGCACCAGGAACCTTAGCTGCACATCGTTAATAGAGCACAGCGGTACGTGTTCGCAGTCCACACGCGTACTGTCGCTGTTGGGCGGCGTACTGTGTTTGTTGTAGCTGCTCGTAATACATGGTAATGTTTTATGATCTACATGTATTAGTCCCCACAACTACCGATTTCACTTGCGTAATATTGCAAAGCGCCGTCAATAGATAAACAAAAGCTTCCATTGACAGCAGTCGCATAAGCAGGAAATCCATGCGCTGCACAGCCCACTGATAACCAGAAAGATATATACTCACAGTGTGAATTGTGCCATCCTATTGTCCGGGGGGGTGCTCCTCCGCTGCCGATCCCACTGCCACTGCTGCTGCTGCTCTGTCCAATTAGAGCAATTATGTCCATTTATTGCACCACCACCGCCGCCGTCGCCACCGCCTGAACAGGTTAAGCGCGGAATCTTGTCCAACGGAGCCCTCCTCCGGGTGAGTGTTTTGATTACGGTTTCGGCTTGGTTTTATTGGGTTTGGTGCGTGTTTTCGGGTGTGCGCGCTCAATTGGCTTCAATTAAAATTTACATTTGTCGCGGCTGCGGGATGATGAGGTGGAGAAGGGGTGTTGCTGGGAGGGGGAACATGTAGGAACCACTTGCTCGGTTGCGGGTGCTCCGCTGGTTTTTGTTTCAAGTGGAATCCGGCTGTCCGGTGAATCCCTTACAACGCTGGCCAGGTTGTGCTGCTCCGCTGGTGTCGGTGTCGCATGCCGCTGCTCCTGCCCGCTGGTCACAATTTGCATCGCCCGCAATGATGCCTCATTTGTCCTAATTTATTCGCCAAGCCAAACCAAAAAGAATTGATGAAAACAAATCAGCAGTGGTGGTGGACCTTTAAAACCAATCGGTTGACGGGGCTGTCCACCTACGAAATTATCGATATGTCGATACCGTGCATCATTATAAATGAAATGATAACTATGTATTTTCTTTAAATTTTGTTTAAAGATAATAGGATCCTTTTTTTAAATCTTAAAGCCGAACAATTAGGATCGTTCCAAATGAAAATGTTTTCTTGTTAAGAATATTCCGATTTTAATTAAAGTTATAAGTTAAATTCCTAGATTTAAATACAATTCGATCTGCTTATTGGGTGTTTTAAAATAAAAATCTAATTGGGAAATTAATTTCTGTTAAAGCGGCAATAAATTGTGAAGAAAATTAAATCCAAAAGAATATGTATAAAATAATAGTATTTAATAGGCATTATTTTCCAAATAATACCCAAAGTACTTTCCGTTAAGTTTTTAATCCGTACCATTTCGTTTGTAAACTTTATGAATTAATATTTTAACAAATATTCCATCTTAAAACTGAAGCAGCTTGCGTTCAAAACCTTCTCGTCTGGCCCACCGCTTGGGAGGTGCTCGGCGCAGGAGCTCCTTGCTTGGTGGGATCCTCTAGCACTCGCACCACCATCGAGGATTTGGGCCCCGTGCACCACGTGATCCCGTTCTCATCCACTACAAACGTTTCCAACGTCACCTGAAAGTGTCCGCCACTGGAGATGGGCAATAGGAAGCTGCCGGAAAGGAAATCACGCTGCGGCTTCACAATCTGGTTAAGAGTCACAGTGTCGTTGGCTCCCTGCTTCGGTAGCTCTTGAGAGGATCGGGGTGGTGGCGTGATCAACTGCGAGGTGAGACTTAACTGCACAGACTCCACTCGCCGGAAGTGCTTCTGCTGCTTGCTAAAATGCTGCAGTACTCCCTCCACTTTGATCACCAGGTTACTGCCCGACTGGACATTCACAGGTTCGGTGGCGCTCCTGGGTTGTGGACTCACCGACAGCTTGATCTGCGTAGATTGCAGTATCTGGAAGAAGTAACGAGGCAGGCAAAGCGGCGTTTTTGTTATGATCTCAATTTGTGCAATGATAACATCTAAATGCCGATTGCTGATAGTCTTGGCATTAGCGGGCTCCTGGGGCAGGTTCTTCTGCATCTGTTCCATACGCTGGCAACTGGCGGCGAAGTATCGCGTCTCCGGGTGATCGCCAGTGGTTAGGAAAACCGGCGGTTCTGGTGGTGTGGCATAGCAAATTGACTCGATAATATGAGCAAAAAGAGCGCATTGAAATTCTGCCACTTCGAGGAATTCTAGAGTCACATGATCCGCATCAAAGGAGGACTTGTAGAGTCTGGCGTAAGTTTCCTCACAGGCCTTTAACGCCTTTACCAGCTTTCGTAGCTGATTTGTTACATGTCCAAACTTCTGCAGGTAATCTCGAGAGTTTTGAGCCAAGCTTCCAGCTATCGCCGGTGGCGGCACAATCACCTGGGCGTTCTTCACGGTTACTGCCAGGTGGAGAGTCTGCAGAAACTGTGCCCTTATTTTAAGATACTCCAGCTGAAACGTGCACGGATGCTGGGGCGAAGAGCAGGCCCGCAAGCTAGCCAACGCCTGCTGATAGAGATTGCTGGCCATCTCCAAGCGTTTCATTAGCGGCATCAAAGGCTCCGGAGCCGCCTTCGGTGCATAATTATCCCGCATATAGCTATACTCTAAGCCATAGTTGAGGATGCACTCCGCCTGAGAGATTTGCGACAGGGCCACAAGGAAATAGTGCATATGATCACTGATCACAATCTGGGAGACCTTGGTGTAAATGTGAGCGGCCACATAGTGATGACCATAGCGACTAGCGGTGCGAGCAATCCTGTACAGTGTCCAGCAGTTGAGCCTGCCGAGACACTTTTCAAAACATTGCACCACCTTTTGGGGCAGATAACATCCCATTGTGGTCTGAAGCACCAAAGCACTAAGGATCTCTACTGTTCGAAGCTGTTGATCGCAGTTATCCTGGTCGATTATGGTGTTTAACTTATGCAAGATGAGCGGTAAGCGGGCTAACATTGGATTAACCTGGGAACAAAAAGTTTAAGCTATTGTTTTCATAAAATCTTTAAGTCATTGTTACCTTTGGTACAGGGGGTTCATCGGTGTCCATAGCATTGTCGTCTTCTATCAGCTCTTCAGCTGTGGAAAAGGCGTACTTGCGCAGCTGGAAATGCTCACAAAGACCCACCAGTGCTTCACACATGAGTTCCGCATTGGCCGGCGGATAGGCAATCTTATCACCTAGTGTATTGGTCACAATTTCGATGAAGGAGGTTCCAAATTCAGCATTAGCTTGGGTAATCCTAATTCCGTAAGTCAAAACCCTGCGTAGATCCCGGGTGCACTCCGCTCGCTTGGCCGTGCAGAGGAGCAAACCCTCCATGTGAAGGTTTACCATATGAAGAATATCCTCCACCTGCTCGCCGCTGGCCTCTTTTTTGAGACCAAAAGCCACCAAAACCGAGAGAACGGCCATTGCTTGAGTGGCGGTTGTGTAGTCGTCTAGTTTGCTGATGCACTGGATGCACAGGCGGAGCAGGGCCTCGCGATGTTCGCGGAGCAGTTGCTGGCAGGTAAGTGGACACTCACTAAGCTTCAGCAAGATGGAGAGGAAAAGAAATTGCTCCTGGGAGTTCGTACAAGACTCGAATCGACCAATAAGAGCTTTAATAGCTGGTTTGGGCCAAGCATGAACACTCTGCCGACCGGCTAACTCGTTGAAGGAGCGCAGCACCTGGATTCGCACGGGAGTTCTTAAATCCTGCATGAAGTCCAGCAAAACCTCCAGCTGACCAGGCACACCCACCAGCGTGCGAGAAGACAACTGAGTGAGGGTGTCTATAATGGCGACCACGAAGCTCTGTGCTGGATATTTGGGGAGCAGATCCATACATAGCTTACTGACCAGCGACGCTGTAGTGGCCTCGTGATGCATATGCCGCAGCACGGGAATGAGGAGCAGCTTCATTGGCACCGGAACCTGTAGCGATTCGATCATGTCCGAGATCTTTGCGCACATGCTAATGGCAAACGAACTGGACTGGGCAGCGAAGCAGCTGCTGGCGTAGATAGCAGCCTCCACTTCCACAGTATCGTGGCTATCCAAGGCCCGGCGGATGGCATGGTGCACCTGTTGCTTCTCGGGAATCACACGGGAAACGGCGCCTAAAGTACGCAGCAGCAGGGCCCGTGCCACCGGATCGTTGGAATGCATCACCATGAAGATTCGTCGCACAAAGTTGTCAATATTGAGGATCTTGTCCAGGTGATTCTCGCTTTGCTGGCAAACGCGGAGCACCCAGAAACGCAGGAGATTCGATCCGCTGACAAAGAACTCGGCCAGTTTGATGAACGACGAGTTAATGAGGATGGGAAAGGGATACTTCTCGAAGAGCCGTGGGAAACGGACGATCGCTTCGCACTGGATTCCCTGCTTGGCGCTCCGTAATCCCTTGTCCAGCTCCATGAGCACCGCATTCGAGTCGTGCTCATTCTCGTTCAGGAAGCACTCGTTGAAGGTGCTGACGCGAGTACCGGTCAGGTGAGCCATGGTTACAGGTGTCCACAATCACATTTATCGGGGAAAATTAGGAATATTCACTTTTAAAGCGCAATCGACACAAAAACAAACCGGCTGCAAATGCCACTTCTTCCTAGTTTCCCATTCTCAGGAAACGTCTTTGCAACGATAGCTTATTACTTTACGATAGTTTACGATTAGGGTATTCCTATCTTCTGTTGAAATTGAATTGATAAACTATTCTACTTAGGACAACAAAAAATGTGTTTCTTTTTGAATATGAAAACAGGTGTTACAAGTACTAACAACAATTGTATTATATTAAAGATAACATTCATAATTTATAATTTTTGTATTTTCGTTATGTTAAAATAAAACTATTATTGAGGAATTAAATTTGTGTACTAATAAAATACAAAGTTTACATTTTATCCAAATAATATTAATAAATCACATTATCTTTCCTCTCTGTGTAGAAAAAATCTACCTCTGCACCATAAAAAGGTCATACTGAAATATTTCATACATATTGTTTTTGTGTTTATTGTTGAAGCTATGTTTGTTTTAACTAAAGGCGAGTAAATTTACCTAAATACCAAAAACTAATTGATTAATAACATTTCAAATGTTCCCTACAGATGACGAAAAGTTTGTTTTGTTGCCTGTCAAAAGTGTATATACCGTAGGTCGCCTGGGCACGGATTTGATTGTGACGCAGGATCTTAGTATAAGTCGCAATCATGTGGAGTTACACCTGCCGGAGTCATATGGGGATGACACTCTGCAAATTAAGGACCTGGGCTCCAGATTTGGGACCTTTATTTTCCGAGGGACTTCTCAGAAGCCCCGACAAGTCCTTGCTAGGACCCTCACGCCAGTGCCTGTGGGAATTCGTATTCGTTTTGGCGGAAACATGAGCATTTGGCAGGTGACTCGACTCAACTTGGTGACCGCCGTCTCCGCTTTAACCCGACCTGAGATCAAGGAGCTGACGGAGATGCTCGAGCCCATGGGTGGAACTGTAAGTCCTAGCTGGACGCAGGAATGCTCCCATCTTACCATGAACGAAGTCTCAGTGACCGTGAAATTACTTCACGCCCTACTTGAAAACAAACCCATTGTTACCTTTGCCTACTGGAGAAAAATGCTCCACTCAGCGCAGACCATCCATGTCAAGGAGGGATGGCCGCAGCCAGAGGATTACCAGCCCACGAATATGGATGTCACCTGGCGACCCGAACGCACCCGTTTATTCTCCGGCAAGACGTTCGTATTCATGAATCACAAACACTTCGAAATGTACGGATCAGTGGTTCAGAAAGCCGGTGCATCCTGCAAGAACCTTAATTCGGGTGTGCGCAAGACATTCCTAACAAAAAGTGATGTGATAGTCATACAGTATGTTCCTTCAACCCAATCGCAGGCATCTGAATCCATCAACAGTATACAAGGTGAGTCAAAAAAAAAATGTAAATAATTCTCAAATCGAGTTAAGATAAACATGCTATTTATTAGATATTCTGGAGCAGAGCGGTCGACGTGTAATCCAGGATTACGAGATTGGCATGGCCCTACTGCATTGCTCTATCAAGGAGTTCTGCAACCCAGAACACAAGTTCATCAACGATTCAATGCCCACCACGGAGTCTATGACTTCCTCAATGGCTTTGAACTCTTCAATCATTGTGCCCAACACGGAACGTAATACAGCTCAATCCACTGGCTCAGCCATCTCAGAGCTAGTGGTGCCGGAGTCGGACGCATGTGATATGGAACAAAAGTCTTCCAAACCCGATTCGGAACCTATAACATCTTTAAGATCTTTGCGTAAGCGGAGTCATGCCATTATTCTCGACTCAGATGAGGAGCAGGAAGCAGCCTCATCAAAGCGCGCCAAGCCACCTCTCCCCGAGAAACCAAAAATAACCGCCAAGAAGACTATACTAGTGGATTCTTCTGATGAAGAGGAAACTGTACAACCACCACCTCCTGTTCCAGCTCCAAATAAACATATTACAAAAAGGGGCAAGCCCATTTATTGTGCAGACTCTTCGGATGAGGAGAATACAAATTCCAAAAAGCAAAAAGGAGCGCAAACTGCTGTGGCTGATAAGAGTGCAGTGGTCAAAAAGAAACCAGAGGCGCCAGTATTCACCAGGACATCACCTCGCCTCAATTCCAAATCATCGGAAAAGCAACCGACGGGATCGAAACGTCCTGTTCTATTAGTGGCCTCGGATGATAAAGACTCTTCGGATGAGGAGATTACAAATTCCAAAAAGCAAAAAGAAGCACAAGGTTCTATGGCTGACAATTGTGCAGTGGTCAAAAAGAAACCAGAAGCGTCAGTTCTCACCAGGACATCACCACGCCTCAATTCCAAATCATCGGCTACCAATATTACAAACCAACAGCCGAAAAAGCAATCGACGGGATCGAAACGTCCTGTTCTATTAGTGGCCTCTGATGATGAAGAGGATGATAGAGAACTATTTTCATTTCGAACAGCTCCCCAGAAGCCCGAAGCGACAGTTGCTCAGCCAAAGTCAGCGGTCAAGGGTCAACCGACTGGCAAAATCAGTGTGCTCAACTTTCTAGAGAAGTCACAGCCACAAGAGGCGGCCTCGGTGCCTGCCCAGTTGAATTCTCAATCCCAAACACAACCTCGCAAGCGATTGCGACTAGAACTCTTAAACGAAAGCGACAGCGATGACTGCGACAATCTCTTTAACTTTGCGGACAGCAAAAAGAAAAAGAAGAAACAAGACGAGCAGACCCATGAAGATTCAACGGATAGCTTGTTTAATATAAACTCGGAAAGGCCAAGCGTTGCCGTTGACCAGGACTCCCTGCTGACCGAGCCCTTCGAGGTCGATGTGGAAACAAAGAAAAAATCCAAGTATATTGTATGGCAACGCAAGGAGCTTCCCAGAAAAGTGGATACAAGTGGTTGGTTATCGTGCAGCAGGCTGCATGATGATATCAAATCCGAGCTGGAAACAGATCCAGAAGTTTCACTAGAAAAATCTATTAAGACGGATCCCGACGAAGAGAAGTGGCTTACCGCCATGAAAGACAGTATCGAGGTGCGCATGTGCAACCTAAATATTATCAATCGCTCTCAAGATGAAGTGGATGCTTCTCTTGAGGCTTCTGTTAGCAAGTACAGCGGCCGCAAGAACTTTAAGAAGTTTGTCAAGGTGAGAATTGAATTAATAATGGAGTATTATGACTTATTATAAATTGTTTACGCCCATAGACGAACAATCCCCATCCGCAACGGCGTGTTGTGGCTCTAAAGAGTATGCAGCTGGCTGATGGCATGGTGACCTGTGTTTAGTTATCTTTTGTTTTGTCTAAATTTACTTTATTTTAGATACAATAAACTTGCGAAATATGCTTAAGGCCTTGACGGGATCCTTTGACAACTTGCGCTGGAAAAGCGTCTGGGCGGCCAGCCACTCGTGCTTGGTTATTTTCTTGGTTAAGCAGGTATCTGGGGGAGGATTCTGTTTTCTGGCCTTGGACTCACGGGCAATAAACTGCTGTGCATCCGCCACGGTGGCGAGAGCCTCCTCATTAAATTTAGTTTTGGTTACGCATTGGGCGGGTGTGTCATCCCTGGCAATAACAGTGCCTACGTCGGATTTAGCCTTCAGTTTGGCTTTTTCCACCTTGGTGATTACCTTTACGGGTTTTAGCACCAAAGCGGGTGTCGCGGCGTCCTTCGTTTCGTTAAGTGTGCTCTTGAGAGGCTGTAATTTTAAAGGCAACTCCTGATTCTCCGCCAGGAACTTGTGCTTATCTACCTGTGGAAATTTGGTTACTTGGAGGCGCAGCTTATTATAAAGAGTAGCACTTTTGCTGGCCTGCATGATGCTGAGTTTGTTGATCTTTGCAATAGCAGCGATTAGTAACGTAGTAAAGTCCATAAAGAAGTTATTCCGAAGGAGTTGGGTAAAATAGGTAGCTGCCGTGATGCAGCAATCCCTGATCCGCTCGTGGAGATGAAAGAATCCCAGCAGGCGCACCAATATAAATTCCAAGCTGCTTCGCGTGGGCATGGCTCCCGCGAGATCCGCATCGCAAGCATCCGGCAGGGCACCGCGGAACTGCTCCAAGTCCCTGGCCAAGTCCAAGCGGAGAAGGCGGCACAGCGCAGCATTTAGCTTACAGACAGCCCGGAATCCAGGCATATTTCGGAAGGAGTTTTTCCTGCGCGCCATCAGTCGTCCTATCAGCGCCGCAGTTTCATCAAAATCCTTGGCATCCGGTTCGGACAACTGTTGCAGGAACCTGTTGATAACCACGAAGACATTTTTGGCTGTGGGGTAAGGAGTAACTTGGTTTAAACGAATATTTAAGCTTCACAAATAGATGCCACCTACCAAAGCCCGTGTCCTCCACTTGCAGGGTCACTAAAGGCGGTTGTTTTAATTCAAATTCATTCCAAAAACATGGATTTTCAATCGCCATGCTGCGTTTTGAAAAAAGGTAAATAAACAGAGCTACGTAACAGCATTGCCAGATGTAGATATTTAATTTTGAGATTTTGCTAGTCCACTGATCTGGCCACACTGAAGCGTACACGTGCGAACTGAATTTATCGAAGACTGATAGTTAGGCCTATCAAAATCAACCTGTAGAATTTAAAACAATTTAATTTTCCGACAAAACATGAAGAAAAAGCAGGTTGAAAGTGCATCCGAAGAGGAGGAGCTGCTGTCAGGAGACTCTGAAGCATCCGATGGCGAAGAGCAGTCAGGTGTCTCCGAGGAGGAGGATTCCGATGGTTCCGAACTGGATCTGGCCGCCAGTGCCACGGAATCCGATGAAGATGATGATGAGGATGAGGAGGAAGCTGATGATGATGATGATGAGGATAAGGAGGAAGAAGTGCAGCCCGCACCCAAGAGCAAGGCGGAGATAATCGAAGAGCAGATCCACACCAAGTACGAGCAGCTAAAGGGCACCCGGCTGTATGTCCGCTTTCCCCAGAAATTGCCGCTGGATGTGGAGGAGTTTAATGCCAAGGTGAAGGCACTGCATCCACTGGTGCTTAAGTCGTCAAAGCCTCGCCAGAAGCACGCCCGCTTCTGCCTGGTGGACTTCAAGTCCAAGGAGGACCGCGACCAGGCCTTCAATGACATCAAAGCCTCCATCGAAAAGGATGCAAAGTACAAGGGTATATTTGTATCCCTGCCCAAAACGGATTCTGATGATTTTGTCAACGAGCTGGTGACCCGCAAGCAGACATCCGTGGAGAACAAGCGCACCAAGACGCTGATGAAGCGAGCCACCAAGAAGGTTCTAAGAAAGGGCATTTTCACCTCATCCGTGGTCATCACCAATCTGCCCAAGACCAGTTCGGTGGCCCAGGTGCGCCAGCTGTTCGAGGAGGCGGTGGACATTCAGATACGCCCTGGCAAGGGAAAATTCCGTGACTATAGTGCTGCGACCGTAACCCTGCCAACCACTCACGCTGCACGCAAGGTCATCAAACAAAAGCTCAGTCTGGCGGGCACCCAACTGATACTGCGGTTCAACACTGAGAACAAGCGGAACCCGAAAGATAAGCTAAAGCGAAAGCGGGAGAACGGGAAATCCCCCGACAAGAAATTCCAGAAGCCAAAGTCACAAGATAACGAGAAATCCAAGGCGGTAAAAGGGGAAGCCCCCGAAATCAAGAAACCAGAAAAGATCATCCAACAAAAACCGAAAGAAAACCTGAAGAGAAAGGCGTCCAAGGGAAATTCCCTCAATATTAAAACATCAAAAAAGTTAAAGAAACTAAGTGCAGAATAGAAAGTAGTTAAGGTTTCCTAATGTTAATATTTCCCATTCTTGATTGACAAATAAATACATATGTATGTGTTAAACGAAACACTTAATGTCTTAATCTATTATATTTGTCTTTCTGAACCATCCTGTTTAATAAAGATTTTAGAGAAATATGTTTGTGAAGAGCAGAGTTTTTTTTTTATTTAAATACCAATTTTTGGTCAACATTTACCATTACCCGACAAACATTAAAACCTATTATATTTTGTCTTTGTTTAACCATCTTGTTTAATAAGTGAAGAAAGGTTTGCGGGAACTACATTCATGTACATGGAACTCTTGGACAATGTTACTTATACATTCATGAATAATAAATCAAGCGCATTTAAATTTTTAAAATATTTATTATCGTACACGATATACAGACATAGATATATTTATTTATATATTTTAGTAAGCCGGCTGAGTGATTTACTGGATATACATTGATTGGTTACTTTAGCTTATATACTTATGAGATTTTCATGTGCACAGAGTTTTCATTCGCGTAAACTTGACGGGTCCATGTGATCGATTTGTAGCTTCAAAGGTGTATTTGTTCAACAGTAAGCGCGGGTAGGTAAAAGTAATTCATATGTATAGTTTCAATACTAGTACAAAATATTCAACATTTGCGTGTATGCATTAACATGGAGGCTCCTCAGCTGCAATCTATTCAGCGCTATAAATATTTGTTTATATTGCATACAAACGCATATCAACCGTGCACCGCAGTCCGTAAATCCTGTTGCTGTGCATCGTGAGTCGCTTTATTGATTTTTTGCAATACTACATACCCCGGGATGTCGGGGTAGTGAAGAGAATCGATACGTGGGCGAAGACCGGGGAAACGCAGCAAACATTAACGCTAGTTTTTTATGAGGGAAAAAAAAATGCACATTAAAAAAGGAAATTGAAACGCGTTTCCATTTTGTATAGCTCGGTTTAGGTAGTATATATTCTTAGTTCCTAAAATGAATTGATTTTAGTTTTTCAAAATTGTGTAAATATAATCAAAATTTATATATTTCCTTTCGTAGCTCTATGAATTCCAGAAACAAAGCCGTAGCCAGCCGCTTTCCGTTTTCTGATCTGTTCACTTTCTCGCTATCAAGCAGTCTCACATATTTGCTGTTATTTGTTCTTACTCCTCTCGTTTCGTTTTGTTTCGATCTCATTACTCATATCTCTGTTCATGGTCGCCATGGGATCCCTGTGACAGGCTCCGCCGGCTCCTCTATAAGGCGTTGAACATCCGCTCAAGTTGCTGATAAACTGATGTTTGCAAAAAACGTACCCTTACATATGGATGCAATGCATTAAAGACAAATATTTTTTTGTTATTTTCAGAGTGTTTGTGTGGGTCGCCATGTGACTGATAAGGAAAGTACTTAAGAATCTAGAGCCTGCTCGTGTCCGCTCTGGGGGTTATTATTGAATTTAAGAACTGACTTTACTTGACTGTGTTGTGTGTTGGGAATATCTGGGGTTCTCTTTGGATAGCATTTATATGGGTATTAACGTGTAGTTCCCCGCGTTTAAATTACGTGTGTAGCAGCCGATCCCGGGCCGATGGCGAGCAGTTTTGCGGAGCTGCCGCCGCCCCGCCACCACTGCCACCCATTTGGGTGGGTGGTGGCGGAGGCGGCTGCGCCGGCGGCGATCTTAGCGGTATCGAAGGCTGGACAAACCGCACGCGTTCCGCATCTGTTGATGCGGCACTGCTGCTGGCCGCCGCCGCTCCGGCTGCCGCATTGAAGGCCGACGTAAAGGCTGTGGCGGCTCAAAGGGTGTGGTAGTTGCGGTCGTTGCGGGCCTTATAGAACTTGTAGGCCACCAATCCAATGGCCAGCAGGCCCAGAGTCAGCACTATCCCGCCGATGAACGAGGATCCGTCGAAATGGCCGCACGGCACAGGCTTGGGCGCCGGAGTGGTCGATGGGGTCGGCGGCGTAGTTGTGGTCGAGTTCGGAGGCGGAGTGGTCGAAGTACTCGGCGTGGTCGTAGGCTTGGTGGTGGTGGTATTGGGGGCCGGAGTGGTGGTGGTGCTGGGCGTAGTGGTGCTGGCCGGAGTGGTGGTTGTGGGCTTTTCAGTGGTAGAACTAGTCGTGGAGCTAGTTGTGGTGGTTGGCGGTGTGGTCACAGGAGTCGTTGTATCCGGCGGTGCGACGGTGGTGTTCTTGGAATCCGGCGTTGGAACAGGCGTGGTGTTGTCCTTGGAACCCGGTGTGGTTACTGCAGCTAAAGTGGACAAATAAAGAGGAACCGTAATTAGAAAGTCATCTATGCTGGTGGTCAAGTCTAATATTTCATTCTAAGCTACAACTATGTAAAAACCATAAGGGCGAGAAAAGTTCTAAAAGATATGAAATCTAACTTAGAAATGCTGTCGCAAAATATAAGAAATAAATAAATAACTACAGTTTAACTTATCTTGAAATTTGTGGAATCGATAAAGTAACATTTGCAATAATAAATACATGTCATAGATAAACAACTATTCTAACTTTTTTGAGTATAAAAAGAGTAAGGCATTGATTAATCGGACATAACTCGGACTTCCCTATCTTGAAGCCTCAATTAGTCAAATATAATTATGGTACTCAATTTTTTCTTGAAAAACGTGAAGGGAGACAATAATAAATCGTGCAATTTGTTGTTTTATTCGTATAAAAGCTACTTTTTTATCTCCGCTTATATTTTAATTTTAATCCAATATCCGGAGATGGAAAACATACAAGTGGGTTTTTATTTTATTCATATCATGTTATATTTTAAAGAATAAAAATATGTATTTATCGTAGTATTATAAACTTGGGCTTGCGAAATAAACAGCAATGATAAGGATGCATGAGTCATCGAAAAAAGAAAAAAAAAGATAACAGAACAACAAAGGTCATTCTTTGAGTAATTTGCCAAGATTTCGAACAATGATTTTTAAAAAATTATTATTATTATTTCAAAAATTATTAATCGTTTAAAAAAGGTAACTAATAAAAACAAAATAGGAGCATTATTATTAATACCGTTAATGGCTTTATAAAATAAGCTATTGATCAGTAGTGTGACAATTAAAGTTAAAATGATCTCATGGAAAAATCGTACAGTAAAATACCCTATAAAATATCTAATTTTTTTAGTTATTGTTAAAAAAACAGACAGTCTTAAAAAATAATAATAAAAAATTGTAAACAAATTTCAAATTGTATTTCTCAAAGTGGGATCTCAAATGGAACTTGAAACTGTATTTTATGTTTAAGAAAGCAGCAGATAATGATGGAAAAATAGGTGGTACGGAAATTAGGTTAAAACTCTGTTATTACGAAAAGATGGCCAACTATAATAACACAAAATAAACCGGAATGGACCATAATAAATACGAAGGGAGCTTTGTAGTTCTGTAGAGTGCAGTGTGTTTATTTAACGAGAACATTACCCCCAATTGGAGAAAGGGAAAATGGCCGAAGAATTGATATTCAATATAGTAATTGGCATTTAAAAACCCCACACTCACACACACGCAAATGATTGCTCACACGTACGCGCATGCACATGCAATTGTGTGGGTGCATAATTAAGAAATGACTGTTTTTTTTTATTTCAAATTGATTTTAATTCGATTCAAGACTCACCTTCATCGCACAAATTCGCGGAGAAGAGCCCCACGAACAGGCACAAGATTAGGAATTTCGCCTGTCGATTCATTGCGGTCGGGAGAATATAAAATCGAAACGAAGTGAAGTATCTGCAAGTATGCGGCTGCAAAAATGGGTTTTCCAAGTGGAGAGGGAATTACGGAGTTACAGATACCGCTTAAATCAAGTATTGCACAACTGGCGATATCGCCGAGCTCCGATTTTGCTCACCGACAAATTAAAGCAACGCGCAATTAATGAATAACACGACACGAAGACCAGATTTTTTTATGCCAACTCGATACTCTGGTGCATCCCGATACATCGCCAGCTGAGCCGTGCTTTTGCAGCCCTGTCACTTTCCACTTTTTAAAAAGGGTATTCCTCAAACTATTTGAGTGACCGTTCGTCTTGTAAATTCAGCAAAATTAATTGTATGTTTTCTGAAATATGTTTAACAATCAATTTAGCACTTTTACCAGCACACTTTGTTTAAATTTTTAGAAAAAAATACTCGTAATATTTGACAAGTGACCTCTGATTAGTAACCATAATCACAGACATGTCAATTCAATTACCTCCTTTAAAAATGCGTATCTATATTGAGTATACCAAAAATCAAATAACAAAATGTTGTAAATATTATATAGTTAGATTCACCAATCAAATAACTGTATTATTATTAATTGAGTGCGCTTTACACTACCTTTAGTGTATTATTGAGTTAGGTATGGATTGCTTAGCTCGACAATCCCAAACTATTATAAAAAACACAATAGTTTGTTGTTTCTTTTGATTATAAAGTTGCATTAGAAACACAGCTGACCATTACTCTCTGTTTTTATATTGTTTAAAATAACTATATTTTGTTCAGACAAAAGTTATATATATATTTTGAAACGTTAAAAATGGTTGCGTTGATTCTTTTGATTATAAAGTTTCATTAGAAGCATAGCCGACCATGACTTCCGCTTTTATGATGATTTTAAAAAGTATGTTTTGTTCAAACAAAAATATATGAAAATTTTGAAACGTTAAAAATCTTGTTATCGACAAATTGGGTAAATTCCCCAGATATTTATAGTGTTGCTGCACCTTACTTGTAGTGCTGCAAAACGAAAACCTTAGTTTCGGTATATTTTCGTAGTCCGCAGTCCGGTCACACAGTCGGTGATTCAGATTTAGTAGTTATTTTTTGTCTGTTTATGGCCCCAGTGGACACGGGATTCGAATTCACCTTAAGGACCGACCAGGACAGGAGCAAGTGGAAGTGTCAAGATGACCTCGTACGTGCGCGCAATGTACGACTTCAATGGGGAGCCGGGCTCCTCGGAGCTCTCGATCGCCACGGGCGATGTGCTCTCGGTGACGCGGAGCGACGTGGGTGAGGGCTGGTGGGAGGGCAAGGACGCCAAGGGGAGGGTCGGCCTCTTTCCGGCGGCCTACGTGGAGGTGATGTCGGCGGCGGAGGCCCAGAAACTAAGCGCCAGTGGAGCCACCTCGGTGCCACAGGTTCCGGATCCCTTTGCCTCGCCACCGCCGCCCAGATACGATCAGACGGCGGAGGACGATGGTAGCAACTGGGACGACGAGGACGACTGGAGCGATGACAACGATGATAAAACCTATTCGGAGATTGGTCCTGCCAGCTCAAAGTCAGCAGGACAGGCGGCACGCGCTGGAGGATTGTCGCATTCCACCAGTGACTATGACAACAAACACCTACCCATTGCCCCGAGTGATGACACCCAATCGCTGGCCTCCATGGCTGGAGGAACTGGTGCTGCCGGTACCGTCAAGAAGGGCATGTTCGCCAAGAGCTCCGATTCGTATATACTCGGTCTGTCCAGCCCCAAGGAGAAGATACCCGAATGCGAGATGGCCTACATTACACAGCTGGAGGACTCCATCTACCAGTGGACGCAGAACCATTCGCCCTACTCCGTTGTGGTGGCCAGTCCAAAGAAGGAGTCCAAGTTCAAGGGGATGAAGACGTTCATCGCCTACCAACTGACGCCTAGCTTCAATAACATATCCGTAAGTTCGCTCCGCTGATATCGCCGTGATTAACAACACAATACGATAAAGCTCCCCGCCGTATGAGTGTGTAACTACGGGTGCAGTGCTTCTATTCAGCTTTTCAGTCGATGTTTTGTTGATGATATGTGGCTTTTATTTTCTCTACCCTCTGCCAAGGGTAATCTGGGCTGGGTCATGTGCTTTCGGGAAGACAAAGCGTTGACGGAATGAAAAAAAGACCAGTCCTTTGTTTATTAAAACTCCGCACTAATTGCTGACCGACTTCTCCCAACTGAATCGACCCTAAAATGACCTTTCTGCAACTTATAAAGTTAACTGGACAGTACAGTATTCTCTACTCAGATCAGATTGTTTATCTAACTTGCATTTTCTTTATCTATACCTATCTATATCTACATGTTTTTTACATAAGTTTCAGCTCTTCCATTATTTTTTGTAGCACAAACAAAAACATTATCTAAAAAAATATATATAGACTTTTATACAATCCAAGAAGTTCTAAAAGAGAAGAGAAAACCAAATGTAATCTGTATTTGAACATGAAGTATTTCATCATTTTTGCTATTATATAAGGAAGGCACTTTGATACTTAAACTTATTATTTATCTTTATTACGCTACATTTAATTTTATCTAAAAACTTAAATTATGAATGTGCATTTTGTATATTCTTCAAAATTTTAAAACTAAATTCAAGTAAACATTTTGATCTTCTTAGTTCGTCCATTTTTTCATTAAAGAGTTAAAAGAATTGGGATAGTACGGTATTACAGCGTCGAGAATACACTTTAAATTCTTCTTTGTTGGGGCAATTCTGACCAACTGGTAGCCAACGCCAAATACAATGATTGCTTCTGCTTGCGAACCACCGCGGGGCATGACTCAGCACCAACCGCTGACCCCCCTCTCCGAGTTCCTCTTTCCGTGTCACATTTCACAATTAATTGGTCATATCTAATCTGGGTTTCCCTTTCGTTAGGTGTCGCGTCGCTACAAGCACTTCGACTGGCTGCACGAGCGTTTGGTGGACAAGTTTTGCCTGGTTCCGGTGCCACCGCTGCCGGACAAGCAGATCTCCGGCCGCTATGAGGAGCAATTCGTGGAGCACCGCCGCGTCCAGCTGCAGGAGTTCGTGGACTGGGTGTGCCGACATCCGGTGATCTCCAAGTGCGAGGTGTGGTACCATTTCCTGACCTGTCGCGACGAGAAGATCTGGAAGTCGGGCAAGCGCAAGGCGGAGCGGGATCCCTACATGGGAGTCAACTACTGCTTGGCCATCTCGCCACCGGATAAGAACCTGCTGCACTCCAAGGTTGACGTCCAGATGGAGCTGGGCACTCAGTTCATCCACAGCATGGACGTGGCCGTGCGCAACCTGAACAGCATTTCCAACGACATGGCCAAGCGTTCGATGACCCAGAGTAAAAAGGAATTCCAGCGCATCGGGGACGGACTTTCCGACCTGGCCAAGGCGTTGGCCATTGACGAGCGACGTGCGCCAACCCGGAACGCTGTTCCACTCTCCGAGAGCATCGGGCGCATCGGAGGCATCTTTATTGGTATTGGCCAGGCCTTTGGTGAGCAGCCGAAACTTGATTGGATACCCCTCTCAGATCGACTGCACATCTACAGGTGAGTTGGTGTTTTTGATAGTGATGGGGATAAACAATTGAAAGAATGATAGATGATCAATTGTATAGCACACTAGATGCTGATTAGTTGAATAGCACACTATTTAAATTTATTTTAAAATAAATAAATAAAAAAGGTAATTCATTAGCTAACCCTTTACAAGGCTTATAAAATAATCAAGTCAATTTGTTATTTGTAAACGAATCAAATGTTTTCAGTTTTGATTGTTTACTTTTAAGATGTAAACAATTTTTGTATAGAACTTTTAAGATTTCTTTGGAAGGTGCACAGGTAGCACTGCTTTATTTAACCTATACGTTCGCAAGAAAAGTAGATTAGTTGCCAATAGTTTATTTTGAGATTCTTTTCTCGATTGTTTCGCATGTTGACCTTTATTGTGGTATCAAATCAAAATGTTGTGTCTTCCCATCACTATTTTTAGATAGAACCAATGATCTAGAACCATTATCTAATTCTAATTCGGTTTGTTTTGAAAGGGGCGTACTCAACTGCTTTCCGGATATATTCTCCACGCACAAGGGCGCCATACAGAAGCGGAAGGACTGCGAGCGATTGGCCGGCGAGGGCAAGATGAACAATCCTCAGATGCATGACGTCAATCGGCGCACGGATGTCGTCTCCTATACTGTTCTGGCCGAGCTGACCCACTTTAAGAGCGAGCGGGATACGCATTTGAAGCACACGCTCAAGAATTTCATTGGCGAGCAAATTAAATTCTACCAGGGCGTGGTGGCGCGTCTGCAGGAGGCCAGTCGTCAGATCGAGTAGATTGACCTGTGGACTTATCGCTGGAGATCGGCTGGGAGCACAAAGAAACAAAGAGACCACACCGGGCACACACTTCCACAGAAATACACACTGATATAGCTGAAAACATTCGCACGCGCGCATTTCAAATGCCTTAGAAAGGAACTCTTACTTTAAGCGTGGTTCTAACTAAATGTTAGACAAAAAAATATTACATAATGTTGTTTGTAAGTGAAAAGTTGCGTATTTATACAGAAATTAACTTTTATATGCCTATTATACACTGAACTTGAAATGCAAATATAAATATATTTATACAAAAGCACTTGTGAAACCCCGCACACACTACTTTCAATGCACTGAATCATCTTTATAGATATACACCAAGTAAAAGTCGGTTGAAATTTGCTATTCTGTTGCCTTTATCAGCGAAATTCTCTAAAAGGGATCTCTTTATTTTTCCATTTTCATGTTCATGCTTTTTGCTTTGCCATTTTCGCGTTAATAAGTTTTGTGATTCTTGTGTTTGGTTTTTGTATCTAGAACATAAATGTTAGATTGCACATGTTAGGGATTTCCATTTTCATTTCCATCGTGTTCATAAATAATCAGCGTAATAACTAGTAAAAACAAAAAAGAAAACACATTTCGGAATGAATACAAAATTGGTTGTTTGCCTTTTAGCGCTGCGGTTTCTGTTTGTTTTTTTGGTAAGGGTCTAGGGTCCAAGGATTGTCCTGGCGATAAGGAGGATAGACGAAGTGGATCTTGGTATAAGGATCAGGGATCGGGTACGGGATCACTAAGTGTAATACATCTAGATAAAAACGCTATATACAGACACACGAGTTAATAATAATAATATAACGCAGCTTGAGATAATAATAATAATAGATTTTGGTTAACAATAATACAATAATTAGGTTTTTTCTTTTGCCTTCCGCATTCTCATCGCTCTACTACATTATTTTTTGTTTACTTTTCGTGTTTTTTTCTTGTTTTCATCTTTGTTTTTTCTTTTTTGTTAACAAACTACCAATAACAAATTTTTACTAATTCAATTTAAGTTTTGTTTTTTTTTGTTTTCTGTTTTTGTTTTTCTCCTTGTTTGTTGTTTATAAATTATTGTTGTTGCTTTCCGGTTACCTTGTTGTTGCTGTTCCTGTGTATTAAATTAAAGGAAAATCATGGTTTATCCTTTACCAATTCCTGGCGGTAAAACGGCCTATACGATGCCTCTAAATATATAGTTATTATTACACGTAAGTGTTATATATGCCTATATGTTTATGTTAATATGCAAGTGTTGTCGATCCGGTTGGTTGAACCGTGATCCCAGTGGACTCTAGCCGTAGTCTCCGCCGAAGCGACCGTGCTTGTTGCTCCCATTATTGTTTTGGACCGCCGCCGCTGCCGCCGCCGCCTGTGCGGCCTTCTCCGCCAGCATTGCCGCCTTTTGTTGGATGTAGGGATTGAAGTGTTGCATGTACATGGATGCCGCTGCTGCCGCCGCATAGTTGTTGGCATAGTTATTGCTCCTTTGGTTGTTGCTGCCGTTATTGCCGCTCCACTGCTGTTGCTGTTGCTGCTGGAGTTGCTTATGTTGCTGTTGTTGCTGGTGTTGCTGTTGCTGCTGTTGATGTTGCTGTTGTTGTTGATGCTGCTGTTGTTGCTGCTGCTGTTGCCAGTAGCTCTGCTCCGACATATAGCTGCCGGGATCGCCTTCTTTCTGATACAGATAAGAATTCAGCAGCGATTCACGTGCGGCGGCGGCGGCCGCCATCTGATTGTTCTGGAACATATTCTCCATGGCCGCCGCCGTAGGATAACAAAATTTATTGCTACTATTGTTGCTGTGATTTTGATTGTTGGCTGCTGGAAGTTGTGTTTGCTGTTGCTGTTGCTGCTTGGCCGAGGCATGGTAGTTGCTGTAGTCCTGCTGCTGTTGCTGCTGCTGCTGCTGTTGCTGCTCCTCGTAGCTGGCCGTCCTTGTTCCCGTTGCAGGTGCTGGCTCCTTGTGAGCCCGGCTTGACTGTCATTCGCCAGAAGCCGTCACCGTAGTCCACTGCCACGGGCTGTTGTAGCCCTGCTTGGGGTTGCTAAAAGAAAATAAACAGGAATTATTGGGGAGAATAGTTAATGCTCCTAGTGACAAGCAGATTAAAACCGATCAATACTATTTAGATCAAACCCTATAACAAAAAGGTATTCATAAATAAGAAATGCGTAAAACAGTCATATTAAATAAGGCGGATCTAAAACGCTGAGTCATAGAAAAATTCTATAAACTATGAACTCGCGGATCAAATTCCATCAATGTAAGTATACAATTTAGCTAGCAAGTAATCGAGAAAATTTCCATGACTCAATTTCGAAAGACTTTAGAATTTAAGGAGAGTGACACAGAAATCTTTTCGGTTGACTTTCATGTACATCCTATCATATGTTCATGACATCATAGCGAATGGAATAGAAAACTGTAAATATAAATAAAAGCCTATACTATCTTCTTTCCATTTTTAAGTTAGAACCATCGATAAGTCCGATCCCCTATTTTTATTATAAATTACTCACCTTCCAAAGAGTGGATGCCACAGCGCTGAGTTGGCATCCATTCCGGCTGCCGCCGCCGCATCCGCAAATTGTTGCTGCTGCTGCTGTTGTTGTTGCTGGACATCCTGGGCGAGCATGTTGCCACGCTTCCGTTGCTGCTGTGATCCAGCAACCGCATGCATCTGCTGCTTGGCCTGCTCGAGGGGATTGTAGGTGACGCAGGCCTTGCTGGAGCGCAGGGTGCGTCCAGTTCCAGCGTCAACCTTGACCTGATCCGGCGTCGACTTGTGCAGGGAGGGACGTCCTCGCATTCCGTCGAAGGGCACGTTGAGCAGGGGTACCACGTTCGCCTCCGGTTCCAGAAGGTTTGAGAGCGATTTAATGGTCAGTCTGGGTTTGTGCTCCGCCGGCGCTGGCGCCGGAGCAGCAGCAGTGGTGGCCACCGGGGCAGGAGCAGTGGCTTGTGGAGCAGCAGATGTACTTGGAGCACCGGATGCCGGCTTGGATTTGGTAAAATTGCAGATGGGCTCCGTTTCCGGTTCCCTTCGGGGTCGTTTGTGCTCCTGATGATGATGATGCGAGGCGGCGGAGGATGTGGATGATGATGCCTCCTTTGCCGCCTCCCAGTTGAGGAACTGAGGCAATTGCGGCTGTAGCAGTTTCTGCATGAGGGCCAGTTCCACCGGATTGGTGAAGCCATTGAAAGCGTTCGATCCGCTGGCCGTACTTTGGGCAGGAGGTGGAGGAGGAGGAGCTGCCGCCGGAGGCGATACTGGAGTGGGCACCTTAGGCTGCTGCTGCTGCTCCTCCGTCGGCTTTTGTTTCATACATTGCTTGTACAGCTCGTCCAGATGCTGCAATCCGAATTGGCTGTTGTACAGTGGCAGCAGATTGCTCATGAACTTCCTCTGCAGTCCCAGTGGATCCTTGATAGTCTTGAAGATCTCCTGCGACAGCTGGCCAAAGTAGGGTAGCCACAGCATCTGTTGCAGCAGCGCTAGCGTGGTGGCATTCAGATCCGTGGAAAGGCTGGAGTCCGCCGGCGAGGGCGGAGTGGGTGCCACTGGAACAGCTGCTGGTGGTTTGGGTTGAGCAGGCAAGGGCTTGGGCAGGGTCTGCTTGGGACTGGGACTCCTCGGCTTGCTCGGCACCACGATCACCGGATCCGGGTCTTTTGTCGCCTTGGCCGCCTGATCCGATTCCGTTTGAAGGATGGCCTCCAGCTGCTCCATGGTCACCACCAGAATGTTGGGATTCTGGATGATCTCCGGATAGGCAAAGGCCTCGGGAAGACGCAATTCCGGCCTGGTGGTCAGCAACAGTGGAATCTCACGCGCTGGAGAGGCCAACACCGCTCCCAGGCGATCCTTTGGCACGAGTATCGGGTCTGGGACCTTCCACTGCGGATTGCTAATCAGCATTTTTAGCTGGGTGAGTGCGTCCGGATCCTTGTCCATCTTGATGCTGGCCTTGGAACGCTTCTTCAACGGCTGACTGGACTCCTCCTCCTCGTCGTCGATGACGACAGTTTCGAGTTTCCCATCGCGACCCGCTTTGCCCAGATCCATGGGCTCCGCCTGCTGGGGATTGTTGTTCAGCTTGAGGAACTGCTCTAGGATGAGATTTTTAATGGTTTCCGAGGTGGTCTCAACCTCGGCAGGTATGGAGTTGGCCGGCAACTGCAGATCCCGGTCCGGAGATTTGAGTATATCCGAGCTGGAGGTCACCGCACATTGACTACGCGATTCCGAGGGCGGACACACCTCCTCGCGCTTCTTGTAGCTCAGATCCTTCGGCGTCTCGTCCGCTCCGCCGGATTTATCCTTCTCCTTTTCCGGCGTGGGTGTGGGCGTGGGGGTTTGGGTTAGTTCCACGGTGGCTGGAGTGGGCGGTTGGGGCTCCGGCTCGGTGGCCACCGCTTCCTGTTGCTTTTCGAAAGCCTCGATGCCCAGGAAGAGTTCTCCGTTCAGACCTTCAATCTCACCCGCCTCGTTGAAGGACAGACACTTGGGCGCATCATCGTTGTCCATGTTGAGAATGCTGGGCAGGTCCTTTTCGAGATCGGGCACACAGAAGGAACTCAGTTCGTCGCCGGACGAAGAGGAGTTCTGCGGATTGTTCCCGCTGCCGGTGCTGCTCTCCTGGACGAGATTATCCTCGCAGCTGCGCTTGACCAGCGAGTCAAGCAGATCGGCACCACTGCTGCCGTTATCACTGCTGCAATTCTGGAGCAGATCATCGGCATCGTCCAGCAGATCCTTCAGATTCTTGGTATTGGCATCGAAGCACTCCACATGATCGTTTCCGGCCATCGGCTTGTCCTCCTCCTCCTCCTCATGCAGGGCATCTTCCTCGGGAAGCTGAACCAGGGCAAGATCTCCTTTGGGCAGGAACAGACCCGTCTTGGGACACAGCTGCATTTGCAGCGGCGAGGGCGTGGAGCTCTGATATGTGGGCGTGTTGGTCTTGGTGGCCTTGGTTGAGGCATTGGTCTCCTCGCTGTCCAGTAAACCATCGAAACAGGGCGTGGGCGCCGTCTCCGGCTCTTGGACCGGCGGCAGCACCACCACATCCTCGAGCACAGTGGTCAGGTGGCCATTCTGATGTGCTGTAGGATCGGTTTCCTGCTCCAACTCCTCCTCCTCTTCCTCCTCCTCTTCGATCTCGTCTGGCAATTGCGTGGCACTGTCATCCCAATCGTGCAGCAGATTCTGCGCCATGGAGGGCAACTGCTGCTCCGCCTGGTCCTGTTCCCGCTCGTGATCCTCTAACGGTTCCAGCTCCTGGTGCTGATGATGATGATGATGATTATGGTGCTGCTGCTGCTGCTGCTCCTCCTCCTCCAGGCGCTGCAGGTGCTGCTCGCGCTTGACCTTCATTAAAGGCGCGGCGGAGCCATGGAAGAATTTGACTATCCTAGTTGAGGAAGCATCTGTGCGCGGCATGGAGCGCCAGCCATCGGTCGTCTTGGTCAGGCGTATCCGGTTCCGCTTGTCGTAGTCCTCGCAGCGCACCTCCACAATGCGCGTGTCGTCCTGTTTGACCCATAGGAAGATGGGATTGACGCTGGGCGTCGTGGGCGTTGTGGCGGGTGCAGGTGCGGATGCGGGAACGGGCTGAGAGATTGGTGATGGAGGGGCAGGAGTTGGCACCGACACCTCCTTCTTCTGCTCCTCCTCCCCAGCGGATGGAGCCTTGGGCTTGGGACTTATCCGCTTGGGTGCCACAACATTGGATGCAGTGGCTGTGGATGTGACTGTTGTTTTGGTTTCCAATTTCACGGCAGCCGCACGCGGCAATGATTTGGCTGGCTGCTCCTCCACCAGGAGGGGATTGGGTTGTGGAACTTTGGGATTCAGTGCGGGAATGGGTGTGATAGCTGGTACAGCAGCCGGGACAACTGCTTCCGGGCTGCACTTTGGTTCCGTTTTGATCTCGCGCAGCACATTCTTGTTGATGCGCGGCGTGTTGGCCACCTTCAGGTGCCCGAACTTTTGCTTGGCCCTCGTGGCCTTGCCCTTGGCCCCCTTCCCCCGGCGCCGGGTGGTCTGCTCCTCGAAGACCAGGAAGATATCACGGGCCACTCTCCGGCGCTCCGATTTCCGGTGGCAAACCGGCGGAGCTGCCTCCAGTTCCTGCTTGATGATGCCCTCATTGTTATTGTTGTTGTTATTATTATTATTCGCATTCGCCTCCGGCTCATCCTGGCTAGCTGCTGCACATTCACTTGGCCTGCAAGTGTTCCGGGGCATTTTACGGCCGTATCCGTATCCGCTAGTGGTCCGTGGTCCGTATCCGTAGTGGTGCCGCAGTGCTGGTCATTTTCCCATCACCGCTGCTGGCTTTCCTTTCCCACTCGATTGGTTTTCCTTTTCCGTACACAGCACACCACACCACACACTACTTCCCCCCGTATCCGGATTTTTCGGTAGTGCCCCCCGCCCCCTGCCACTTCTGATTGGGAGCAGCGTTCTGATTGGACAGCGGCCCTGGTAAAAAGCCTTCGCTTTGGGGCTTCCAACTTCAGTCCGTTCGCATTGCCGCCGCACACTTGCCGCTCCGCTCCAGCGTTTCTAATTCGATTAACTTCACTCGGGAATTCCAATTGGAGTTCCTATATGCCGTGCGCTATATGTTTTACGTTGACAAAATCAATGAATTTTGTATGTATATGTTTGCTTTCGATATGTTTTCATTTTCTGTTTTTGGCATATCGATTTTACATCTGCAATATCGATTTTACTTCTGGCACGTCGATTTCCGATTTCTGTAAGAGTGCCAACTTGTCTTATGAGCTTTTCTATCGCCATGCCGCGGGATTTGAAATATATTTTTAAAATTAGTGAATTTATTACAGTATGACTGATAAACGTCCATGTCAGAAACTTCTAAGGCCGAATTAATAAATTTAAGATTTCTAAATTTAAGAAAGTTCCAAATTATTTTAATTAAGAAAACCCTATGTTGCTTCAATTAATGTGCGTCAATTAACTCATATATTTTCATTTAACATTTTTATATTATGTCGTAATGTTTTTAACTTTATAATAATGTTTGTTTTATTAAATAAATAAAGATACACAAAATTTTATCAGCACTGAAATAGTTATAAAACTAAGAAATAACTTTTGTGACTATATATAACTATATAAGGACGGAGACGTCTCTGCCAAAAAAATTGGCTTGCAATTTCGTCAGTTATGCTGCTTACTTGCGGCCCTTTGACAATTCTTTTTTCTTCTTTCTTCCCCGATACCTTTGTGGAGAAATATAAGGTTACTCGAAAATCTATTATAATTATTCAGGACTTACCTATCCCTGAGCATCCTTAAAGTGCTGCGCTTAAGGATAAATAGTACAAATATAATTATACCAAAGGCGGAATGAAAGTACAATATAGCTTTTATAAATATATCCGTCTGAATAATTTCATGTTTTTGTGCCAAATGCATAATTTGAAGCAGGATCAAGGACACGCCCATGATAGCAAAGAGCCGCAAAAACTGTATGTAGCTAAGATCGGAAAATATAAAGAGTATTAGGCTAGTTACAAAATGATAAAGGGTATAATATACACCTCTGAAAGATTGTCGAAATTTCCGTTTGGATGAACCTATTGATTTCCCTCTTGACTTTTAAAATGTAAATCGCTGTCAAGACAAACATGATCAAATTGAAGATGCCTAGGATCATAATCGGTCCTTGGTAGTAGATCCAGGAAGATGAATCCCAGACTACAAGAGAAAATAATATTGTTAAATATAGTGCTTATTTAAATGTAGTTCCATATAAAACTCACCTTTTACAGCGCAGTCAGAAAATCCCACTAGAGGCATCCAATTCCATTTTTGAAGATCCTTTTCCCAAATTCCATTCATCACATAAATGACTCCTGTCGAAATAGCAGCGGTGATCCAGACAAATGCGCTATATTTCTCGAACTGATAACGAGGTTCATAATAATTGATCGAAGTGATAACATTCCACAAACAAAAGCTGACGATAGAAAACCAAAGATGGGATGCCATCTCGAAGAAGTACTTACTATAACCTGAGAGAAATTACCGAAAATTAGTATCCTGTCTCTTTAATAAGTTTAGGTAAAGGGTTACAAAAACAAGCACATTTTCAAAATTTTGTTGTCTGGAAGTGAAAAATTAAATATATTTCTTTGTGTATTCCAAATTTAATTGAAAAAAAAAACTCATTTTATTTTTTTTTATAGATTTATAACTTTCTGAGTTTCTACAAGCTTAAAGAAATAACTTTAAAAAAATGCAATTTTGCTTTAATGAGGACAAATCGCGTGTGAATTTTAACTACTTACCTGCTGGAGCGCAAGTGTAGTATAGTAAATCGAATTGATCCAGTATCCAGATAAGGTGCTCCATGAACATGCTAAATAGGCAGCTGACTAGGCACTTGCCGAATAAATTCCGGAGCTTCCTAACGTACAGATAGACTGCGATTGTGAGGATAAAACATACCAATGACATCATCATGACTGGAGGAGCAAAAACAGGGAAGGAAAGTTAAAGGGGAGGTTAACAATCAATGATCGTCCTTACTTTTAAGGAAGCCTTCTGGAATTCCCCGTGGGCAAATGTGGATTGCAACCGATATGGATTGATTTTGAATTTCCGAATGAAACTGCGGATACAAGCAATAATCTTCCTTGGAAAAAGCACCTTTAATAAAGTCGATAATTAAGGTTCCGTTCTGAAAAGTTTTTGTGTTAGAAATGCAGAAACAATGGCAAACCAAAGGGCATACCGTATGAATTGTAAATTCATCTTCCCCGATATTGAACATTTTATCGCAGGGCAGAAACATATCCCTTATCACGGTTAAGTTGAGAAGATTGTACTGCCCATTTCCTTTGCAGCTATTCAAATTCAAAAAGCGGTTACCTCGCACGATCTCCTCCTTCAGGTTATCATTACAGGTTCCATTGGGCAACATATTCTTGCGGGGACAGCAAATCGGGACACAGGGTCTCTCCTTGCAGACGCATGCCCTTAAATTGTTAACCACCAAATTCGGGGATCCATTTTCCTGCACCGTATAATTGTATTTTCCTATGAGGTGTGCAGGAATTTCACGGCCATCAAATATGTAGCTGCCGTTAACCCTTTTTAAATATTTAATATCGATGGTTTCGGAGAGGTGGCACGAAATGTCTGCACTCGATTTCTTTACGACAGTTAGAATAAGAATTATACCCAACAATTTTGAGAGCAGACCCATTTTGTTCTACAAAAAATCTAACTGGGACGATAAACTCGACTGAGGCTCAAAACAATTTGTGTGCAGCTTATAAAGCCTGCATTGAAACTATTTCTAAGACCTAAAAAACAATCTCGACTTTTGGGGTTTGGTTTGGGGGTTTCATTAAACCGACTTATTCCCTGTAGCCCAATTAGTTTATAGAAAGGATCCTTGAGATTGCACAAGCTTTTTCGTTTCTGCCAACTATTTGCATACAAGTATAATTTAAATGGGTTCCTTGAGAATTAGATAAAGTACTCAACAGCCTACACTACTTATTGCGAAATATTTTCAATTGTATTTTTTGGGAAAAATGATTTGATACGAACAGTTTTCAAGACCTTATCAACGGAGCCAGAAATTCCGATTAAAACACACGCACACTTCTACATCCACTTGACTGTTGATGCTGATTAAAAAGATTTGCACGGAGTTAAAAATATTTTTTTTTTTAATTTGAAAAGCAAATGGCCATATAATAATAACCATAAATTAATTTATTCAAACCTTATGAAATTGACATTTGTTTTTTAAGGATGATTCCCGTTCAAAGGGTTAAAAATTATTTACTTTTTAATAAATAATTTTCTAACCCTATCAGAGGGAATTATTCTGCGGATCTTTGTCATAATGGGCATGTCTTTGATCCTACATTCAAAGTTCGCATTTGGCGCAGAAATAAAATTTTATTCAGACTATAATATTTATAAAAGAAATAATGTACCTTTATTCCCCCTTTTGTATATTTATGTTTGTGCTGCTTATCCTTAAGCGCAGCACCCTAAAAATGCTAAGGGATGGGCAAGTTCAATATGACTATACTACATTTTTCAGTATTCTAATTTTTGTCCCTAATTTTCATTGGCTCGAAATTTTTCTAGCATAAACGTCTCCATCCTTTAAAATTATGGAAATTATTTTTTCGTTTTATAACTATTCTAGTGCTGTAAAAATTTAGCATACTTTTGAGATTGTGTAGAAGGTTTCCTTGTTAAAATTAATTTGATAAAACGAACATCATAATAAGGTTTAAAACATTATGATTCTATGAATTCTAATTCTCATTCTCTCAATACCGATGGCAAAATAAGCATCGATGTTATTTTTACAAAATGAATTTGTCCCTACGGAAAATTACCCCTCATTTTTCCACCAAAAGATGGCCCCTTCTTCGTCCTAAAAAATTGTTATTAGAAACGCAGGAAACAGATGGGCGATATAATGACAAACCTCAAACATCATATTCATGGATTTTTTCTGATGGATTATACTCCTCGTTCTGGTTATTGAAATTTGTGTGGGGATTATCTCAGGAGATATCCTTCATCATTACTGTTTCCATTGGGGAGCTTGCAGATACAGGCTTTCAAATGTTTTTTCACTAATTTTTTGATCCGAGGCTAGCAGAGATTTCGAGATCTCTTCACAATAGTTAAATAACAAATTTTTGTTGCACTTTCTTAATATTTTTGATCTATATGTGTTTAGCGCGGATAGCTAAACTTGACTGAAGTTCGATGGGATAAGTTCGCAGTTTATATATGTTTTCATCGAACAAAATTGACTTTTAAAATCAACAGCCAAGTAATTTGATGATTATTCGTATTCCCAAAAGAACATATTCTCGACCATTGGCATTCACTTGGGGATTTTAATGGGCACAATCTCAAGTATATGAAATTCGTTGGAAATTTTTTAAGCCGAACTTGAAATTTATGAATAACCAGCTAAGTTCTCGCATATGGCACTTTATCGACTAATTCCCAGTACACCAATTCAAATTATTTCGTACGATTATACAAATAATTTACTTTTAATTTGTATGGAATTTTTGTATACTTTGTTTTACGATGCATAGGGGAAATAGGCTTTATACTCAAAATAATGATATGCATAAAAGAATGATGAAATGAAACAAATGCAAAAATTGACTTTTCTTTGACTGGATTCTTTCTTTGAATCCAACGTCATATTTGAATACCCCGCCATTTTTGTCAAAATGCGCTTTACAGCACTCCGTTTTGTTTAACGGGAATTTTTTTTTGCTTGCAGAAATAAATTCAAACAGGTTGAAGTAGAAGGAGTAAAAAGTAACAACATCTAATTGTGAGTTAAATTATTCATTATAAAGTATATAAAATTAACTTATAATAGCTGAAAAACCTTGCATTTATTTTCACATTGAAATAAATAAGAGAGGCATTATAATTTCGATGTGATCCCAAAGCAATTTTATGATTTGGTATATAAAATTGTAATAAATAATTGTAAATATATAGCAGATGCACGCTTCTTAAAATACTATTTTAAAGTCATACAAATTTTGATAATGTGATAATAATATGACCTGCATTTCCAAAATAGCTTGAAAAATCAATTTGGGTCACCAGTTGCATTGTTTTTTTTTTGTTTTTGGCGCAACTACTGTTGTTAAGAGCAACGGATAAATCAATCAATAATGTTCAATTCCCAGTAATTTGTGCATCGGCCAGGATGCAGAAATCGGGCTCCGACGAGGGAGCCTCTGGTGGCCAGCCGGAGGAGTCGCCGCCGGCTCCCTCCCAGAAATCCATCGATACCGGCAACGGCGCCGAGTTTCAAATCAGTTTGAACGAGTTCCTAGAGTTTTTGAAACTATCCTGTCATGTGAACGATATGATAGCGAAGGCCGACATGGGGAAACCACACACTAGGGAACCGGTGCCGCCAATGGAGGGCAATGCCCCCACATCCAAGAGAACTTCGAAAAAGGACGAGTTCGACTTTGCGCAACTGGCGGAGAATCCGCTGGTCAACGAGCTTCTCGGCCTGCGACGTCCGTCACGGAATTCCAGTATACGCCACACGGACGAGAGTCGCTCCAGTTTGCTCCAGGAGGCGAAATCCAGTGTACTGCGTTCGGGACACAGTCACCACAGCCGCACATCCCGTCCAGAGTCCACCTACCGGGGATTGCATCCCAAATTGGGCGAGCAACTGGATGCTGCCATCAACGAGGGCGTCCTCGACTCGGTGCTGTCCTTCATTTGCCCGGTTCCGCTGCCCACTCAGCTCCAGAATGGCAGGAATAAGCCCAAGCAGCTGCAGCCCCCGAAGGAGCTTCTCACCCAGACATCGCCCACTCCCACTCCGAATCCTGTTCCACCCGCTGCTCCCCTTACCTCCGGAGCATCCAAATCTATGATGGAGCTGGGCCACTCGCATGCTCCTCTGTCTGCAGCTACTCCCTCGGCCCCTTGCCTCCAGCAGGCTCATCCCGGTGGAGATGCTCTGCATCAGGATCAGATAACCAATAGCATGGTGCGGGCGCTGATCAAGGAGCCGACTCCCAAGCCGATTGGATTGAACGCCGGTAGACGCAAATCCCTACTGCTGGTTAAGGACAGTAAGCATGCCAGGCAGGAAAGAAAAGAGTGAGTATATAAACAGAGATATAAACAATATTCCTTTTTTGGTTACCAAATATAGGTTTAATTATTTATTTATTATTAAGAACTTCTAGAATTCTAAATACAATTTTAATTACAAGTATTTAAATTATTTTCTCAAATTTTCTTTGTACTTTTTTCCATTACATAATATATTAAAAAGTGACTTTGGGAATTGAAACAAAATCAAAACCTATTTAAGGCTAAACCAGCTTTGCGTACCAGAAATATACGATAAAAGTATTATAAAATCTTTTTACCGTTTTTTAAAACTTTTATCGTACATTTCTTCAGCATTTCAGATTTGTATTTTTATGAAAACTGTCGTTAACTTTCTCCTCTGTTTTGACAGACCCGAAGTGGTGATCCATGTCTGCGATGAGGTGAAGAACACCTCGAAGGACTTCACCTGCCCGCAACATCTGCTGGTGACCAAAATGGGCTACTTTGCGGATGTGACCGCCGGCCAACGGCTGGAGGAGATGGACATATCGGTGCACTGCGACATCCTCATATTTGACTGGCTGATGAAGTGGATCAAGCACAGTGCCCAGAGCCAGGATCTCCCCGTTTCCGGCCAGAGCAGCGGTCCGCAGTTGGATGGCAACAATGTGGTGCCCATTTTGGTGTCGGCCAGCTTTCTGCAGATGGAACCGCTGCTTCTCGAGTGCCTGGCCTTCTGTCATGCCCATCTCAGCGAGGTGGTCCGCACATCCACGAATCTCTCGTGTCTGAACGATGCATTGGTCACCCGACTGGCGGCCATGTTCACGAATCTGGAGCTGGAGATGGTGAGGGATAAAAAGGAGCGAGTGACACCGCGCCTGTGGACCAAGTTGATACAGTCGCTCTGCGAACCCGATCCGGAAGCTCTGAGGGGACATTTCTATAGCATGTCCGGGCTATTTCGCTGCTCCCGCTGCTTCAATTGCGTGACCAACACCATGAAATCCTATGTGAGCTGTGTGCCCAGCAACATCCGGCTGAATCGCTGGGGTCAACTGATGAGCCACCATGTGCGGGATGCCAACTGGGACCTAAACGTCTATATCGTTCAGTTGTTCAAGGAGCTCAAGTCGTGGCGGAAAGTGTATTGGAAGCTATGGGGTCACTGCCATTATCTGTACTGCTGCACTTGCGAGGCTCACTTTCCGGTCTACCAGATGCACTGGTGTCGCTTTCATCCGGAGGCACCCAACTTCCTGGGACCCGTGGGCAATGCTGGACCCGCTGGACGATTTTCCTGCTGTGGTCAGCAGGCCTTCCGCTACGAGACGCTGCCGGGACCAAATGTTTGTATTAATTATTGTACAAATTTAATTTAATTTTTAAGATTAGGTCAGATTTCTCAAAGTTATGATTGCTGGTTCAAAAAAAATGTATTCCCAATATATCATAATAACTTTTAATTCCCAACTAGAGGTTATATTATTGCATTGTTATATCTTAGTCTATTTCTTAAAAAAAAATTTAATTTTAACTAAAGGTTAGCTTTAAGGTCACTTTCCTGACGGACAATACAAACATTGAGAAATCAGTCCTAATAATTATATGTCCACCTTTTCAGGGCTGCCAGTTCCGCGAACACAGCGTCCTGGTGGAGACGGATCGTGAGCGGGCCATCCTGGCCATTGCTCAGTTGGTGGGCGAGAACTATGCTCTCTGCGAACAGGCACCTCTGAGGATCCAGGAACTAGCAGCCGCCGGCGAGATCAGTCCCAGTTGGCAGGGAATCTCCTTGACTCCCCAGAGATGTCGCCAAGGTCTGCTGCCACAGCTCTGCATGGACAGTGTGCTGAAAAGGGGTGGGTAGATGGTTGTCTTTCCATCAAAGTGTTCATTTCTAATCTCTGATCGATAGTAACAAACCACCGGGTGAGCCGTAGGATGCGTGGATCGCGCTATCAAATGGACACCAGCACCGATTCCGAGACGACGTCCACCAGTGAAGATGATGCTCGATGTCTGCGTCCGCGCATGCGCAACGTTCACGATGACGACGAGGATTACAGCTCCAGCAGTGATGGCTGCGAGTCGGAGCATCGTCCGCCACCTAGGAAGGCACGTGGCAAAAAGTCACGAAAGCGGTTAGTTTATGAAGATCAAAAGACAAAAATATATATAATACATATCTGAACTTTATTACCAGTCCCACCGATGTCTCGGGCCGTTTTTGGTCTGGTGAGCTATCGGCCCGCAGCAACCAGGATCATCAGCGGGATTTCGAGGAGAAGATCATGAAACAGGTGGCCAATTATGTTACCAAGAAGACCGGAACGGATCAGTGCCTTGTCCAGAATGCCCAACCACTGGGCGGCTCCTATGTCCGCCTCGAATGCGAGTGGAAGGAGATGCTGAAGCAGCGCCACAGCCATCACAATATCCAGGGAGCCAATGCCACTGGCCTCTCGTTGCCCCAAAGCAGCAACACCTGCATGGGATCCGCAATCGCCACGGGTGGATCCTCCGTTTCCGTCATGTCCAAGCAGAAGCACAAGTAGAAATTCGTTTTCTTTGCATTCGCCAGCAAAGATCGTAGACCAAATATTTAGTCACAGATTATTAGTAAAATATTTAGCGCAAATCATAAATATTTAATTGAAAAAGTAGAAAAAAAATTATATTAATTGAAAATTTAGAAAAATATATAAATGATTATATTGCATCTTAAAAGCATTAAACGTTTTTTAAATAATATGGAGAATATAAATTTATCATCTTATGTACGTTGATTGGTTTTTATATAATCAGTACAAATTTAAAGGTTTGTAAATGACCAACAAGTTGGAGTTTATTTAAATTTTGGCATTAGACAGAGCCTTAAAATTGGATTAAACAAATATAATTTTTATTTCGTCAAGCTAGGGTAAATTACATTTTCCATTTTTCAGTCTACTACGAGTTTTACAAAAATTATTTAAAGTTTGCAGGCTGTCTTGCACAAACTAAAATCATAACTTCTCATTAAGCATTTCTTAATATTTGTTTATTTATTTATTTATTAACTTAACGCAATTTACAAAGACTTCGATTTGTTATACACTTCTCATGTTCACATTTAATTTTTTAAATCATTTTTGTTTGTGGTACAAATAGGGTTGAAATGGAAAAAACTGTATTATTTAAAAAAGGACCTGCAAATAAATGCAACTGCACGTAAGAAAATGAAACGGAACCCTGGGTTCAATTGCATAACACATGCTTGAGGGGCGGGTGGCATGGCCTTAGGCTCAACCTTTTGGTGACCCACCCAGCGGCAAAAGGTGCACAATATTCATAAAAATATAAAGAACAGAAAAAATATTGGTATAATTACAGGGCAATGCCATTTCGTGGACAAAATTTACGATAATCATTTTGTGGGTTTTGTGTGTTTACTAGAATTTAGCATTGTTGCCGATCTGAGAGGTTGATGCTGAAGTTGCTGGTGAAGCCGCCGCCGTGAATGGTACTGGTGATTGCGTGGCTGGGGCAAGCTAACTAAACAGGCCCTCTGTGGCCTTCTCCAGGTTCCAGTTCTCCTTGGAGAGCACGGCGCGCGCGTCATGCTCGTCGATACCCATGTCCTTGAGACGTTGGATCTTTGAATCACAATCGGGAAAGGTGTGCGGACCGCCCGCATATGCGTTCGTCCAGTGCTTGGCGGTCAGCAGGAACAGGTCATACTTGTCCTTGAACTGATATGCCACCACGGCGTCCTGCGGATCATCCGGCTCGGCGGCAGCCAGGAGCGCCTGTAGGGACAGCAGGACAGTGCGCAGGGTCATCGCCGCGGCCCAGTTGTCCTTCAGAATGTCCAGGCAAATAGCGCCTGTCACCGATGAAATGTTCGGGTGCCAGATGCGCGTTATGAAGCGTACCTAAAAGCAAATTTCAATTGAAATCAGTGCTGTATTTATCGTAAGTTATAATTTAAGCTTTACATTTACAAGGTTTTAAACATTTTTGTAGTTTTAAATAAATATAAATGAATTTTTAAATTTACGTTTTTGTTAGTTTTGCTCATATTTAAGTTGCTCTTTTCTTTTAAAATTCTTAAAAAATCCCGAGGGTTCTGAAAAAAAGGAGTTACTCATTGTTGATTATTTTCTGATTCTCAGATGTATCTTTCGGCTTAAATATTATATTAACAAGAGGATTAACATCCTTTAAACAATTTAATATATTAAAAAGGATCACAAGGATATTAAGGGGTACACCGAAGTACTTATCTTTAAGGGATTGATCGGATTTGTCTGAGGCACTTAGACCTTTTTAGACCTGGTTAAGTGATAAGACAATAAATATCACTTTTGCAGCATTCTATTTACAACAATACTAATTTTAATGCAAATTATCAATTTTAAATGTATTTTGTTGGTAAATAAATCGTATTGAGGGACTGAAGCTTCCTTGTGTTGTACTAACCTTTGGCGGATTGAAGGGATATGTCTCGGGCACCTTGATCTCCAGAATAAACTTGCCGCCCTCGTAAGGCGTGTCGGGCGGACCAGCGATCTCGCCGCGCAGCTCCGTCCAACTGTCGTTGACCAGTTCGATTTTGATGGAACATTGGACGATCTGTCAGTGAATACACATTATTAATACAAGTCAGTGCGGGCAGTGTTTACATTTTTGCTCTACATATTCTACCCTAACTATATCGAACCAAGAAGCGCGCCAAAAAATGGAAGCAAATCCCCGGGCCGTGGACCTCACCCCCTGCAGCACCATTAAGGGTGGTGGTGCAGCTGGCGATGCCAAGGGAGCGGGTAAGTGTCCTTGGTCCTCGAAACTCACCTCCTCGCTGCGCATCACCTCCTTGAACTCCCGCTTGATCCGAGACACTGCCATGTTCGCCATGATGGTTCTTCTGTTTCGGGCTCTCTTCTCTGTTCTGTTCTGTGTTCTCCGTTCTCTCCGTTCTCCTTTCTCCGCCTCTCCTCTTCGCTCTTCTCCGTTCTCTTCCCTGTTTCTGTTGTTGTTGGCCCTGTGCAATTTTGCGGATTTTGTGGTGCGTTGCGTAAATTACACCTGGTTGGTATCCACTCCAAGGTCGCTCCACTCTATCGCTTTCCGGGATTGTCGAAGCAAGGAGCTCGACCAGCACACAATAAATAACAAGCTCAATATCCCAATTTTATCGAAACTGACTTTTGCTCAGCACGTCTATTTTGCTGTGCTATTTTTTTTTTGTTTTTTAGTGTGGCTGCAGCACCGCATGCCAAAAATTCTGAAAGCTCGAGCTTCCAGAACCCCTATCGATAGGCTAATCGATATATCTATATATATATGAAGTTGGCGCAAAAAAATTTAAAACGTCCTCTAAAATTTGTTTTTAAAATTGTTTGGTTGTAAAAAACTTTCTAAGTAACTCATTAAAAATATAAATTTATTGGCTATACAAATTTTATTTTAATTTTAAGTCATTTAAAAACATTTAATGGACATATAAATAATTTAAACAATTTCTAAATATTTCTTTAGCAATTAATGATTTATTTGACTACCATAATAATACATAACAAAAATACATAAAGATGATCGATTCGGATATACATTTTCTGACAGCTAAACAAAATGATTTAAACGAAGAACACTGATAATACTCTTTCAACTTATTTTTCAGTCCTCTGAGTTTTCAGTCTTCTCATCTATTTTAAGATCTATACAATTTTTGGGTCTTGCTAAGTTTAAGATTGGTATTCCTTTAAATATTAAGGCAGCAATCACAAGTCTTAAATAAACATTTGCAAGACTTCTCAAAGAACATGAAATCTATAAGGAATGTGGCGCCTAGTAAAACCGCCTTTAGGCTAACATCCATGTCCTTTTGAAAAGTGATGCCGAACATATCCGCATCTGTTAAAAACTCACGCCCAAGTCCAGACCACTTCTTTGAGATCCTGCCGACATTATCACCGGTTAGAGATACCACCTAACAATAATAGTCTATAGTTTGTGAAAACAAATAAATAATATAGATACTCACATTAAAGTCCACATTGCAGCACACAGAGCAAAAGCACATAGGTCCTTCAATGCGTAGGGCGAGGTCTCCACTTTGGTTTAGGATGCGGAAGGAAGGTCGACAAATAGACCACTCCTCCTCGATACTACCGATGACATTTCCGGGTGGTGCCGAAACATCGATGCTGTGCAGGCAGCAGGGAAAACAGACGGAGGAGCAGCCCAGTGGCCGGTGAAGATGGATCACCTCTTCCTTCAGATAGTGGTCAAACACCTTCATATGGAAGGGTCTCTCCGGACAGCAGTTACGGGTGCAGCAGTTGGTGTCCTCCACCGCATAGAACACCTTCTGTCCCAAGGCGTTTTGGATGGAATACCGGTTGTTGGTCTCAAATCCAGTGATGGCCTCGAAAAATTCGACCTTCTGCTTAACCAGAAGCTGATCTATAATCTTTAGGTACTCCAATCCACTTGCACTGCTTGGTATTACATTTTTCCAGTCCCCAGCTGGTCCACCTCTTGCCATTCCAGTGCCTATTCCAGGTTGAGTTACTATGGGTAGCTGCTCTGGGGGATATCCTACGGACCCGGGAGGATATCCTACCAAAGGGTGAAATGGTTCTCTAATGGTTTTGTCCGGTGGTGAACCGCTTCCATCACCCACTTGGTTTGTTTCCTCTCCTAAGCATGGCAGTTGAGAACCCAAAGGGGTTTGGGGCGCAGTTTCGGAATTCATTAAAATCCAAGTATGCTAAAACCACAAAAATTTTAAAACAATTATAGAGACAAGCAAGTTCTATAATATGTAAATGCAACAAATTTAACACCGGTTAACTAGATTAGTATTTTAAGAAGATTTATTTTGATAAGCTCCATTTACTGCACCATGGCCTAGCGACCTACTCAAATAAAGTTGTCTGATCCGAACCTGTTTTTGATATCGGATCAAAAACCTCCCCATATACCATCGCTTCAGTTAGCCACAGCGTTTCATTGGCACGGAGCTAAGGTTATTTTCCATTGCGTCTCAGATCTTGAACACCGAATACATAAAACTTATAGAACAAAACCAGCATAAATCAAAGTTCTTGTGACCTCAGTATTTTGGTTCTATTACGCTCACCTGCCTTGTCTGCGGTCGGAAATATGAAACTTGTTTTGCCTCCTATAAACAAAAATAAGAAGTTTATTCTTTTAAGGCGTAGGCCTCTCTTGGCAACAGTCCGAAAATAATAGACAACCATTAATTATGCGGCATACGATCTTGTGTTTATAGAAGGTATTGCTACGGAAAGCGGGTATATGTGGTATTACTGCCGCAGATTTTCAATATATATTAAGTAATTCTCTCGAAAAAACCGTTCTGACACCAAAACAATATTTAATTTTTGATTATTTAAAAATTATAATGTTACCATTTTTAAATCATATGACTATTTTTTTCATTAAACAACACAAAACAATTTTTAGTATATAAAAAAAATGTAATTAAAATTCTTTTAATTTTTACCGACAAACGATTCAATATGAATTCGGCGATCTACTTATAGGGTATACCCCCTGGACGAAAAGCCTTCAAATGGTCATTCTCTTTTACTGCCCAAATTCACGTTTCGCACAGCAGAAATGGCGCTCGTGAAAAAAAAACGTGTCAGCAAAAGCGTGTGGGGAAGTTTTGGAGTCAACCCAGCAACAATTTTCGGACAAGGAAAATAATCCAGTAAACATTTTGCGGACTAGCTTAAAATGAAGAGTTGGCCAATGTTTTTTTTTACTCATTTTTGTGTTTTGCACACGTGTTTGTGCTCCCCTTTTGCTCCGCTCTTCTGCCCCAAAACAACTGACCGATACAAACAAAAAATGCCGGCTCTTCAACGCTTTTCTACTCTCCCGCTCTCCTTGATACACCCTTGCAAAAAGTATTACACTAGAACTGTGCAACCTAACCAAATATATAATAACCATCATATTTATGTGCATACATGTATATATTAAAGTTTAGTAACATTCATAGTTAATTTTAAATTATAAATTAAGACATTAGAAGATAATTAGTTATAAATGTTTCCTTACTTAACGACTTTTTAAAAATTAGTGTATCATTTTTCTGCCCTCTCTTAAATTTACATATCTTCTATAAATGGTTATATGTATATATAAATGTATATGTGTATATTGTGCTATGTTTAAAGCTTAAATCAGTCATTTACAATGTTTAAAGCTTAAATCAGTCATTTACAATTCTTGGTCATATAACGATAAAAATTAATTTATAAATATTTTTAACAACCACAGGGGTATAAAGTCTTCGTCTTGCTAAGTTTGCATTTACCTCTCGTTATCTCATGCTCTCGCACACCACAAACTTCACAAACGCAACTTCCCTCGCTCAAATTCAACTCGAAAGCGTTTCTGATTCATTCAGCTTTTGCATTTTCGGAGAAGCGGCTGCAATCTACAACCGTCACAGTTTTTTTCAACCAAAGTGTTCAAAACGCATCGTCTGGTGATTAATAGCTTATCGTTTTAAAGTAATTGCGACACTTTTCTACTGCACATGTTTTAAGTAAGTCTATTTATTGAGGATTAAATTTTGTATTATTCCCGGTTTTTGTGTGTGCGTGCCTTTGTTTTCCTCTCGACTCAAAACGTGCGTCGCATTCGGCACGTGGTTTCCGCCTCACCCCCCCGCGATCCACACTTTCTTTATTTTTAAACGTTTATATGTACGCCTCACTTGCAACGCCATTTGCGTCAATTTTAAGGGATAAAACACGGAGAAGAGTACGTCAACATTTAGCATTAGTTCATTTATATTTAGCCATAGGCACGCAAAAACAATTTAACAAATCGCAGTGTTTTCAGCGACGTTCTTTTGTTCAGCATCTCAGGTACAGTTGCACCAACAACGAGAAAACATCTCAGGGGCAAGAAAAGCAATGACGAGCCCCCAGTGAAATGAAAAAAACTGTACTCGTGTACTGTGGGACTTTAGCAATATAGAAAACAAAACATTCCTACGCATATCTTTTGTAGAATTGTTTGCAGAGCAACAATTAGTCCAGAGCCAATTGAAATCCATACAAATCACAACTACACAGAAGAAAATGTAGCGGTTTTTTTATTTTTTTTACAAAAATACAACTATTTATTGTTTTCTCTGTTTAACGGAAAACGTGTTCTATAATATAAATTAGATTCTATATACCTTTTTTATGGGATCATTAAAAATTAATTTTACTTCAGCGTTGGTTATACCTTAACATTGTAAAGTAAATTGTTTATGAATATAAATATATTTTCTAATATTCCTTATAATTTATATTTTTGCACTTGTTAAAATGCGAAAGAACTCTGATGAAATATCTTTTAAAAAAATTGTAAATACTCATCTTTCGTTTAAAATCACAAACATAAATAAACATTGTTGTTCTGACTCATTTTCTTAAATTAATAAAATATAACACAAAGTTTTAATAAATAAGTTTTGTTTTCCATCTTATTTCTAAATGTAAATAACTATTTAATTGTTATTCGTTATTTAGGGAAATATTTACAATGAAAATATTCTTACAAATTTTTTTAAAATAATTCTTGCTCTTAAATATCTAAAAATGCAAATGACGTATTATAAGTTAAATGGAAGTAGCCTCCCAAAACAGCTGATTCCGAAAAGAGAGGAAAGCGCTTTCCTTGTGGCATCCCGAAAGCTTTTATTTGTGGCATCAACTGCGCATCATCCCTCTCTCTCACTGTGTGTTGGTGTGTGTACCCAGTGCGTATGTGTAATAAACGCATACGGCATGTTGTACGGCGCTCAGTTCCATTTGCTCGCTCAATTTCGCCAGATGCGGCTGCTAATCTCAATCTCCAATTGTCGCTAAAAACAGTGCACTTTTTATTTAGCCTGGGGAAAAAACAGCTGTGAGTGCGACTTGTTGTTTAACGGGCCGCTAAAAAAAACACGGCGCTCTTTTCAGTCGCCGCTTACCTGTCGCAGCACCTTGATCTCGGGAATTAAGTTGTGAATTATGCCCGATAAGAAATGCACGGAAAACGAGCAGAATGGTGCGTAGTTATATCCTAGAAATCCCGTTATTGTCTGCCTGAGCTTGTGTGTGTGACTTTTCATGGCCAACTTGGGACATCCGTGGAACAGCTGTTTGCCGAGGTCGCGTCTCGTTTTTCAAAAGCTTTTCTTTTGGCGCGCGCCTGTTGGCATACCAGCATATTTTTTATGTTAAACTGGAAGTATAGATTGCACTTGGGTGATAATGAGCCTTTTATCTATCGGCTGGAATCTGTGGAAAATTTTCAGACAAATATTTAATACAAGTCAGGTTGCAAAAAATCCAGAGAAAAAACAATTTTATTTTAGAAAACAAAAGGTTCTTTAAGTTTTACAATTTTCATTTAATAAATTAGTTTAGCAATTGTAATTTTATCCCTAAACTTGTTATAAGTTCTGTGCAGCATTAGTTTTTCAAACCCAAAACGGCGTATTTTTTTAATAGGGTGTAATAAACTAATGGAATTATAAAAGTGTGGTTTTAACACGCAGAAACTTAGCTTTAAATTTCTTAAGATTATATTATTATAATATTGTGTAGCTTGGTACATGTACATACATATATGAATATTAAAATCATTTAAAAAAAATTAATAAAATATTTCAAATTATGAAAGCCTAGCCTATCGAACCGCTTCCAAAAAACCAAAATCGACATCGATAGCTTTAATAGTTCCCTGGAGAACTCGTAGGAAAATCACATGGTCGGACTTGGGGTGGCTTTACCTTAGAAGAGAGTAAAAGAGAGAGGCACACTCACACACACCCGCACAAAGCTTTCGCGCTGCCGGCATCGCTGTCGTCGTACTATACAAAGAGAGAGAGTTGCTCTCTTTTGCGCTCTTGCGGGCACACCGATAAGGCGGCGACGTCGCTGCCAGCGCTTGGCGAAAAAAAATTTATAATAAAAACTTCTACTCGTAGATTGTGTGATGCCAGTTCGCTCTGCTAATCCGATACGCGCTAGAAGTTTGATCCGAGACAATTTGGAGAAACAGGCTGGTTGTCTAAATTTAATCCACTCCAGAATGCCGAACATCAAAGTGTTTTCGGGCACCTCGCATCCGGATCTGGCCCAACGGATCGTCGATCGTCTGGGAATCGATCTCGGCAAGGTGGTTACGAAGAAGTTTAGCAATTTGGAGACCTGGTAAGTAGTAGTCCTGCGGGAAAATCCCCATCCTTGGGGGCTACCAACAAGTGTTAACCCGAGTGTTTTAAAGTGTGATAATTACGTTTTTCGAAAACTGTTTGTCAAACCCATGTGCTCAAAGGGTCCTTGACAATCGCTGAAGGTTGCGGCCTATTTCTGCCAGAATCAAGCATGGAAATCAATGGGAATTTTGATTACCTGCAGCTGCAGGATTTTTCAGAATTTTGTGGGTTGCCTTTGGCTTGATTTCTTTTTATTTTTATTGATTTAACAAGTGGACTGTACACCGTCTTTGTCGCTACAGCCCTGCGTTTGTGTGTGTGTATAGTGCTGGTGTGCTGGTTTGTGTGAGAGTAACACACAGACACACACACGCAAAGCTCGACCAATGTCGCGTGCAATTTTCGGCGAATTTAAATTTAATTTAAAAATCCAAAAGAACTGAAAAAAAAGAAAATTACTTTTAATTTTATATTTTTAATTAAATTAGCAGCTGTTTTAATGTGTGTGTATGTCTAGACTTGCGGCTTGCACGCTTTTTGCTTCCCTCTCTTTCTCGCACTCACACAGGCGCAAGACCAGCCAGTCAGCTGCTGATGCAACAACAACAAATAATAAATAAAGGCGCCACTGGGTTTTCCCTCACCCCCATACCAGTTTTTCGTTATCAACTTTTCTTTTTAATAAAATTAAACAAAAGCCACATTAGCAAACAATTAGGCGGTGAAAAGGTGAAAGAAACGAGGCAAACGGAAGAAACCGAAACGAAAATAGAGGTTATAATACGCGCTAAGCTTTTTGACATGATACGCGCTTCGTCGGTGTGCGTGTGTTTTTGTTATGCTCGCACTCAGTCGCACGCACACCAAGCCAAAAATAACAGGCGATGGCTGATCGAAGCGAATATACCCTATAATAGTCGTTGTAGAGGGCTCTGCGTGTTATATTTCAACTGAAGTCTAAATTTAAATAATTTAATAATTTTTTAATAAATAGGGGTATCCATATAGTAATTAAAAAAATATTGCGTTAAAAT